ATAAGAATTGCTTATATTACTGAGATGAAGGATTGGACAACTTTGCCATGTGTTCCAACACACAGGTATGACTCAGCCGTGTATTTTCTTTTTAGAGGACCTATACAAATATGCCTTGCATACAAATAATTGAGTAGTGCTCGAAGGGAGAAGGCACTTTTGAGAAAAAAAGAAATTAATCATATGTTTGTACATGACATATGGGAGAGTTGCCAGTGACTACATTACAATCCACTGACCAAATTGCCAATTTGAGCTTTGCATAGCTTTAGTCGTCTCATATTTCAAACATTCATAACTTCCTTTTTATTGGTCCGATTTATCTCAAGCTTTCACCATTTCTGTATCTCTTAATTTTCTGCTTGTATACATATCAACTTATTATAAAGCTAAAAGGTTGGATTGCCCTTTAAAAGGTTATATTGCTCAACCTAGTCTCGTCGTCGTCCTACGAGTCATGACTGACCATTTGTGACCGTATTGTTCATGCCAGTAAACTCTTTTATTCCGTCAGCCCATCAAACTTTTGGCCTACCACGTTGTCGTCGACCCTCAACATGACCTTCGGTAATATACTTCTCCAGGTTGTCACCTTCTTTCTTAGAAACGTGTCCGAAATACTGCAACTTGTTCTTATCTATGTTCTGGCATATGATGACCTTTGCTCCAATTCGGTTCTTGACAAAATCATTTGATTTATGAGCCTTCCAGGATATCCTCAACATCTTCCTCCAACACAACAATTCGAAAGCGTGGATTTTCATTATGCTGCTCCAAGAGCCCACGTCTCTGACCTAGTCTACGGTACTTGTAAATCATACATGTATCCTATGGTTTTACATATAGCAATAGAAAAGGATAACAAAATGTATAGTATAGAGCTGCAAAATATACAAACTTTGTCGCATAATATACAACCCATTTTATCTTCTGTATAATGATATATAGAAGTGAACATAATTTATTGGGGAAAGAAGATCATCTGCACGCTCTGGTGGCTTTTATAAAAGCGACAGGTAGATATCACTCATTGTAGCTGTTGAGTTATAATAGCTTTTCCAAAGTGATGTAAAGAGCCAACTGTATTTATTTATTCTTTTATTATATATATATAGGCCTATACGCTAATTTTTATTTAGTATTTATATCATTTCATGTTCGCCTTCTATGTCTCTTGAGGAGGAAGGAAGGGAAAAGTATAGTTTAGCACTGCACAGTTAACGTTTATTAATACTCACACCCTGTTCACGGTCGATACCTAAACTATTGCCCGCACCATCGATTTAACGGTTACAACCAACGAAAAGAAGCTGTGAAACTCAGTGGCGACCATTCGAGGAGCAATATTGATGAAAAATGTAACACTGAAATGACTGAATCAATATTTGAGCCAAAGAAAAAAAAACAGCGCCATCTAATCATCATAGATGAATAATTCGAAGAATAGTATAGCTTGTAGGCGGAAATAATTTTTGTTCAGATCGAACAGCCTTAAAACCCAACAACAACAACAACAGCGGGGGGGGGGGTGTAAGAGGACACGTTTTTTGCTTTTTTTTTTTGGTCTCGAAATTTGAAAATTTGACATTTGGCTCCGTTGGGGGGTCAGCCATGGGAATAATTTTTTTTTTTTTTTTTTTTTTTTAAATAATTAACAAACAAAAAAAACAAAAAAAATCAAAGGGGGGGGGGGGTTAGGAGGGATGGGGGGGGGGGGGGGGAACACAAAAATACCAAAAGGTTAACCCCCCCCCCCCCCATGTGTACGCGCCTGTACGTCACTAATGACGCCTCTTGTGCAACAAGCATATAAAACTGAATACTGGGACTCATTCATATCAGAAATGCCCAACTCAAATGTTTCAGCATCCAACGTGTATTCACCCCCTCTTTTTTCGTATCATGATAATTATGAACTAGTCATCAAACCTAGTTCTTAAATCCTGATTAATATCAGACGTGACATTACGTGAAGTCAAACCCGCCATACAAAGTAAACGCAATGTGACAACTAACGGTGACGCAACACTAGTTCTTTAGGTAGAAGTGACATTTAGAGATGCCCAAAGTACGACAGGAGTGAGAGGCGAATCTCTCTGGGAGTTGTCTCCCTGGATTGCTCCTGTATCACAGTTATGTGCTTGCGACATCCTTACAGAAACAGATAGTCATAAAACCTACCCTTAAAAAAAAAGTTTCTTTCATTACTATAATATACATTGTATTGGCTATAAACAACAATATACTTGTATATGTATTAAGCGTATGTTACCTTGCTTTAATGTTAAAAGTGATGTTTCAATTACATTATTGCAAAATTATGTCATGAAGTATGTTAAAAATAAACTTGATAGACGTATGTGCCATTTTGACCGACATGGCGCATTACAAATGGTCACTTTTTATTATAAGTTTTCTTCTTATTATTATTCTTTATTATATCCCCAATACTAAGAATCTTGCAATCTGATTGGTCTAAACGAGGTCACATGATCAATGATAGATTGACCATCACTTGAGCTGTGAGTTAGGGGTGTGATAGTACTTCTGTACAGTAAGCAAATATTAACCGACTACGAAGGTAATGGTATAGAGATATCGACTGCTACGAGAGAGGACTGGCTGTTTTTATACGCTCAAGGGAAAGTTGATTCCGCTGCCATCACAGTCGTAGCAGTCGATATCTCTATACCATTACCTTCGTAGTCGGTTAATATTTGCTTACTGTACAGGTTACCCCCCCCCCCTTCAGTTTTTTGTATATGTGTATTTTAGAGCAACCCCCCCCCCCCTTGTGTTTTTTTTAAATTTTGTTATGCCTAAAATAATGACCTTATCCCCCCCCCCCCCCCCAAACGGAGCAAAATGTCAAATTTTAAAATTTCGAGACCAAAAAAAAAAGTGTCCTCTTAATGAATAGATTCATTCAGTTTAGGGATTTTTTGTTTGAATCAAATTCTTTTGTTTTGATATTTCACGATATAAACTAGGGAGGTATGCGGATTGCACGATATTCCACGTAGAGCTTGGAGTTTGAATGTATTGTTATTTTAATCTTTTGCATATATTTCAACAAAATTAAAAAAATTATTCTAGACATGATATCATTGAGGTGTGAAGTATGTTTTTTATATGATTGTATTATTATATCCTCTATACCAATATCGCCTTCATTTTAACCAAGATAAATTTATTTAATCAAAATTACGTTTTATATCGAGGTAACAAATTGGTAACAAATTAATTTGTTTCCTGTATTTGCTTTTTTTTTGCTATTTTTGCTTGTTCACGTTGTATATCATCTCATGTCAAGGCCTTCTTGCCCATCTATCAATATTGTTACGTCCTTCACCGTTACAACCACTTCATTCAAATGTTAGTTTTGTTTACGGGAACCTATAATCTACAAGTTGAGCTTTTCAATAGGTTCCTCACATTTCACCCTGTATAACCTTCTTTTCATTACAATTAATTTCGACGTCTTTTCAAAGAAGTAATTATATAATGTGACACTTTTAGTATATTTCATAGTATGTTCTAATATTGTCAATTATGTGAATTCTTGTTTGTGAAATGTGAAACAAATAAACTTGAAACTTGGAAGCATTATGATATATCCAAATAAAATGACAGAGAGATGAGGTTACTGAAAGCGATTTTGCAAGAAATTGAGAGTTTTTGTTTGGCTCTATAGGAAGAGGAGAAAATTTAGTGAGCAGAAGAGAGGGAAAAGATTGGTGTTTAATAAAGTAGAAAGAGATAGGGAGTCAGAAAGGAAGCACAATATGACCTCAAAAGATCTTAGATCTTAGATTTAAGATTTGTATTTAGAATCCAACCTTAGGTTTTGGTTGCAATAAAGAATTAATGATAACAGATGAAGAGAGTTGGAAAGAGAAAGATAAATGAAGAGAAATTTCGTCATTTATGTAAATGAGTAATAGTGCAGGTTAAATCGACAATAAAAGGAAACTTGTACAAGCATGAGAAAATAACATTTTCTTAAATATCGGAACATACAGCTGCTCCAAAATTCACAAGGAACATCCGGACAATGAGATACTCATTTCCTTGGATTAAAGATTGATCTCCTGATGACAGAATAATGTTAAAGGTATTTTCGTGTCCAACTATTGTACATTTAGCCCCAATTTTATCGTCCGCTGGAACTGTACATGAACTGCATCGGCATTGTAAGATAATGTAATACATATACATGTAACATCAAAAATCACGCTCATGGAGTATAAACAACAACAACAACAACGGGATACTTACTAGTGAATAAACATGTAAAGCTTAAAAACGATCACAAAGACTTTCAACAATTAAACTCTGGCAATTTCAATAGCCTGTGCCAAATATTGGAATGTTTAAACATGACAATGACATTATTACATAATCATAAACTGGTTTCTATAAACGATACGATAGGGCAGTGGAATTGCCCATATTAAGCCTTAAAGCTGATTTCTTGAAAGTGTTTGCGATCATGTCTCTCAGACCTTTTCCCCTACAGCATGCCATTTCCAACTTGCTATAAGATTTTAAAAAGTATGCATGTCTATTAATGTTCGAGTTAACGTGAAATGAGTAGTGTATGTTTTTATGTCAATGTTAGTATAGAGGGGACACTAATATCAAGGGGTGCATCGGTCTCACTCACACAACCGCTAAGGGGAGGTTGTAAAAGGGGTTCTATCATCTTCTTTTATCGTCCTCCGACCCACACGCCCACACATAGCCTTTCATTTTCTCTCCTTTCTCTCCTTTTAATTTGATTCGATTTTTTCGGAGGGGGTAGGGTTGTCGATGTGCCCGGGCCTTTGATTATTGTGAAGTGCTGCCATTGTCCACAATCATTAAAAGTGACCATCTTTAGCGGATATTTTTATAATTTTAATTATGACTTGTACCTTCATTGTAAGGGTTTTTACGTCTGGATTATGCCTTTAAACTACCATATTCATTTCCGGTAATTGTTTTCCATCGCTTATAAACCACACGTCATAATAACCAGAATTTTAAATTCTAGTGTTCTGGGGAAGTATTTTGAGGGAGGAGTTTTATCAAGGAAACTTCATAAATATGTAAGCAGGCGATATGTCTATATAAAACTTCAGCCTCTCTGGGCTTAAATCAATTGTTGTCACAACACTCCAAATGATGATGAATCGTTCTTGGTACCTCGTCTGTCTTGTATTTGTAAGTCTGGTGATCGTGGTGCATCATGCTTCTTCTCAAGGTAAGTCTTTCATAACTATATTATACAGCTAGTATACTTGTAATTGTTATTATATCACAGTGCTATTTAATTCATCGTTTATCAATATCTACTTGTTATCCTCAATATCTAACCTCGTGGACTCTGCTCTACCACTTAGTCATACACGTCGTGGAGGTGTGGTGACTAAGTGGTAGAGCAGTGGTCTCGTAACCGGGAAGTCCAAGGTTCGAAGCCAAGTCACTGAGCAAGTGCCCTTTGGTAAAGCATGGAATGCCCATTAGCAAGTCCCGTAGAGAGGCTTTAATGGGATTTAACGGTGTCGGTCCCGATTACTTACAAGCAAAACAAATGCTTTCTTTGCAGTCAGGTAAACACACACCATAACAACAACAACAACAACAACAACAACAAAATCTTTTTTTTTTTTTTTTTCATTATCACAACTTCTGGTTGTTGAATCAATGGGATATTAACAAGCAATAAGAAAACCGTTTACAGCCATCATAATAGTGAGATTTTAGTCAAAAGAGCGTACAGTTTTACATTGCTGTAGTAGCTATGTAACGCTAAAACCCTAGAAATAGTTGGACAAACATTTCCTCGACTACATGACCGATCAATCGGGTAAATCAAAGCTTTTGCGTTATTCACTCCGTTTGAACGAAAATGAATACTCAACTCTCAAGCAATTTTCTTTTTCTTTTCAAAATGCCAACAACTTCCCCAAATCAATGGCCGAAATGCAGTTTAATCGATTTATCATGATGAAGGGGGGGGGGGGGGTGTAGTGACACAAAGATAACCCTTTTGAGTATAATGTAGGCGGTCCACTTATTTATCCATTACTTGGTTTCACCAATCTTAATAGGTAATCCAACCTTTGTAATAACTTCAATTGGTTCTCGGATAATTACCCCCTGACAATTACCCCTAGGACAATTACCCCGAGGATAATTAAGGGTAGACTTCCCCTTTAATGAAAAGGGATTGGGTAATTTTCGGGGGTGGGGGTAATTGTCAACATAATACGATTATTCAATTGATTTGAATTGAACACTTTTACCGAATTATTCTGTTCGAAAGGGCGAAGAAAAAGAAAAGGTAACAATACTTTTCTCTATTATTGATTCCTTCATTTTTTATTTCGGAAATTAGAAACTTCGTATTGCTAAAGAGCATCTGTGTACACAACTTTCTTCTTGTTTTTCTTGATATTTTCTTACATTTCAATGAATGAACATTTTTGTGGTAGAGTACTCCAATCATTGAAAAATTTGATCAATTTATATAGATTAGACCATTAAAACTTGGTCAGCTTAAAAAATAACCCTCCCCACGATTACCATATAAGACTATTCCCGTGATTTTGATACATTTCGATGGATCTATTTCAATTCATATTTTATTTTAGAGTCCATCAGCATCTCATCCGGCATACAACTTTTACCTTGTATTTATCATGGAGTGCCGTTTGTTCACTCCGAAGTGTGGCGCGTTGACGAATGCACAACCTGTACGTGTGATAACAGCACTACAACATGCGTGGTTGAATCTTGTCAACCGGCACACTGCACTGAACACGTTAAACCGCCAGGAGAATGCTGCTCTGTCTGTCCATACGGTAAGTCTTCTGACAGTCCCCCCCCCCCCCACTCCCACCCGCCCTCTCATATGATCACACCTATGTGGGACTGTGTCGTGAATTTACTACTGCAATACATATAACAAACCCCCAAATAGATTGAAGCAGGATTTGATTGACTTAAATTTGCTAGATTGCCTGATCCCGGGACTTTTTAACTATTATTGTGTTACAAATTTGGGTTTTCAAGTTGATCCGGGTGGGGGGGGGGGGGACACGAAATTATGCATATTTCCCTTTGTGCTCTTACCTAGCCCCTTTTCCCCCTAAATTTCTGTCTTTTTAATTATTTTATTTTCTACTAACTTCTTTTATTTTTTTTGGCCTCTCTTTTTCAAGTTTACATCATCTTTTTCCCCGAAGTGTTGCGTATAATTATGTTGTGTGTTTTTACAAATGTCTAACTTTCCCGTTGCACTTAAGTCGTCATTTCACGGCACTGTTTTGTAAAGGTAACAATTTAAAAAGCAGTCAGAAGAAACTACAAAAATATTATGATTTACTGCGTAAATGGTTTGAAATAATTAATATGGAAATAAATGCAAAGAAAACTAAACTGATGGTCTTTGGAACGAAACATAAAACTAAGAACCAAATTCTGAAAATCTGTCATGAACGAGACTATCTTGAGAATGTTACCGAGATCAAATATTTAGGCGTAACCCTTGACCAAAGTCTAAGTTGGACACCACACATATTGAATGTGACTAATAAGATTAATCGGGCTATTTCATGCACTAGAAGGATTAAGAGTTATTCGAACTAAAGCCTACTGAAACATCTTTATTACTCCCTCATTCTTCCACATATAGATTACTGTTCAGTTGTTTGGGGCAAGTGCAAAAAGAAAGATTTACTCAAATTACAGAGGACGCAGAACAGATATGCAAGATTAGTCCTTATTATGCAGACTGTCTAACCCCAAAAGACATCCTTTTAAGCACTCTTCAATGGCAAAGTGTTGAAAATAGAATCAACTGCCACTACTGCATTTTCGTCTACAAAATACTTAATAATCTAGCCCCTTATTATTTCGAACCTTTTGCTTGCAAACGTCCAGTTTACTATGTTACTCGTCATTCTACCTTAAATCCCTTATTTATCCCGAAACCCAAGACTAATCTTTTTCTTTCATCGCTCCAAGCATCTATAACAATCTACCGACTCATATTCGCACGGCAACTTCACTCCAAATGTTCAAAAAAAAAACAAATTAAATCACTCCCTCCACTTTAATGCATGCACTGGTACCTAATGTTATATCATGACTTGTTACAGTTAGTTTTGTTTGTTTGTTTGTTTGTAGTTGTGTAGTCTGTAGTAGTTTTATTTCTTACCTTTTACCCTTTTGATTTTATGTCTGTTATTTATGGCATGTGTATTTGTATTTGTATTTTGTATTGTATCAATAATATCTTAAATGTTTAATATTTCAGGCCTTATGTTAATTTTGATCTAGTTTTTAAGTTGTTTTAGTTCTCTTATGGTATGTTGTTTATATAATGTCTTTGTTTTCTACAATGTATTCTATTTTTTGTAAATCTTTGTATGTACAGGGCTCTTTTGTAAAGCAGGCCTCTGGCACTGAAAAGAATGACCTGTTTTTAAATAAAACTGAATAAATAAATAAATTTCCACTGCGTTGATATTAGGGTTTCAGTTGCAGTTTCAGTTTCAGTTTTAGTTTATTTTCATATTTCACATGCTGTATGATACATTAATACATTTGGCATGTTACTTTTTTATTTTATTTTTATTCATACAAACGAAGAGAATAATACATAAGAATAAGTTAAATAAAGGAAAAAGTATGATGAGCCTAAAGAGAAAGCAATGCTTGTAGTTCATATGCTCCGGAAGTTATAACATTGAGATAGTCTTGTGACTCATTAATATCAGACATGCCAAACTCAAATGTTTCAGCATCCAACGTTAATTCACCCCCCCCCCCTCTTTTCGTATCATGATAATTATAAACTAGCCATCAAATCTATTTCTTAAATCCTGATTCATACCAGACGTGACAGTACGTAAAGTAGAGCCCACCATACAAACTAAACGCAATGTGACAACTAACGGTGACGCAACAATAGTTCTTGCGGCAGACGTCACATTCAAAGATGCCAAAGACACGTCAGGAGTGAGAGGCGAATCTCTCTGGGAGTTGTCTGCCTGGATTGCTCCTGTAAACACTACTCACAGGTATGTGAATGCGACTCCTTAAAAAAACAGAACAAGAGTCATAAAACCTGCGCCAAAAAAAATACTACTTTTTACTCTTATTCTTGAATTTGATGTTTATTATTTATATATGTTATCCATTCTATATTGAAAACATGGTATCTTTACTCTTCGGACTACAATAATATTATGTATCATACTTTGTTCTATTTTTTTATTTTATAAATACAACCCGAATTGAATTGAGTTTAGAACAAAACTCGGGGATGAAGGTCGTTAATGTCGCATTATCATTACTGCATTTGCCAGAGAAGTGTATTTTTTCATTCATTTTATTTATTGAATTTATCAATCACTTTCATTATTGATTAAATAAATCATTAGATAATTCATCTATTTATTCATCTATTCATCTATTTATCTATCTATTCATTTACTTATTAGTTATTATTCGTTTATTTATTTGTTTATTTGTTAATTGTCGGATGGTTTGGCGTTACCTGAGCCTGAGATGGGAAATTCAAAGTTAATCACTGTGTTCCTCGCTCAAATCAAGCCAGTGGATGGATGCATGCAACCAGGTCATATACCAGTAATACAAGTCAGTATGTGAAGTGTTTATTTTGCATTCACTTTGGTCACTATCGGTCACAGGATAGGTTTCACCGAGCAAGTTCTCAATGTTGATCAAGCATCGCAGTGGTACGTCAAAGGAAATCGAATCATCTTCCTGGACGTCGTGTATACCTTCGTTGCTCCGTCTTTAAACTGCGACGAGGCTAATGTCTGTGTTGAGCTTAAACGTGGACGAAATGCAGTAACAACCGATGGTCGTCCTTTCAATTTTGGCAGTGACCCAGACAGCTCTACATCGTTGATTGGCTGCACTTCACTATGTGCTGGTAGGGAAGTAGGCCAAGCTATGGAGGCCCGGGGTGAAGGGGCGATTGGTAGGGAAGGGGCACAAGGCTTACCGGGTGGGTCAAAAAGTTGGAGATAACAATACCATCAGTGTTAACATTGTTTACAATGACATGAGCGGTTCTGCAATATTATTTGGGGAAGGGTGCTGAACGTGGTGGAGGCTTGGGATACTTGCATTTGTTTTCTACACTTTTGGGGGAGGGGGCAGGAATTTCCCGAGCCCCCTCCCCTGGGATGAAAAACATGTAAGAACACGTTAATTTTACCTTTATTTGGAGAAGGGTCCCCTTCCATGGTGCTCAAGATGGGGGGGGGGGGGGGGGGGTGCGATTTTTAATTTTTCGAGGGCACAACAAAATGGTGCTTACTACCCCCCCCCCCCCCCCCCCCCCAATTGCTTGTACTTTTTCCAAGACTAGGCCAAATTTCTTATCATGTTGATGAATCCAGAATCTTGTAGTACAAACCAATACTTATATAGACGATTAACCTTATCTGATAGATTCCACAACGTTTCTTACACAATGCAATTGCATGACCAGAACATAACTTAATCTTCAAATAGCTTCTAAAGTGATACATATCATTTATTTTGTCATACATTGCATCATTACACTCACATAGCACAATATATGTGAACAAATAGGCTTGGCCAGCTATAATTAGCAGCCATCTTGGTAAAAAAATTGCAAAAGAAATTGCAAAAAGTAAATTGTAATGCCCTGCCTCCTCATTTTGTTTAAAGTCCGGACGAGAAACACATTATTTTTGTTATTTGGCCTTGTATAAATCTTATATACTATCCATATTTGTTTTTTACCATTATCATTTATAAAATATATCGATTTGTTTCACCTTCAGAAGATTAGATTTGAAAAAAAATGAAATGAAATGAAATTTGATAGAAAGGCTCTCCTGAAATATGCATCGGAATCGGTCTAGACTTAACTTCTGGTCTGGACCCCCCCCCCCCCCCTCCACACTCTCTCTCTCTCTCTCTCTCTCTCTCTCTCTCTCCAAACAAAAATATAGTTAGTTGACTCAGTAGGAAATAGCTAACGATGTTATTTCTCTAAATGGCTAGGCCGTGACATATTTCCATGTGTGGATACGGAAGGAATACATTTGCATGAAGATGTCTGGCAACGAGATCCATGTACACACTGTACTTGTAACAACGGAACAGCAGCGTGTTCTACAAAGGAATGCCCCGATCCTGGTTGCAACAGGCCTGTGAGACTTAAAGGCGAATGCTGTCTATCCTGCCCATATCGTAAGTTATATATCCTAAAGTTTGTTGATGCATAGTCCTTGTTTTCACGAAGTGACGGTAGTGAGGAAAATCGTAACGCAAAGTGAATGCAATTTTTTTTCACTACCGTCACTTCGTGAAAACAGCGACGTATATGCCTAGATTACATTTGACCTGCGATTAGTCTACGGAGCCCGTATCCTGTCCGTATCCCTTTTCCGTGCGGCCTCCGTGCGGAGGCAGAAGGCGGCCGTGAGAAATTCGTACGGATTCACGGGCTCCGCGGCCTTTACGATTTTATTTCGCGGGAAGTTATACAAATTTGGAATATCGTAAGCCCGTATAGCCCGTAGACATGTCGTAGGTGGCATTGCACGATCCCCGCATGGGCATCGCACAGAGGCCTTGCGCTGATCATGCAGCAAACGCACGATTTGTCAGTGAACATGGGGGCAAAAAACGGCACGGCGGCTGCATGGTCACCGCGCCTTTTCGCGCAATCTCTGCACGGAAGCTGCACGGGCTCCATACGATTTCCGTGCGGAGGCTGCGGAGACTGCACGGTTACTGCACTGAAATTTCACGATTTCCGTACAGTCTCCGAGCAGCCTCTGTACGGATTTGCCCCGGCCTTCCCCCAAGGGCCCATACAAAATATGGCACGATGCTCGTAGATAAACACAAACATCGTAGCCCGTAGCCTCCTACGATGCCCCCAAAATCGCACGAAAAATGGTAGACCAATTTCTCGTGCGGCGCCCGGGGCAAAGGTAATCTAGGCAAGGTTACACATATTTTGAGGGATTGAAATGTTACGCCTCTGACTCTCAAGTATATAGAGGTGTATTTTAATGTTGGCAAGAGTGGGGGGGGGGTAAGTTTATCGCCTGTTTATTAAGTTTATTACACAAAAGTATCAAGAGTGATTCCATAAGATTTTTTTTTTTCGATTTTTTTTTTTTTTTTTTTTTTTGGGGGGGGGGGTATTTTTTTTGTTGTGGAGGGGGGGGCTTTGGGAATTTGGAGGTTCTTACATTTCCTTTCTACATGTACCATGCTTATATTTATGTATAATTAACATACATTTACGATGTTTAACTTATTAGGCCTATTATTTTTCCAAATCCAAATGGTTAATTATGGAAAATAGCACGCAGTGCACTTTATACTGGCCTATTCGGTCTGATAGCTAAATATCGCATAACCTCCTTAAACCGCAATTATCCCTTCTCTCTTTTCTCTCTCTCTCTCTCTTCTCTCTCTCTCTCTCTCTATCTTCCTCTCTTTCTCTCTTTCTCTCTCTCTCTCTCTCTCTCTCTCTTTCTCTCTTTCTCTCTCTCTCTCTCTCTCTCTCTCTCTCTTCTATCTTCCTCTCTTTCTCTCTCTCTCTCTCTCTCTATCTCTATCTGTCTCTCTCTCTCACCTCCATCCCTTTTATCCAAGATGTAAGGGTGAGGAGAGTGTCACCGTTTGTCATGGCACAGGACCAGATTGGAGACCAAGTCCACCTTCGAGTCTTGATCACCTTCCATGAAAGCCAGCACACTACAAATGTTACAGGGATAAACCTGTGGAAACTCAGTGCTTGGGTAGCCCTTGATCAGACTAAGACTGGCAAAAGGTAAGATATGCCGACAACATAATATTTGCCTAAAATGCCTGAATGCCTAAAATATTGAAACTTACCCGGCTGCGACCAAGAATGACGTAAAAGTTTTTTTTTATAAAATATAGAACCTCAACAAAATCGAAAAGTTAACAAGAACTTAGTTGAAATGCGAAAAGCGAATACAAGACATTATCTAGTGAATACGTCACCAGACTGTTCACGTTTTAAGTCACGCCGCGGCACAAATGTTAGTTGGTAAGACATTTTCAATCTACATTTGCCTCTCTCCACCCAGGTTTAGTAAAATATCTATACTCCGCTCCTCAGATATGACTATAGAGAACAGATTCTTGATGCTACGCAGAGGTCACAGCAGTACGTGAAAGGCGAGACACCGGCGTTCGCTGTTGATTTAGGCATTGCGGACACTGCTGTTGTTTGTGGCACTGCCTTCTATATCTGTGTTAGATTCGACATCGACAGCAACTACCAAACGGAGCATGATCGTGGCTTTGAGTTCTCAGGTCTTCCTGATAACTCATCACTCATCGGTTGCACGTCACGGTCTACCACGATCCCTGAAGAGCGGTGCAGTACCGTAGACCAACCTGATGGTACGTAAAATCAGCACAGGCAGGTGGGGCGCAATTAATAATAATAATAATAATCTAAATATTTAAGTCCACTCCAAATTGTATTAAACCGAAAATGGAAATTCTTTTTGCCCAATTGATCGTGAGCCCGGCAGCCACTGAGCAGCGCCAGATGGGGGGGGGGGGGGGGTCCTCGGAAATTTGCACCATCCCCCCCCCCCTTGAACGCCAGGGGGGCCAATTCCCCCAAAAGCCAAAAATCACGTGTTTTTACATGATTTTTTTCCCAGGGGGAGGGGGGACCAGGCCCCCTGGGGCCCCTGGATCCGCCACTGCATACACACACACATACACACATGCACACACACCACAAACTCACACAGCACACACAAACTCATACAAAAAGAACGATTAAACACTTTTTCATTTTAAGTTTTACCTTAAGATTATTATTTTTTTCTTTTTTAAGCCGCCATCCTAGTCACGTTCGCTTATGATTGCGGTCTCCTGCACTTTTTCAATTGATAGTTTGGATTAGACTTTATTTATAATAATATGTTACATAAATATGAAGTTTCGTTATAATTTTTAAAACAATAATAACATTTTGAAATGAAGTTATCATTGTTTGTATATTTTGTATTATACCCTATGTTTACAGGTTCTTTGTTATTCTGTTATTATATTTGGAAAAATGCAGAAATAAAATAAAATAAAATAAAATCAAAAATTAGTTAAATACTTAATGCAGCTATTTATTCAAACTTGTGCTATTTCTTTTAACAATAAATGTTAATTCTTTACTTTCTTTCTAAAGAATCTCCTGTCAAGTCTGATGTGTGGATACCGCTGGTAATATCGACGATCGTTCACGTTGTAGTCGTAATCATCGTCCTGGCCATTGTGTACTTGCGTCGTCGGAAGAAATTCGAAAACCCGACAGATTGTGATGCCCACCAGATGATTTTGACAGAATAATTGTATAATTAATTCTTAAACAGGGAACTTCATGTTTTCTGTGTTATGTATTTCTTTGAGGAGAAGAGATGTATTTAATACCAACCATATCTCCGCAAAACAGACCAGTTCGTAATGGTAATAATGACCCCCAAATATTCACAGATCTTATACCAATGGAGTAGTCCCGCTTTGTGCATTTTGGAAAAATCATCGCCAAATTAATAGATGTAATTCATCTATACCGTTTGTCTGCTGTCGTGTGAAGAATAATTCCAACAGTGTTCCATATGTTGCCATAGGTGCATGAATGAATGTTTAATACATAACTCTCACCGTTGGGTTTTAAAATTTTTGGTACAAATTACATTTATCTGCCAATGCGCAGATTATATGTATATACTGGCTTATTGCTCAAGAAATGACAATCTGTCAAAGTCGTGATATCTTAAATGAGAGTAAAATCTGTCAACAAATAGTTTATTTAAACTTACATTCGGTGATTCAAATCGATCAGGAAGGCCAGTGGTGGATTCAGGGGGCACCGGAGAAACGCGTGCCCCTCCTCCTACCCAAGTGAAGAGAGAAAACACAATTGAAGAGTCATTGGCCGATAACTATTTTTTGGGTTTGTGGTTGTAATAGGCTTTACGGACTTTACGGAAATAGCCACCGCCTCCCCTCAGCAATAATCGGGCAAAAATCTTAACTTTTGGCCGAAAGGTAAATGAAAGTTAAAGAAAGAAGAAATTAAGCAGCGCTGACATTATAACCTCTGACATTTTTAACTCTGACATTTTACCGCTGACATTTTTTCTTCTGACAAAAAAAAATGTGGCTCTTACACCCCCCCCCCCCCCCCCCCCCCCGCTTATTCAGCGGCCATAATAATTTGTTTTGCTTTGGTTAAATGGAAATCCGATGAGTGTCGTGTTGGATAAGAATGTATATCGATGCCGCTTTTAGTAGCATAGTGTACATACATGTATATTGTAGTGTTCAGGCGCGTACGCATGGGGGGGGGGGGGTTGGGGTTAAACCCGACCCCCTTAAGTTTTTGTTACGTGTATGTTTTTCGAGAAACCCTTCCCCCCTCCCCCTCCCCCCTTCTGAGTGCTGATTTTTTTTTTTTTTTTATTAAAAAATAAAATAAAATCCTAATGGATGACCTAAAAAAGATGACCTTATCCCCCCCCCCCCAATAATGCTAAAGGTATAGTATTTATCCAAAATTCATACATAAAGATTGCAGTTTGAAAACTGTGAATATCATCGATTTTAATTTTTTTTTAGTTTATAAAATATTGGATCAGTATGGGCTAAATAATGTGAATGTGTACAAAGACGGAGTGCTCTCTTTTGGAGACGATATAATAACATAATTTTCATCTTATTACTATTACCCCACGTTATGTTACAATAAGATATGTATGACAAAATGAAGGAATTGTAAAGCATAAATAGTGACTTTTGTGATAGATAATATTTCAATTTATATAAAATGCCTATGCCTCTCGAGGCTAGCATGCAAATGTTGTTAGTATGACTATTCCAAGTTAAATTTCAATCAATCATTACACCTAAGAATTTTGTAACTTCTTTTTCAATTATGGGTATGTCATCTATAAAAATATCATACTGAAGTACATGATTAGAGTTTATGTTTTTGAAATAAATACAATTAGTCTTATTAATATTTAGAAAGAGTTTATTGGATTTGAACCAAGATGATAGTTTATTTAATTCTTAATTGAGGGTTGTAAGAAGAATGCTTAAAGTCTTTTTGTGAATAAATACGTTTCTCATATCATCATACCAAATTAAGTTACAAAACCAAAGTCATATCTAACTACCCTTTCTACACAACTCGGATCGCAGGACAATGTGTAGTGTGTGACGGGCTTAACTGTAAAGTGGAGTGGATGAATATGGACTGGATAGTTGCGTGTGAGTGTGCGTATAAACGAGAGAGCAAAATGAGTTTAATAAACAGAGAGGAAAGAGGGAAATTAAGTGTTACAGAATCGAAAGAGAAGAGAATGGTAAGGTCATAGGTGTTGCACAGGTTTAGGACGAAGCTACCGAAGTATTAAAAGCGATTTAATTTTGGACTCGCACTGTAGAGGGATATAGAGGCCAGGAAGAAAGTAGGAAGAGAGAGTGTGTGTGCGTGCGCGTGTGCATGTGTTTGAGTGTGAGAGTGATAGGGAGACACAGAGACACACATGGGCTACCTCCACTGGCGTACCTATGGGGGGGGGCAGGGGGGCAGAGTGCCCCCCCCCCCCTGACGGGCTCCAGGAGAAAAAAAGAAAAAGGGGAAAGAAAAAAAAGAAAGGAAAAGGAAAGAAAAAGAAAAAAGGAAAAGGGAAGAAAAAAGGAAAAGGGAAGAAAAAAGGAAAGAAAGAGAAAAAAGGAAAAAAGGGAAAGAAAAAAGGAAGAAGAAGAAAAAAGGAAGAAAAAGGGGGAAAAAAAAGGAAAGGAATAAAAATGGGGAAATTAAAAAAAAAAAGACCATGGCCGTACGCACCAGGGGGGGGGGGGGCAGTTGACCCCAGATATTTGAAAACGTACAGTTTTTTTCCTGAAAATGTATTGTAGGCCTATACCAAATCCTTCAATTCTACTTTTGAAAATGCAAAAGTACCCTCATGACCAGTTCGGTCGCTCGAACTCCCTTCACTCCTTTTGCTTTCCCCCTCCCCCACCAGAACAATATTCCGCATACGGCCCTGAAAATTAAAACAAATGAAAATAGGAAAATATAAGTGATATAACAAATTTAAAACTCTTCGCTGGCGCGAACTGCTTGCTAGCCTATTTTGTATTAAATGTTTTCACTTGCTCGTCCCCCTGAAAAAAGAAAAGGATTAGTATTGCCTAGAATACAATTGTGCCTGCCCCGACGGGCCCCGACCTGCAACCATGGCAACAATAACACACAATATATGTACCAAATGTTACTAAAAGAGACTAATTCATTTTTCTCGCTCGCTACACTCGCTCACGAATAAAATGAATAGACATTGCTTTGGAAACAATTGTGCCCACCCTTGACCTGCAACAATATCATTAAATACGGAAGAGTGTTTTCGCCCTCTCGCCAAAAAGGAATTGAATCGCGTTAAACGCGATTGCGTCCATCCTGACCTGCACCAATAAAAACAAGTTTATTTATTAATTTTATTAAAAGATAATTTGTTTTGCTTGCTCGCTATGCTCGCTCGCCAAAATGGAATTGACACCGCTATAACGTGCCCGCCCCAACCTGCAATAACCAGTTAATAATTATGTACCAAACGTTATTCAAAGAAGTTTTGGTGTGCTCGTGCTCGCCAAAATGGAATTAACATCACCTTAGACATGATTGTGTAAGCCCTGCCCTGCAACAAAAAAATCTGAAATTTATGAACCAATTATCATTACAAAATTTTTTGCTCGCTCGCCAAAATAAGAAATAACACCCCTTTTAATAATCACGTCCCTGACATGGAACAATGAACCCAAGTTTATATACCATATTTTCCCTATAAAAGAGAAGTGATTTTTTTTTGCTCGCTCGCTACGCTCGCTCGCGAAAAAAATAGAAATAACACCGCTTTTAATTATCACGTCCCTGACATGGAACAATGAACCCAAGTTTTATGTACCATATTTTCCCTATAAAAGAGAAGTGATTTTTTTTTTGCTCGCTCGCTCGCCAAAATAGAAATAACACCGCTTTTAATAATCACGTCCCTGACATGGAACAATGAACCCAAGTTTTATGTACCATATTTTCCCTATAAAAGAAAAGTAATTTTTTTTTTTCGCTCGCTACGCTCGCAAGCTCGTGGAATTATGTGCCCACCACTAACTTGCTACAATATCATTAAAAAGAGAAATGTAGGGGGTTGCCTGCCCGCCAAAATGGGATTGACATTACCTTAAACACGATTGTGCCCGCCCCCTACCTGCAACAATGAAACAAATTTTATATAGCAATTCATTGAGAGAAAGATGTATTTTCGCTCGCTAGCTAAAATGGGTATAAAATCACCCTAAATACAATATTGTTCCCGCGCCCTGCATGGGACAATTGAACCAAGTTTAAGTGGCAATTATTAAAAAAGAAGTGATTTTTTTTTCTTGCTCGCTACACTCGTTTGCAAAAAAATGAAATTAACGTCGCTAACAAGTGAATGTTCCCACCCCCAACTTGCAACAATACCAGTTTATATACCAAACGTTACTTAAAGAATTTTTTTTTTGCTCGCTCGCTCGCCAGAAGTGAAAATTAGCATCGCCTTTTTTGTTTGTTTCGGTCGCTTGCCCCCCCCCCCCCCCCCCTGACGGAGTACCCCCAGGTACGCCACTGGCTACCTCCCTCCCCTCTTTCTTTGTCCAGCCCCCCACAGTGGGCCAGGGAGGAACCTATTGATTCGGGGCAATGTTGCAAGGAAAACGGCGCTAACATAATAACGGGCAGAATCGGGCAGCCAAATCCGGTATCAACTTAAAGCTTGGACATCAGAGAAAATGTTAGTAATAAAATTTAAGCGAAAATCCCTGGAAATCCAAACATTCCTCTGGATTTATAAAAAATAAATCCCCAAACATGAGTTTTGGCGCATTTTGGTTCCTCCCTGGCCCACTGTGCGCCCCCTCCCCATTTTCTCTCTCTCTCTCTCTCTCTCTCTCTCTCTCTCTCTCTCTCTCTCTCTCTCTCTCAATGCATGATTGATTAATTTGTATATAGTAGTAATATATACATGTAGATGTATAAATACATATGATGAAATATACAACAGAAAATATATATCATTTACTTTGACTGGGGATGTGTCCCATGACTTCTAATTAATCTATTGCCAGTGAAGGTCCCCCCCCCCCCCCTCTCTCTCTCTCTCTCTCTCTCCCCCTCTCTCTCTCTCTCTCTCTCTCTCTCTCTCTCATGTGCTTATATATATCCACATTGTTTGTCCACATGATTGTTATACATCTATTGCAACAACATTTAGAAACGTAATTAGTTGCTTTCGCCAGAGGGTGTGCTTAGGAAACTGTAGATCATTGATAGTATAAACTGAGATTGGTGTAATTTGGGCACGATACTTTGAAAGTTGCTTTGTTGGGCAAGACACGGCAACGAATGCGTGACCGAGTGTGTCTACAAAGATGAAATTGTCCTTTCTTTACGAGTATAGAATGCTCTTTTAATGCTTAAAAAAATAAAATGAACAGTAACTGATTATCACGGATTTTGGCGTTCTTTTCAGTACTTTCCACCACTTCGATTCCTCAGAACGTTTACAAATTTGTTAAGTGCATATTATGAAAATAGAACAGTGGAAATATTTTCTGTTGTAGTAAGTTTCATGCCTCTTTTACATGAAATGGTGATCAAAACCAATACCACAACCGGTATCTAATTCAACAAAAACAAAAATACATGAAATCTTTCATTAATTTAGGGATTTTATTACCCTTCCAATGTTTCCTTTGTTTGTTAATTAAAGCAGGAAGTTATGAGGTTTAAAGGTATACACGCAGCTATATCATGTCATGTAAAACAGTCCATGATAAATATATTTGCATAAATCAGATGAATAGGCAAAATCAACTTTCTCCATCAGAAACAGATGTGACACAAGACAATTTGCATAATATTATTTTCATTTCAACAAAGAGGCAAAATAATTCACCTGTTTAGAGCAAGGAGGGCTTTAACTCATACTCTTTTACAATGGGTTAATGCCGTTCTGTCTCTAAACAAAATATGGCATCTTTATGATTCTAAAGCACCTATAATTACTAGTACTGTAAATAATAATAAAGAAATAAAATAAATAAACAGAAATCCTCCTGTTACATAAGATAAAAGGCATGCAGAATGCAATTTAAAGTATATAATGTAATATATTTAACACATCATTATTTGGGAGCGGGAAAAGCTCAATGCGGTGTGATAATAAAATGATGAATTTAGAATATCGTCATCATGAACACTTTGAAGAATTTGTCTATCTGTTGCTCCAAGAGCCGAAATCTCTGACAATCTCCTACATTACTAGTAAATCATACACGTATCCTATGGTTTGATATGTATATAGCAATATAGCAGGATAGACAATGTATAGTATAGAGCTGCAAAATATACAAGCATTATCCCCATATACAACCCATTTTATCTTCTGTATGATATAACGCTACATTTACTATAAAAGAATCTAGTATCTAATAAATAATACAAATATTTACATACCTCATGTACATTATGAATAAGTAATAAGGCAATTATGGGGGGGGGGGCGGAGAATATGAAACAATTTCCTTTTTTTCTTGGGTGATTTCTCAACAATAACATCTTCCAACAAATGTATATTTAATTTAGTAAGCCATCATATAGTCTTCAGATAAAATATACAATACAAAGAAGGAAAGGGGGGTAATAACATTGACTTTTGCCTGAATTTTATAAACTGAAAGCAAATTTTAAAATCAAAGGCTTTTTTTCACTTACAAATCGATGGTTTACAATACGGTATTATAAAAAAAAATGTAATATTGCAAAATATACATATACCATCTATCTATTTTTAAAAAAAGTTAATGTAAATAAAAGCTCTTATTACTTACAAATCAGTGGTTGGCAATGTATGACCATGTATGTGATTATGTAAAATATAGCATCTTCATTTTTTTATTTAGCACTATATAAACTGTATTATATACCAATTTGCTGAGAGTTTCAGGGCCCTGTTTGATAAAACTTGTTATCAATAACAAATGCTAAAATTATATGACAAATTTGATCGAAACGAATCGAATACCATGATTTCAGTAGCTTACACTATGAATATGACAGACAAAGGAAGCGGACAAAATATACAGTTCCTCAGGTAGACAAAGGAACATCCCTTCACTGCTATTATGTAAAAATGTGTAGAACAGAAGAATATGCATGTGACACCTGTTCTACACATTTTTACATAACAGCAGTGAAGGGAGGTTCCTAATATGTCTACCTGAGGAACTGTTTATTTTGTCCGCTTTCTTTGTCAGTAATGTTCATAGTGTTATAACAGCTACTGTAACTTGTTATTGATAACAAATTTTATGAAATAGGGCCCAGTTTCTTTGTAAGGCAATGTTGATTCAAATGAAAGACCGTACTTGGCACAAAAATAGTATTTTCAGTCTTGACCAACTTGGACTCCAAAAAGGGTTTCAGCTACATATAATACCTAAGGTTGAGATAACCAAGTGGATCAGAATCAAAACACATATTCATGTCACATTTTTTTCCTTCAAAATAATCTTCAATTTCTGTCGGGATAAAAGTGAACACCCTAATCTTCCTCCAAACCGATGATAACACAATCACATAGAGTATAATGATGACATTAGGCACAGCACTTATCTATCTTTGGCAGCACTCTCAAGATATTAACTCAAAGCACAATCCTACTAGGAATGAAATCTAAGGCACTCTAAGGGCACAGCAATACCAACTATACATGTATCTGTCACTAACAATTGCATAAGCATTTTAAAGATCCCTTGAAAATGGCTTCAATGACAATCTCTCTTAAGTTCAATCAAGTATAGTGTATTGGTTCTCGTGATGCTCTTCTTTGATCATTTAATGAAGTATGAACTATGGGTAGCTACATGCAAATACACAACAATGTACATGTATTTTCAAACCAAAGAAATATATATAAATTCATTCATTCAAGAAAAATTAAGTCATAATGTTTTTTTGGCAAAAATATAAGTAAGCAAACCCTTTGCAATAGTTTCTATGTATATAATTTGAAAGACATCAAGAATCTTATTCAGTGTTGTAAGAACTTTACACCATGTATTGTATTTACAAAGGGAATCATAAAACAAACGTATGACACTACATACATGTACATATACTTCACCTCTACATGGATATTGGAAATGGTGCTAAAAACACGTTGGCCAGAATTCACAAAGGAGGTTTGTCGACAAACCTCCTTTTGTTCTTTACAAACCAGGTTTGTGAAAAACGTGTAAAAACGCGTCGACAAACAAGGTTTGTCAAGGTTTGTCGACAAACCTCCTTTGTGAATTCGGGCCGTTATGTCTGTCCATAATGTCACAAACTTAAACTTAATGTACAGGCTTCGCCTCATAGCAATGAATTTGCACATACATGTACATGTACAGTTCAAGCTTTTCAGGAAATGCACGATTCACATTGGACAAGAAAGATTTCAGTGTATTTGTGAGTTTTTCTGTCTTCCTGGCTAGAAGTGTGGGGATATGAAATTATCATATTAACACCAGTCCTACAGTAGACAGAGCACAAAAGGAAAGGAAATATGCATACATTCTCTACTTTCATAGTGAAGGGTTGCCAATTTGATGATGAACACAAAATAAGGAATTTACCCCTCTCCATGCCCTGGGAGGCACGACCAATCCAACATCTGGGGGGTGTTTCACAAAACTTATCATCAGGGACAAATGACAGATTTTGTTATAAGCTACTGAAATCCTTGCTTCTGATTGGTTATCACTGACTTTTGTCATTTGTCATTCAAAAAAGGCTTTGTGAAACGGGTCCCAGAAGTTACATTGTAGCTAGAATGTTTTTGTGGGGGATTACAAATAGTCAGTTCCCTTCCCAGGGCAAAACAGGTAATTGAATTAGATACCCTTGCATGTTTTTAATCCATGTACTATAATACATTTTACAATGACATATAAATTTGACCTCAACACAAGACATGTGAAAATGTCTTGATGGATAGCTGCTTGCGTATAGAGTCAACAAAGGTGCGAAGCTGTATTCTGGCAAGCTTTGCTTCTGTCTTTTCTTTCCATCAGGAATGGCAATATAGGCAATCATCAGGCTTTAGGACCATGGCAATCATGTTGAAATGAGTTGTACAAAGACTGTCTACTCTAACTTGGTGCGTAGGAATAGCTATGTTTCTCCTGGCTCACTTTATCTTATGAAGCTTGAGGAACTCAGCTGCTTCTTTGTCTGAAGACCTCTCCTTGAGAGTCTGGACGTACATCCATGCTTCATCCTCTGATCAATAAAGACATCAAAAAGAGACAGTTAACATAGAATGGCACATTTGTAGCACTGAAGCTGACAGGTTTAGCCTAAGAGTGATAACTGTGTGGTAACCAAATGATTAAATGATTAAAAGGAGTTACATGTAATCTATATGTATCAAAACCCTGCACCAATGGAGTGCCAGGAGTGGCTATGTGCCAGACACGAGTGCTACATGAGATTCCACTGTTATTATCATTATCCTTAACTCTGTAAAGTCTTGGATGTTGCCAATAAAGAAGTGTGCAGTACCTTTAGTAACACCCGGTAGAAGATGAAGTAAGATGGGTGATTCTTCACCAAGGTTCTTGCTCTTCTTGCCATGAACACCAGGGACATCGTTTATCTGCAGGTACGCCTCACCACCAAAGTCATTCTTGAGAAAGTCATAGTCCATGAGGACAAAGTGGACGGTAGCACCGTAAGATAACACCTGGTTGTGAGGCACATTGCTGCAGGGGGTATCAGATAGAGAGTCATTAGTTAGAAAGTCATAGTCCATGAGGACAAAGTGGACGGTAGCACCGTAAGATAACACCTGGTTGTGAGGCACATTGCTGCAGGAGGTATCAGATAGAAAGTCATTAGTTAGAAAGCCATAGTCCATGAGGTCAAAGTGGTCGGTAGCACCGTAAGATAACACCAGGTTGTGAGGTACATTGCTGGGGGGTATCAGATAGAAAGTCATTAGTTAGAAAGTCATAGTCCATGAGGACGAAGTGGACGGTAGCACCGTAAGATAACACCTGGTTGTGACGTACATTGCTGCAGGAGGTATCAGATAGAAAGTCATTAGTTAGAAAGTCATAGTCCATGAGGACGAAGTGGACGGTAGCACCGTAAGATAACACCTGGTTGTGAGGTACATTGCTTCGGGGTATCAGATAGAATTCAATTCAATTATTCAATTCAATTAAGTTTATTCATTTTCATAAAAAATCACATTACAAGAACACATACATTAACAAAATTTGCTGTAAATAACATCTGTAAATCTGTCACTAGAATATACATAAGTACATTAAAATATTATGTACAATAATGGAAAATTAAAATGAAAATAGTGACCTTCTCTCTCAGCCCTTAAACGAGCAGTCTTTACAAGTCTTATGTGTACATGTACATGTATCACCACGTACAATGTAAATGCACATTAAATCTGCGTCACATAGTATTTATGAAGGGATAGAGTCTTTAGACATAGGATTCAAGATTTATATTTAACTGTTCGAGTGTCAGATTAATCTACATGTATACTAGAGTTAAAATTGAGCTAATCAAGACTGGAAATGGGTAATTTTGCAAAGCCATTGTGTTGCATAAAGCAATCATCAACTGGTGCCTATTGTTTTGTGCAAAAGTGCACTTGTGGCAAATGGGTGACCCTGTAAAGAGGCAAAGAAAGCAGCCAACTTGTTAGAGCCCATTCCAAGATTCATGGAATTCATATCTGGGTATAATATAATTAACACTTAGTAGATAATATGTAGTAGTCCTATATAACCTACATTTACCTCCAAATTCAACATTTCTGGTCCCTCATTATATTTCAACCTCGACTTCTAACCTCGGTGCAATATATCACCACCCAGAAAATTCTAAATGTGTCGGTTCATATATTTTGCTGTATTGAACTCGGGAGCATTAAATATTTGTATCATATTCACATGTACTCACAATTCAAAGGTCTCGTCAAAGAGCGGATGCAACGTCTTCTTGATGACCTGTGTTTTCTGGAAGTGAGTCTGAGGAAAGACGTGGTGAGGCTGTAGGTACACTATCACGTACGGATCACTCAAACCTGTATTGGGGAAAGTAAGCATCAAAAACCTTTAAATTGGCAACATCTACAGTGAACATGCATAAATTTCAGGAAGTTTTAAGAGAGAAATTTGTCTAGAATGAATTTAACCACACTGTCCACAATCAAACATCATTTGCATCATCTCAATGCAATGAAACAAGACCACGATCTTAGTTTTCATTCATTGTGTCTATGCCATGAGCCAGAAATGGCATGGTGGTACAGAGTACATTGTCAAGATAGCAGGTTGAAATTATCCTGCTTCAGCTTTAAACTCCCCTCACGTGTCATTCACATGCAGAAAAAAAAGCAGCCAATCTCTGAACTGGTAGAACATTACAATTTTGTTTACAAAAATTCACATACTTTGACATCAATACATTTAGCAATAAGGAGAATACTCAAGATTTAAGGTTTACCTACCATTGTCATCCATAGGTCTGATTTGAGTAGCATTCATGACCCTGACTCTGAGTTTCTGCTGACTCTGTTTATAATTGCACTTGATTGTAAGGGTTCCTAGGGGAGAATCAGACTGGTTCGCTGCTTCCTGAAATAAAAAATAAACGAAGGAAGGTATTGAATTGATTTGAATATAGAAAAACATTGAGAAACATCTTTAAAAACAGCTATAATCAATATCACTTGATGCCCATTGAAGTGAGAATCTTTATTGAAGTTAACTATAAGTCTTAAGTAATCTCTAGTCTTATCACTTGTACATACCTCTTCTACCTTGGATAAAATCTAACTTCATGCAATTCATAAACAAATAAACAACATGTACTCTTAATCTCATTCACATCTGCTATTGGATTAGAAGCTTTCTTATTCCTACATCATTCTTGACTCAATTCCTTCCAAACCATTTCAAACCAACCAAGTGCAACCCACTTTGGTAACTCAATGCCACTCCTGCACTCAACTCAACCCAACTCAACTCAACTCCACTCAACTTGACTCAATCTGAAACTATCCAAACTCAATTTTTTTTTTCACGTCAATTCACCTCCTGCATGACCCTAGCCATCAGATACATTACAATCAGTCTCAACTCATCTCAACTCATCTTAACTGATCTTAAACTCACCTGTTGAACTCAACCCCCCAAAAAAATCAAATCATCTCAACCAATATTCAATTCACCTTCTGTATGAACCTAGCTATCAGATACCTTACAATCAGTCTCATCTCATCTCAACTCATCTTAACTCATCTCAAACCCATCTGTTCAACTCAATCCCAAAAACTAAATCATTTACATCAATCTAAAATTCATCTCGTCAACTCAACTCAAATAAGTTTAACTCATCCCTATCAATCTCAAACTCACCTACTGCATGATCCTAGCCATAAGGTAGTCTTATATCAAAATAGTATAACTCATGTTGATTTATCTCAGCTCAGCTTGACTCCTCTCAATCACTTTCAAAATCTCATTTGACATGACCCTTGCTATCAGGAAGTTTGCAATCACTCTCAACTCGATTCACTTCACCTCATTGTAATCAATTTCAAACTTATCTTCTGCATGACTCTAGCCATCAGGTAATCAGTCTCAATTCAACAAAAATAAACTCAACTTGTTTTAATTAATGTCAAACTCATCTGAAGCCTGACCCTTGCTATTTTATTAGTAGTCAGTCCCAACTCATCTCAACTCACCTCAACTCATCTCAATCAAGACTCGCCTCTTAACCTCAAATAAACCCAACTTGCCTTAATCTCAAACTCACCTGCTGCATGCCCCTAGCCATGAGGTAGTCTTCAATCAGTCTCTTTGTGGAGGTACCAAACTTGCCGAGTTTGCCCATGGCTTCCTTGAACGCTTGACACTCAATCACTTTCATGGGTAGACCCTTTCCTTCCGCATGGAAGAAATTACCAATCACCTAAGGTTCAATTAAAGGAATAAAAGAACTATGAACGCTCCCCACTTTCCTCAAGTCAAATCACCATTCACGTTAACTATATCAATCACAGTAATATAAGGAATCATCTCTTTGGAGCCGGAAGGATGTTAACGAAATATACCTTAACCAGGGCTCCACAATAACTTTTTTCATAGGCGGTCTAGATTGAGAGTTCTAAGATTTGCATGCATGAGCCCCTTGTTAAAACTCGTGTCTACTTCGGTGTCAACTCTTTCTCATGGTCATCGCTCTTTTTGCAAAGCTTCTGCTGATTTTTGGAACAAACTACCTTTACATGTCAACAACTGTCAAACTGTCAACCAATTTGAAACTTGTCTCAAAACAAATTTCTTCAAAATTGCTTTTGATGATTAACTTACTCTGCTCACATTGATGTATATTTCATATGTATTGTAATTTGTAGGTTTATTTGTTTTGTTTAATATGTAATTGTTTATCATTGTATTTCATTTTTTATAGCCCTTAGAGACTTCAGTGGAAAGCGCTTTTCTAGCACCGTTTTTATTATTCTTAATTGGATTTTGGGTGCCCATGTGTCCCAGGCACCTGTTAGTGTTGAACCTTAACACAGTGAGAATAAACACCATTTTGGCTCTCAACAAACAAAATGTAGAAGAACACGTCTCATCTTTATAATGAATAAATAACCTTTATTTACAATCATCAGGCTACATAATGAACTACACATAGCCACCCACTTCAGGTACATATTGTTGCTCATTTTCATGATGTTATTTATGCCAAATTATTGTTAGTCAGATATCATCATTTGAAACAAAGCAAACTTCATGAAGAGGGAACCAGTTACAACTGCACCGTAAAATCGCTGTTCAGTTATTTACTTCACATTTTCTGCCAGAGAACTCTTTGAAGTTCAAAGAAATTAAAGAAAAGAAAGAGGTACATGTATGATTTGTGTACTCACATCATAAGCATCATGCATTCTCTGCCCAATCAGAGGATGTTGATTAAGTGTCTGTGAAACAAAACAAACAAAACAGTTGAAACATCATACTCTTCACAGTAACAATGACACAGAATTGTTTATTCTATCTGAGCAAAAGGTAAACTGTCCTGTAAATAGAGTAAAAGTCTTGTCATAACTTGCTAATTCTAATCTAACAACAACCATAGTCACTATCGCAGATATGAACCACTGTTATTGAATGCAACTATGTACATGTACATGTGCACGTACAAAAGAAAATGCATAACAAATCAAACTCAATGGTAATGAAAGGAAAGGCTGAATAGTGAGAAGGATAAAAGGTAGAATAATGGAAGCTTTTAAAACTTAATTTTTGTTGATACCTACATTATTTATAAATGTACATGTACATATGTAAAAACATTTACCTGTTATTTGCAATACTTCCATATATTTTATAGATCTACATGTACACATATAAAATTTTGACTATGAATTACCATCGGAGCTAGCATTTTAAGATATAACAGGGTCTTGGTATCAGACAAGATTTAAAGACGTGTACATATTCTATACAGGAAACAAGGAATATTTCTTCACCTTGTAGCCACTGTTGACCATCTCTTTCAGGATATTCAAGACAACAAGCCACAGCTCTTCCAAAATTCTAAAAACCGCAACAGCACAGAACAAAAGAAGAACAAAAGATCTCTGATTACACACATTTCATGCTATTGATACAGGTTCATCATCTTAAATTGTGATATTTTTCTTTAAACCCTTGATTATAAATAATTTCAAGGCATTAAGATTTTTCATATTTATCTAAAGAAAATCTTAATCTATATGCTTATCACAAAGTTAGATTTAAACACACTACATGACAGATAATAGTTTTTACTACAATCATATAACATCTTAATTGCATTAGAGATATATTTCAAATCTTAGTAAATATAATACAGTCAAACCTGCATTAGTGACCACCTGTCTACAAAGACCACATTTTTTGTTTCCCTTGAAAATGGTTTTCTCATTGAAACTTATACTAAAGGAACCTGTCTACAAAGACCAACTATCTACAAAGACCACTGTTTGTGTTTCCCTTGGGCGGTCGTTATAGACAGGTTTGACTGTTATAATAATATTCTAGGTTTATACAGCGCTTAATACACAGACACTCAGATTCAGGCTTGCCAGCACACAATGTATACACAATCTCCTCTCCCTAGGGAGCATTCCAGCCAGGCATTATTTTACAGACATTGATAATGCTGTGCAAACTACAATGATGTTTCTTCCTAGCAGGTACCCATTTTACACCTGGGTAGAGAGTGGCAAATGAGGATTAATGTCTTGCCGCAGAACAGTAAAGCTGGGCTGGGATTCAAACCCTCTACCCTTGGATTAAGAGTCAATTGAATGAACAACTATAGAACAACACCTCCTAACAGTAGCATCACTTAAAACACTATTTAGTAATTAACTTGTTTTTTTACCTTTGGAAGTTAGCTTTCAATAGACAGCTGTGTAGCGTGATAAGATTGCTATCAAGATACTCCATTAAAGGTGTTATCACCTAAAGGATAAAACCAAAAACAAACAAAAAATGTCATCATCATAAATGATCTTGTTAAAACAATTCAAGGATTGTTCAGATATGTGTATGCAACAGTTAGCTTTCAGACATGTATCAGAACAAGAAACATGTCAAAACTCACTATTGAGTATACCAGAGATAAATATCTGTGTAAAATTATAACATCAATGGGATAGTTGGGCAGATATTATGCACACAAATTTTTTAAGATGAAAGGTGACCGAGTGTGTTCAACTAAAAGTTGCAATTCGTTATAAACCAATGGTTCAAAATTTGGGACCAATCAATATTTTCTAGAACTCACATCATCAAGGTTGGACTCAGGTGGAGCGGACATGAGGGGTGCCGTGTACTTCCTGAAGTCCGGCTCCATCTTCTGACCAACGTGTCTGACCACCTTACCGATCACATTCAGCATGTCCTCGTCCGCACTGGCCAGCATGGTATGAAGGGTCAGTCCGCACTGCTCTGACCCCACTGACCCGTGCTCGATGAGGAGACCGTCGAGCACGCGCTCAAAGTCGAGCTGGACGGGGAGGCTGGAGAGGTAGCGCCGGACCTGCTCGATGTTGTTGACTGCTATGCAGAGCTGGTAGAAAAGTGGTGATATTGTTAAAGATACTCATGCTTGGGTGTATGTTCATGAACTTGGCGAAGACTGAGCCAACGGGTATTACGCTCCCGTACGGACATACACATAAAGGGACACTAGTATGCACGGGAGCGTAATACCTGTTGGTTCAGTGTGCTACCCTCTATATACCCAAGCTTGAACAACTTTAATAATTATAATGATAACAATATTTGGATATATCATATCAGTCAGACTGCATAGTCATACCACCCTGTAAGTCAGGGCATGATAGTTCAAACCATATGTCGCTTTATATTGGTTGACCTCTTGTCGTCACAGATGTAACTAGTGTAAACAAACGTTATGTATATATGTAATATATTATGTAAACTTCATTGAAAATTTATTTATATGGAATTGCATGTTTTTTATTCAATGTGTTGCACCAATATTTTATACAAAGATGGTATTGAATTGAATAAAATGAAATGATTCAAATAAAGTGAATTGAATATCAGAGGGCATTTACCTGGTCTGTAACGTCAAACCGACCCTCATCATCATAGAACTTGTTCTCATTCAGCTTTCTGTGGATGATGTTTGCATAATCTACAGCTCCCTGACGAATATCCTGTCAATAGAGTGATAATGGCATACTAGGCTTACCATATGTCAAACGTTAGAGTGGCTCTTGACAATCATTCCACTTTTTCTGGTTTGGCGAATAACTTTTGATTTACAGTATTAACAATTATACCGAATAAATGAATAGAAAAGGAAAAAGTTTCTGTCCACCTTGCGTCCATTTTTGTTGGATGACAATATTGCGTTTGATGCCAGGAGTTTTCAAAAGGAAAATAATCCTTACCACCCTTAAATTGGTAACACATTGGAGGGGTCAAAATAATTGCTTTTAAATCAAAATTGGCTTTTTCTGAGATATCAAATTTTATTTGAACAATGTTCCAATAAAAAAATATTATTGTTGCTAATTTGATGAACAACATGTGATCAATTTAGGCCTCTAAATAAATTCATGTCCTGAATGGGTTAATATTAACAAATGAGTACATATGAAAATAAGGCTGCATATTGTTCTGGCAGATATAAATGACAGCTCAAAGTGTCATTTTTATCAGTATATCCACTCACAGTATTACAAATCTGGTAAAAGTATTTAACATGAACAGTATAATCGTTCATACTTTTTTTTAAAGGTCAGCACTCATGGCTATTAAAGTATACAAACATGTTTAAAATTTCATACAAAGAGCGATCAAGATTAACTGCGGTTTTAAAGCCCCAAAGATAAACGTTTATCCAAAGTCAATGCTTACATCTGTAACCTTGGCAACAAAAACGTATGCTCCATTTTTATCTGGCCAGTTCAGCTTGGTCCAGAATTCCTTGATCTGCATAGGACAAAGAAAGCAAACAGAGGCATGTTGTCATGGTTGATACATGGACAAAAGTGTACTACATACATGTACATATATAGCTGACGTGCGTTCGGCAGTGTCAGCTTTGTGGCAAATTTTTATTTATAAAATTCATGAAACCCTATAACAAAACTAAAACACAATTTCAACTCAAGGCCTTATCCCACTCTCGTTGATAAAATAAAAAACCAAGAAATTGCCAGATCACCTTCATGACAGGAAGTCCTGCATACCGAAATCCATCAAATGAAAAGAAATCAGAAACATAGCATTACCTGAACAAAAGTAGTTGTGGCATCTACTGCTGATGAACTGTGCTTCACCATAGAGTCTACAAGCCTCACCTGTCATCCAGAAACAAAAGAGGATAATGTGTGACGCAAAGAAATACTTTTCGTAAAAATGAGAAAGTGCTAAAACAAATACTGGTACATTTGAGAGGTAAATTAATTGTCAGCTCAGAAGGTACTATCATGTAATAATATCTCACTAGGTAGAAACTATTAAGCCTGTCTGTACTAGTTTGGCCAGGAGGGATTAGACCACCCAGCAAGGTCACTGACAGGTGGCTATCTCATCAACTCAGCTCTCAATGAACATAAGAAAAAGAGGTTCATGGGGGACCAACAGGCACCGTTTTGGCATTGTTTTCTATATAGAGGGAGCAAGTAGCTACATACAGGTAGTACAGTGGGGCTTTAAAGAGTTTCAGCAATTTTCAGGATAAAATTAACACAATCTTACGTCATTCTAAAAGGAAGGGTCACCTCTTCAGGAAAACCACTTGTCTTCATTGACCACTGCTCCACAGACTTTTGAACAATAATAAGTGTGTGAAACCTATCCTATCCACTTGCACAACTTTCTGTGTACTCGATATTACCCTGTTCTTATTCGTAGTGTGCCTACCGGTATGTTAATATATCATAGTTTCTGAAACCTATCTTATCCACTTGCACATCCTTTCTCTGTACTTATAATTTAAGTACCAGTATGCCAAGAGCTTGTAACCCACCTCATCAACTTCCACAGCCTTCTGTATGCGTGCTCTGGCCTTGCTCCTCGCGAGCTCAAACCACTGCTCTACAGACTTCTTGAAAACCATGTGATAGTTCTTGGTCTCCAAGTCTGAACGATACCTGTAAGAGGCAAGGTGAGGTGTGATCATCATTGTGAAGGTTTTCGTTAGTATTTAGTTGAACAAAAGTACTTCTTGTGCTATTAATGCTATACAGAGTCATATATTTTGAGATACATGTATACATACAAAATATATGCACATACACAAAAAGCCTACACACATACAAATCTGAATGTGTTTCGTAGGTTATTTATTGCATAGACCCACATCATTACTTTGAATTCTCTCTAATGGAAGAGTCTGATATTGGTCTGTACAATTTTGTCAAGATTTAAATCATTTATGTCAGAAGTGTTTAATATCTAAAAAAGAACCCTTTTGTACAATTTGCTTGGCTATAAATGCTTCAATACACAAATGCACCCCACGCCCTCCCAAGCATACAATCACTATCCCTTCAGAAACAGCATGAAGGCAGAAAGATAAATTCATATAAACACTCTTATCAATATGTGCATCAGGTACATTGTACTCTATGGGGGGGGGGGGGTAAATAACTTCACAAATACCCTTGCTATAATACAAAATGGAAACCACTAATTAAATTGCATTGCTCAGACTATCTACCAATCTATCTTTCAACCTATCTATCTATCTATCTATCTATCTTTCTATCTGTCTATCTATCTATCTGTCTGTCTGTCTACCTATCTATATTTCTATCTATCTACATTGTAATCTACTTGTAAAATGACGCCTGGCTGGAATGCTCCCCGGGGAGTGGAGAATGTGCATACATTGTGTGCGGGTAAGCCTGAATCCGATGACCGAGGTAATAATATATATTTGTAAAGCGCTTTGAAAGGGCCTTTCGGTCATGAAAACCACTATATAAAAACTAGCTATTATCATTATTATTATGGATCTTGAGAAACAGGTCCTCCTTAACTTTCTGTTTGTATATAAAAAGGAAATCATGCATGGGTCATTTTTTATTTATTTATTTCCTGTTTTGTTCTGTTTGAAAAAGTACAAGTACGGATTGTATTGAACATGTATTTGGCTTAAGGGGCATATCAGAAGATTCAAGTAGACAAGACTTACGATCTATCTGCCGCTGTATGGAAGCCCCTGACAGCCAGGAAGAGTGAGAACAGAGCAATGGCCGTCTGGTGGCTGTCATTCCGGGAAAGCTTCCCCACCCTGGATACAACATCTTTGATCTCAGCCATGATCTATTTTAAAGGGGATGTGAGGAATTGTCAGAAGATATAAACACAAATACACAACTTGTATCGCCTAACAAAGAAGAAAACCTGGCAAGCTTAAAAGGACTTGGTAACATTGTTCAGAACTTCAGATGAGAGAAAATGATACTAAGGTAGTGGCTTCAATGCTTCAATTCTTCCAACTATAGTATTACAATTTAATTACATTTTAGGTTAATTTAAATAGTTACAAAGCAATGAATTGGCTCTATAAAACCATTCCAGACATTTAAGTGTTATGTCTTATTTCCATGGAAAAACGGTTGGGAAAATTCAAAAATACTTGGGAGAATTTACTGTAAGGAGGGTGTTGCATAGTGACGCCTTCAAAGAAAACCATAAATATCTTTGTGGTTTGAGAATTTTTAAAGGATTTGTTGCATGTTAGAGGGTTAGTACAGTAGAACGAATATAATAAGTTACATTTCATGCAAAAATTATGCATTTTTTCATCAACCTTTAACAATGTTACCATGTCACTTTTAGCCTATGGGGCTAAGAGAAATCAGTTCAATTCAATTCAATGTATTAATCAAGATGAAAAGTTGAAAAGAAGACTACGGTGTTAATTTTTTTCATCAATGAGGGAAAGCTTAATGAGGTAGGACATGTATGTTAAAGCAAACTGATGCGCTTGGAGTAGGTGAAATGGAAACAAAATTAAATCAAAACAATTATTAGATATTGGCCGCTTCTGTTTGTTTTTGAATTTCACAATATCATTACCTAAACGTAGTAGCATTGTAGATTTTTAGAAGAATAGAATGCAATCTGAAATTAATTTTTTTAAGGGAAAAATATTTACCTTTTCAGCTAGTTCTGTATGTATAAGCATGGTGAAATCAATATCGAAGGCCTTCTTATAAATGATAGATGGCTGTCTGATCTGGACTTTAACATGGTTGATCATATTCTCAATGAGATTGACTAGGATGGCTACTTTCTTGGATTCCTCCGTCTCCTCTCCGTCATCGCCTTCGAAGTCTTCATCGTCTTGGAAGAGGATGTTCTTCTTGGCTTCATGGACCTCCTCGCATAGCAGGATTTGCTTCTCACACCAATCTTTGGTGCTTGTCTAGAAAGACAGACAATAACAAATGTACAAAATTAATGATAATGACAATGGTGGTGATGATAATGATGACAGTGATGATAATGTGTTAGAGGGAGGGTGAGGGTGATGGTGAGGGTGATGGTGATGGTGAGGGTGATGGTAATGGTGAGGGTGAGGGTTAGAGGAAGGAAGAGGGTTAAAGGGAGGGTAAGGGTTAGAGGGAGGGTGAGGGTGATGGTGAGGGTGAGGGTGATGATGAGGGTGATGGTAATGGTGAGGGTGAGGGTTAGAGGAAGGGAGAGGGTGAAAGGGAGGGTGATGGTGAGGGTGAGGGTGATGGTGAGGGTGAGGGTAATGGTGAGGACGATGGTGAGGGTGAGGGTAATGGTGAGGGTGAGGGTAATGGTGAGGACGATGGTGAGGGTGAGGGTGATGGTGAGGGTGAGGGTGAGGGTAATGGTGATGGTGAGGGTGAGGGTGATGGTGAGGGTGAGAGTGATGGTGAGGGTGAGGGTGATGGTGAGGACGATGGTGAGGGTGAGGGTGATGGTGAGGGTGAGGGTGAGGGTGATGGTGAGGGTGAGGGTGAGGGTGATGGTGATGGTGAGGGTGAGGGTAATGGTGATGGTGAGGGTGAGGGTGATGGTGAGGGTAATGGTGATGGTGAGGGTGAGGGTAATGGTGATGGTGAGGGTGAGGGTAATGGTGATGGTGAGGGTGAGGGTGATGGTGAGGGTGAGGGTAATGGTGAGGGTGAGGGTAATGGTGAGGACGATGGTGAGGGTGAGGGTGATGGTGAGGGTGAGGGTGAGGGTAATGGTGATGGTGAGGGTGAGGGTGATGGTGAGGGTGAGGGTGATGGTGAGGGTGAGGGTAATGGTGAGGACGATGGTGAGGGTGAGGGTGATGGTGAGGGTGAGGGTGATGGTGAGGGTGAGGGTGATGGTGAGGGTGAGGGTAATGGTGAGGACGATGGTGAGGGTGAGGGTGATGGTGAGGGTGAGGGTGAGGGTGATGGTGATGGTGAGGGTGAGGGTGATGGTGAGGGTGATGGTGAGGGTGAGGGTGAGGGTGATGGTGATGGTGAGGGTGAGGGTAATGGTGAGGACGATGGTGAGGGTAATGGTGAGGACAATGGTGAGGGTGAGGGTGATGGTGAGGGTGAGGGTGATGGTGAGGGTGAGGGTGATGGTGAGGGTGAGGGTAATGGTGAGGACGATGGTGAGGGTGAGGGTGATGGTGAGGGTGAGTATGAGGGTGATGGTGATGGTGATGGTGAGGGTGAGGGTGATGGTGAGGGTAATGGTGAGGGTGAGGGTAATGGTGAGGACGATGGTGAGGGTGAGGGTGATGGTGAGGGTGAGGGTGAGGGTGATGGTGATGGTGAGGGTGAGGGTGATGGTGAGGACGATGGTGAGGGTGATGGTGAGGGTGAGGGTGAGGGTGATGGTGATGGTGAGGGTGAGGGTGATGGTGAGGGTAATGGTGAGGACGATGGTAATGGTGAGGAGGATGGTGAGGGTGAGGGTGATGGTGAGGGTGAGGGTGATGGTGAGGGTGAGGGTAATGGTGAGGACGATGGTGAGGGTGAGGGTGATGGTGAGGGTGAGGGTGAGGGTGATGGTGATGGTGAGGGTGAGGGTGATGGTGAGGGTGAGGGTGATGGTGAGGACGATGGTGAGGGTGATGGTGAGGGTGTGGGTGATGGTGAGGGTGAGGGTGAGGGTGATGGTGAGGGTGAGGGTAATGGTGAGGGTGATGGTGAGGGTGGTGGTGAGGGTGATGGTGAGGGTGAGGGTGATGGTGAGGGTGGTGGTGAGGGTGATGGTGAGGGTGAGGGTGATGGTGAGGACGATGGTGTGGGTGATGGTGAGGGTGATGGTGAGGGTAATGGTGAGGGTGAGGGTAATGGTGAGGACGATGGTGAGGGTGAGGGTGAGGGTGAGGGTGAGGGTAATGGTGATGGTGAGGGTGAGGGTGATGGTGAGGGTGAGGGTGATGGTGAGGACGATGGTGAGGGTGATGGTGAGGGTGTGGGTGATGGTGAGGGTGAGGGTGAGGGTGATGGTGAGGGTGAGGGTGGTGGTGAGGGTGATGGTGAGGGTGAGGGTAATGGTGAGGGTGAGGGTGAGGGTGATGGTGAGGACGATGGTGAGGACGATGGTGAGGGTGAGGGTGATGGTGAGGGTGAGGGTGAGGGTGATGGTGAGGACGATGGTGAGGGTGAGGGTGATGGTGAGGGTGAGGGTGAGGGTGATGGTGAGGGTGATGGTGAGGACAATGGTGAGGGTGAGGGTGATGGTGAGGGTGAGGGTGATGGTGAGGGTGGTGGTGAGGGTGGTGGTGAGGGTGATGGTGAGGGTGAGGTTAATGGTGAGGGTGAGGGTGAGGGTGATGGTGAGGACGATGGTGAGGACGATGGTGAGGGTGAGGGTGATGGTGAGGGTGAGGGTGAGGGTGATGGTGAGGACGATGGTGAGGGTGAGGGTGATGGTGAGGGTGAGGGTGAGGGTGACGGTGAGGGTGATGGTGAGGACAATGGTGAGGGTGAGGGTGATGGTGAGGGTGAGGGTGAGGGTGATGGTGAGGGTGAGGGTGAGGGTAATGGTGATGGTGAGGGTGAGGGTGATGGTGAGGGTGAGGGTGATGGTGAGGGTGAGGGTAATGGTGAGGACGATGGTGAGGGTGAGGGTGATGGTGAGGGTGAGGGTGATGGTGAGGGTGAGGGTGATGGTGAGGGTGAGGGTAATGGTGAGGACGATGGTGAGGGTGAGGGTGATGGTGAGGGTGAGGGTGAGGGTGATGGTGATGGTGAGGGTGAGGGTGATGGTGAGGGTGATGGTGAGGGTGAGGGTGAGGGTGATGGTGATGGTGAGGGTGAGGGTAATGGTGAGGACGATGGTGAGGGTAATGGTGAGGACAATGGTGAGGGTGAGGGTGATGGTGAGGGTGAGGGTGATGGTGAGGGTGAGGGTGATGGTGAGGGTGAGGGTAATGGTGAGGACGATGGTGAGGGTGAGGGTGATGGTGAGGGTGAGTATGAGGGTGATGGTGATGGTGATGGTGAGGGTGAGGGTGATGGTGAGGGTAATGGTGAGGGTGAGGGTAATGGTGAGGACGATGGTGAGGGTGAGGGTGATGGTGAGGGTGAGGGTGAGGGTGATGGTGATGGTGAGGGTGAGGGTGATGGTGAGGACGATGGTGAGGGTGATGGTGAGGGTGAGGGTGAGGGTGATGGTGATGGTGAGGGTGAGGGTGATGGTGAGGGTAATGGTGAGGACGATGGTAATGGTGAGGAGGATGGTGAGGGTGAGGGTGATGGTGAGGGTGAGGGTGATGGTGAGGGTGAGGGTAATGGTGAGGACGATGGTGAGGGTGAGGGTGATGGTGAGGGTGAGGGTGAGGGTGATGGTGATGGTGAGGGTGAGGGTGATGGTGAGGGTGAGGGTGATGGTGAGGACGATGGTGAGGGTGATGGTGAGGGTGTGGGTGATGGTGAGGGTGAGGGTGAGGGTGATGGTGAGGGTGAGGGTAATGGTGAGGGTGATGGTGAGGGTGGTGGTGAGGGTGATGGTGAGGGTGAGGGTGATGGTGAGGGTGGTGGTGAGGGTGATGGTGAGGGTGAGGGTGATGGTGAGGACGATGGTGTGGGTGATGGTGAGGGTGAGGGTGAGGGTGATGGTGAGGGTAATGGTGAGGGTGAGGGTAATGGTGAGGACGATGGTGAGGGTGAGGGTGAGGGTGAGGGTGAGGGTAATGGTGATGGTGAGGGTGAGGGTGATGGTGAGGGTGAGGGTGATGGTGAGGACGATGGTGAGGGTGATGGTGAGGGTGTGGGTGATGGTGAGGGTGAGGGTGAGGGTGATGGTGAGGGTGAGGGTGGTGGTGAGGGTGATGGTGAGGGTGAGGGTAATGGTGAGGGTGAGGGTGAGGGTGATGGTGAGGACGATGGTGAGGACGATGGTGAGGGTGAGGGTGATGGTGAGGGTGAGGGTGAGGGTGATGGTGAGGACGATGGTGAGGGTGAGGGTGATGGTGAGGGTGAGGGTGAGGGTGATGGTGAGGGTGATGGTGAGGACAATGGTGAGGGTGAGGGTGATGGTGAGGGTGAGGGTGATGGTGAGGGTGGTGGTGAGGGTGGTGGTGAGGGTGATGGTGAGGGTGAGGTTAATGGTGAGGGTGAGGGTGAGGGTGATGGTGAGGACGATGGTGAGGACGATGGTGAGGGTGAGGGTGATGGTGAGGGTGAGGGTGAGGGTGATGGTGAGGACGATGGTGAGGGTGAGGGTGATGGTGAGGGTGAGGGTGAGGGTGACGGTGAGGGTGATGGTGAGGACAATGGTGAGGGTGAGGGTGATGGTGAGGGTGAGGGTGAGGGTGATGGTGAGGACGATGGTCATGACGATGGTGAGGGTGAGGGTGATGGTGAGGACGATGGTGAGGGTGAGGGTGATGGTGAGGGTGTGGGTGAGGGTGAGGGTGAGGGTGAGGGTGATGGTGAGGGTAATGGTGAGGGTAAGGACGATGGTGAGGGTGAGGGTGATGGTGAAGGTGTGGGTGGTGGTGAGGGTGATGGTGAGGGTGATGGTGATGGTGAGGGTAATGGTGAGGGTGATGGTGAGGGTGATGGTGAGGACGATGGTGAGGGCGAGGGTAATGGTGAGGGTGTGGGTGATGGTGAGGGTGATGGTGAGGGTGATGGTGATGGTGAGGGTAATGGTGAGGGTGATGGTGAGGGTGACGGTAATAGCCATGGTGGGTGTGGTGGGGGTGGTAATGGTGGTGGTATATACGATAAGGGGGGGTAGTGATGATTTTTACTTAGATGATTGTGATGATAATAAGTTCATTGTTATCACAATAATCGTAACATCATGATTAAACATGTGGTATTATAGTGATGATAATGTGGATGAGAAGGAACTCACCTTAATAGCATCTGTGATGAGGTCTTTCACATTCTCCTTAAAAATACCCCAGGACAGCTTCTCACTTAGCTGCTTGATCAGAACCATGCATCTATGTAAATGGTGATGTAAGAAAAGTCATAGTGAATTGACAGAGGTGAAAACGGAATGTTGCTATTCAGATAGTCCAAATGGGCAATTAGTCATCAAGAGATGATTGGTACTACACAATCAGAGAATAGTAGTAAAAAGACCTACTACAGTTTTTTGTCATGCAATCATCAAAGAATATCACAAGAATGAACGTTAAGTAGACAGTTCTGTATATATTGTCAGATTTCAGCTTTCTGTTCATTCTTGCAATTCTTGAAGTTTTATACTCCGATTAATGCAAGACCAAAATCCTTAGCACTGCTGTTCTCAAATGAGTCATCAATTAGTAAATCAGAATAGGTTCTCTCTTATCTGTTTGATAATTACAATGCATCTATGCAAATGAGATACAAAGTGCACAACAAGATTCATAATTAACTGCAAAATCTGAAAACTAGAATGGTACATCTTCTTAATGATAGGCAAAGTATTTCCCTAAATATATAAATCTGTACAATGGTTCGATGGCCACAAATAGAAATGAAAAGCACACTCTGCAATCAAAAAGTGAACACAGGTTCTCAATAGAATTTTTTTTAATGTGTAAAGCTTCAAGTAATGTCATAATAAACAAGGGTTCGATTGCATTTCAAATATTTACATCACATGGAATTTGCATGTATCATGATGGGACACTAAGACATCATCTCCACCACCATCATAACCATCATCATCATCATCATCATCATCATCATCACCACAACCAGCACCATCATCATCATCATCATCATCATCATCATCATCATTACTATCACCACCACCACCAACATCATCATTATCATCATCACCACCATCTTTACCACCATCACCACCTCTACTACCACCACCATCATAATCAACATCATCATCATCATCATCATCATCATCATCACCACCACCACCATCACAACCACCACCACCACCACCACCACCACCATCATAATCAACATCATCATCATCATCATCATCATCATCATCATCATCATCACCACCACCACCACCACCACCACCACCATCATCATCATCATCATCATCATCACCACCACCACCACCACCACCACAACCATCATCATCATCATGTTGTAGCATCACAGACGATTCATAGATTGAAAGATTACCTGAGGAGAAGATGAAGTTGTAGGACGGCCTGGGTGTCTCTGAATGGGAAAGCTTCATGTTGCTTCTGTAACATCCTCATAGAATGTTCTACAAACTCACTGCAAGACTTGTGAAGATATGTCACCTGGACAGATAAATGAAACATAACTTGCCAAAAAATGCAGTATAAAGATAGTACAGACACAGAAAAGTTCTCTTTCTTCCATTTTATCTAATCTCCTTAGAATATTACTCCCTCTTTTTTTTTCTCAAACACGTACATTACAGAGTGCAGTATATCCAGCACTGTTTGCCCTTTAGATGTCTAATTATATTGCACAGACACTTTCAATCACATTTACATATTTGTAATAATGCACATGTACACACAATAATAGAAAAAATACATCAGACAAATGTTTAAAAGAAAATCAAAAGTGTATTGACACAATGATCACTCTAATACATGCACTGTATATGTTAGAAGAACTATTTTCCTACTTTTTAACAGTTTAAAGATCAAGTTAAGTTCTGGTCATGTGATTTTCATTAATCATGTAGTATACAAAAATGAGTGTATACTGTGAGGTTTTGGAATGATCGAAATGACCAGAAATTTACTTAATCTTGACTGTAATCTTAATACATTGCAAACTTAATGTACACCACATAAAACATCACAAACAGGTGGCATGGAAATTTGGTACACACTTTCCAGCTAAATATAAAATATTAGATAATTTGAAGAGCAATACTTCATGGGGAGATTTCTCCTATGACATTCATACAAACTGAAGGAGAAAATTAATAAATTGCTGTTCATCTTTACTAGAACTCAACCTTCTCTTTTAGTGAGATTATCCCAACTTTCACATTACTTAGATATTACACATACACACTGTACATGAGATCAAAGCATGTAAAGGGTTAATTCTACTTACCATTTGTTCATCTGGAGGGCCCTTATCCCAGAGATTAGTTATGCCTGTGATGATGGAGAGCATCACATTGAGATCTAGACGAGGCAACACACACTGCTGACTGTATGCTATCCACTGGCTGTATTAAGAGAATGTGTAACATAGCATTAGTGAATAGGGGCATTGAAAACTCAAGTACAACTTCGGCGTATACACTTGACTAATGTGGAAGTAGGCAACACACTACTGACTCAGTGACTGTATGCTATCCACTGGCTGTATTAAGAGAATGAGTGATACATGACCATCAAATAACATGTAGGTAAGATGCACTGTAGAAAAGATTACTGTATTTGCCGGCGTAAAGGCTGCACTTTTTCTTGGAAGAGAAAATATCAAAAAGTCGGGGTGCGGCCTTTACGGCGAAAGAGTAAAAAAAAAAAAAAATCAAGTCAAAACCAGCACGAATTTGCACATATATGGGACGACGAACGGTACAATAACTATACATATGGTACAGGACATTTCCACACATCTTACCGACAATTTTATCTTGCATTGTTGACATGAATACGAAAATAAATTGCTAAACCAACATTTGCCGATAGATCTTGATCTAAGTTTGTGCCAATGCATTGCAAAAGTAAAGGAAGGGACCATTATAACGGAGCTGCCGCGAAGCATCAATCCAAAGTCGCCATTTTGTTTTCCATTTCATGCAGTTTCACATTACACCGTACATTGTGGTAGGGGTATATATCGGACACCAAATCTGCCCGTGATCACTTTTTGAGCTAAACTTCCGGTAAATTATAAGAATATTTATGAATTTGGTATCTGTTAGTAAAAAAAAATAGTGTTTTAAGAGAAAATTACGATTATTTTGTTTTGTCTGTTTTGTTTTTTTCCGTTCGGGTGCGGCCTATGCGGCGATAAGGCCTTATCGCTGGCAAATACGGTACGTCTATATATTTCTCAGCGTTTTTGTCTTTGTATAATTAAACACAACTAAACATTTTTTTCATACAGACTTTCTTTAAGCATACAAACTATTAATAAAAACTCAAGTTTAGTTCATGTTTTTTTTTTAATTCCTGAGGCATCTTATTCTTTAGGCAGATTTACACAATATGCGAACCCTCTGATTTTATCAATATTAATACATGTACATTTGAAGGAGAAGAACAAGTTGTAGGAAGATGATTTACCTGGCAAGTTGGTAGATTTCTGGTAGCTGTTGTTGTTGAGCGAGTTGATGCAGGACTGCCCTGGGTGCTGGAGGAAGCTGACCACTCCATCGGTACTCTGTCATGGCGTTATCACACACCTCATGATGGGTGAAGTTATACCACAGGTACTGGTGAGCCGCCCCCATCGCCTCCGTGCTCGCCTTGGGCGCATCCTTCTGTGAACGAACAAATTAAGGAATCGTTTAACAATCGTACCGGCCGAGTCACACCAACGGGACAGACACCAGATCGGAAAATAATAATACATTATGTCTGTGGCTAAAAATCGGTCACTTTGGAGTGTGATCAAGGTATAAGAAGGCATTTTAAATTTTATTAAATTTTATTCCTCCTACAGCCGGCATTGCCTTCCGACCCATAGGAAAAATGAATGACTGTCCTTTCTGCAGCTTTTCTTGTTTAACATACTCCTTAGGCTTACTGTTTTAGAAGTCACCAAAATTCACCAAATAATTCAATTTCTTTTTATAAATATTAAGATAGTTAGGAAAAACAAAATGCACAATTAAAACATGGCTATTACATGTATATTTGAAAGTACTTTTCACCCTTTTCCCCCCCACCATCTTTAGCTAATCGGTCTTGAGAACCTCCATTCCTCTACATGCTCAGTGCATTCCCAGAGGCATCTCTATCTTGTTCATCATATCACCAAGTCTTTTCTTCTTCAACACATCCCTCGTTGGATTTATCCTTTTCTCAACAAACTTTGACAAGCATTTCATTAGCTATCTCCCCCTCACTAACTAAAACATGGTATTCAGACTAGCCAATATAAATCACTTCAAGTTTAAAAAAACAGTTTTCGTCTCTGATTTCCAAACACGTGAAACCATCAAAGTCACACTTCAACCCACAAAGTCTCACTTCAAATACTAGTAATCAAAACAATGACATAAAGTGCACAGACCCTCACTATGATCATGAGGACAAAGAAAAAAATCAGATGAACTTACACGCATCTACAGAAATAAAAAAGTTACTAAATCCAATCAAAGAAAACAAAAATCCAATATATTAAAGCAAAAAAGAAATAGACAAGTCAATAACAAAGCTGGCAAAGGATGTGGTGTGACCAAAAAATTGTTAACAGTTTGTTTTAGCAGAGTGATCAAAGAATTGAAAGCTCAAGCATTGACTCAGAATGTGATGGAAGAGAAGTCCACTTGTATAAATCAAACAAAACAGTGTAAATGTACATTACAGGAATGCCAGCTCCATCATTGTCCTACAGATTTGCAACTGTTTCAATGTCACTACACAACATCTAGTCTACAACAAATGCTTCATGCATTTCTGAAACTAATTCATTCTATACATCTGCACATGGAAACTGAAAGAAAAATACACTTATTGTTGAAAACACAAACACACATGAAATTCACTTTGCACAAGTGGAGCACAAGTGGCTATTGAAATAGAAGAGTGCCCCAGAGAAGAGTTGCAACTGATGTGAACAACCATACATGCACATGCACATGAACTTGCATGACTTGTATGCTCAAGACAATCATCACATCACAATCAATATCCATTGATATGTAATAGATCAGTTCACATACGTATTCATATTTCTTGCATGGCTCTAAAAACCAAAATTTACTAGTGATGTCTCAAAAGATTGTCAGAGGCTTGGCCAACATATCAACAGCTAATAATCAACTGTATTCAGATTAATGGGAGCTTTTGGAGAAGAAACATACAGTGATGTAAATGTGAACTGATCTCATTAAAATGGCACCCAAGGAGCATAATAAGTAAAATATATGGTAAATGGAAAAGGTGTTATTCAAATCTTGTGAACAAAAACAGAACATTCCACCAAAATTCTTTCAAACACTCTTAACTTACATAGACCTTGCTCTTCTTAAACTGAGAAAATTTATCGGATTCTTTCTTCTTGACTTTTTTCCGGCTTTCTTTGCTGTTCGTAGGATCGAATGAAGTTTTGGGTTCTTGCTTATTATCAAGAACTTCTTCATTCTAAGCAGAAGCATTGCAAAAATAGAAGAAGAATGAAGGAAAGATACCATAGACATGAACTCAAGAATGAATTGATGAAAACAGAGATAACTGGATGCAACTTCGACTGCGCGCAGTCGAAAATGATGCCTCTGTCATAGAGCAATTTTACAAACCAAAACAGAAGCAATTTTTCAAATTCAAGTTCAATTGTAATCCATTATCAGGTTCTCTTTGATCTTTGACCTCATGACCCCAAAATCTACTCAGTTCATTGGCTCTGCAAGATACATACATGTCTTGAGTTTGATGGTAATCCATCCATCAGTTCTAATGATAATGTGATCACGAGCTATTTTTGCATACATAATGAGCCCTGTGATCTTTGTCCTTTGACCTTGTAACCCCAAAATCTAATCAATTCATTGGCTCTGCAAATTACATACATGACCCGAGTTTGATGGTAATCCATCCATCAGTTCTAATGATAATGTGATCACGAGCTATTTTTGCATACATAATGAGCCCTGTGATCTTTGTCCTTTGACCTTGTAACCCCAAAATCTAATCAATTCATTGGCTCTGCAAATTACATACATGACCCGAGTTTGGCAGGAATCCCTCAATGGATTCTTGAGATAATGCGATCACAAGCTATTTTTGCATACATAATGAGCCCTTTGACCTTTGATCTTTTGACCCCAAAACATAATCAATTCATTGGCTCTGCAAGTTACATATATGACCAAAGTTTGGCAGGAATCCATCAGTCGGTTCTTGAGATAACGCGATCACGAGAAAGGGACGTACGTACGGACAACTGGACGGACGGACAACACGAAAACATAATGCCTCCAGCTACTTCGCATAAAAAGGTTGAAAACAAACAAAAGAGTATATTCATGCAAGAGTGAGTTTCCCAATCTATAATGATATTACCCAGTAAGCTAGAACAGAAATTGGGACATGAAGTTTAACAATTTTGCTTGTTATCCAAAACTTCTTCATTTCACATCATTTCACATTGATAAAGGTGGTGGAGATACATGTACAATCAGTGGCTTATCCAGGGGGGGGGGGGGGGGGCAGAGAATAAATTGCATAAGAATTTGTTTTTGTTTGATGTTCTAAAATACAAAAAATCAATGACAACATGTGTTTTAGGGATTAAAAAAGGCAAACTCCTGTTGCTCAGGAACATTTCTCTCATGCTTGTAAAATTTTTAAGATAAGTTTGGTTGGGAGAAGGGGAGGAGGGGGGAGGGTGGGGGGGCAAAATTGGATTGTTTGCCCTGGGTGCCTTAATATCTAGATATGCCACTGTGTACAAGGGACATGCAAATTGTCAATAAATATCAAAATGAAAAGAAAAAAAGGCTTACATGGTATCAAGTTAGACATTGACAACAAAATTAACATGCTGAAGTGACATCCACCAACACGACTGCTAAACTACTGGTATAGAATTTCATAAAACTGACACATAGCAGTAGGTTTCACTGTTATACAAATTGCCTTTTAACAATAAAAACATTCTTATTCAAAATGATGGGTAATGAATGGTATTAAAGATAAAGTTGAGTTCTGATCGTGCGATTGCATTGTGAAAGAAACGGTGTGGAATCAATCAGAAAAGGTTGATCATCTAGCATACATGTATGAGTATTTGTGTGTATTGCAAGGTTCTGAAATCATCAAAATGATAAGAAATTTGGCCAAGTCTTGGTAAAATTTCAAGCATTGTACACAGAAAGATGTATATGGGACAACACCAACACGTGTTGTAAAAATCCGTCCCAATTTTTACGATGTTACATGTATATGCCATATTTAGAATATGAAGCCATTTGAAGAGCAATGCTTTTCAGGGAACATGTTTCATCAGATGTTCTTTCACACTTGCATAATAACAATGACAACGCTCACAAATTATTTTCCATCTCTTCCCAGAACTCAACCTTCTCTTTAAGGTTTTTGTACCAGTAATTCTAATGAAGTATAAAAACCACATGATAGACTCAGTATGAATAGCAATGATATATTTTGTGATCTATGTTTTCTACACACACTGTACCTTGAGTGCTAGTTGTAATTTCAGTTTGAGCTCTCCTTCCACCTTACTCTTTCCCCGGCTTTGCAGAGGAAAAGAACAATCTAAACCTTGACTCGATATGGTCTGTAGAGGGAAGCAAACAGAAGAAAAAAAGTTTCATTCTATAGGGAGAGAACACCTTTATGACATGATGTAATCAAAAAATTAACCTAGCAAAATGATAACTGCATGGATGTACTGTATGCAACAATGATACTTACACATGTACACTACACACAACCACATACATGTAGCTGAATGCTAAACAAATCTGTTGCATAAGAAAACTAATTTTGTTCTCACATTTGTTTCCCTGAAGCTTGATGTGGTAGCCCAACATTAAACATACTAGAAAGAGATATATGAGTCTTTGAAAACAGTCCCCCAATAGAGTCATCTTCAAATTTGTCCAAAATTAAACATGTTGTAAATAAAAATATATGCTAGTCTTTGACAACAGACTCCCATTAGTATCATCTTCAAATTTGTTCAAAATTAAACATAGTGTAAATAAAAATGTATGCTAGTCTTTGACAACAGTCTCCCATTAGTATCATTTTCAAATTTGTCCTCTCTTGAAAGTTGTCTCTTCAATTTGTTTGGTTTTAACTAAAGTTGAACAACCTTTCTAAACCTTAACATGTTTCAATTCAACTACATGTATGGTGCCTACAATCAGATAACAAGCCTTCCACTCCATCTGGGGGGGGGGGGGGGTTCACAAAACTTGTCATCAGTGACAAATGACAGTTTTTGTTATAAGCTACTGAAATCCTTGCTTCTGATTGGTTATCGGCAGATTTGTCACTGATTTTAGTCACTTGTCATTGAAAAAAAGGCTTTGTGAATCGGTTCCCTGGACTCAAGTCTGTCGCCGCCCAGATATGTCCTACTGGTGTCAAAAATATTCTTACAGCTTGTACTACTTCTACTACGTATAGAATCTAATGGAAGGATGCTCAACATAGCATGTACTTACATTGAGTGGTATGGTGACCCATCCTAGGAAATCATCCAGGTTCTTTCCATCCTTCTTGGCCGATTGAGCTATCTCCTTGAAGAATCTATGAAGCAGAGCAAAACAAGACATAAATAAATATTGTAATGCCCATGTGGTCAATGTAATGCCTCCCAGGAAGAACAGGTAGTTTTTACTCCATATCATACATTTGTCCGTGGGTACGTGTGTGTTGTGTGGGTGGGTGTGTGTGTGTGTGTCTGTAATTTGGGATTTTACAGACAAACATCAATCAGATATGATTGTCTTGAACCTGGGTCTGCTGGGTCAGTTTGTAGGCAAAGACAGAGCTGACATTATCGCTATACCAACCCACATAGAGATTGGGTTATTTCATTTGTATGATTAAAATCATCTCTGAGTACATATTCTCAACATGTGGGATTTGAATCACATTTTCAGTCCAATGTCTATATCTGCATATCACATCTGTTTATCTTCAAAAGGGAGAAAAATATTGATGCAATACAACACAGAGTGGACAGTATAGATTGCTTTCTTTCCTTTCTTCACACATCTCTATATGATAGGAGACTTCACGCCACCTACATGTATCTAAACATGCCAAAAAGACAACAATTTCAAATGCAATTAAAGAACCACTTCTTTTTAAACTGCAAATTACTCCTGATTTGTCAAAATTATACAGCATGGTCTTCTGTGGAAAACTTTGTTTGAAACTGAAAAATCTCTGTTAGTGCCTCCCAGTAACTGTAAACACAATTAACTACAGTTAACTATAATTGAATTATTCATACCCCTTGTAAATTTGATATTTTGGAGGGTTTCACAAGGCTCTGTGTTAAAAAACAGAAATGTGAACCGTATTACACTCTATGAAGGTATGAAGAAGAAAAAACGCTGTGGTTTTGGCTGCATCATATCTGAACAAGCCATTATATGTACAGCATTCTCCTTAATTTCTCCTTTTTAATAGGAACCAAATATATTAATAAAAACTGTTACGTTTACATACCTTCCCATACCCTTCAGATTGGAAACATCGCATGCATTCTTCTTTATGAGTTGCCCTACTGATGAGTCCTCATCATGATCCCTGTATCATAAAGAGGAAAAAACATGAAAGATTTCACGAAGTTGATAATGATGTCAAGAAATAAACAAAAGCTGTGGGTCAATAACTGGTAAATTGAGGATTTATCAGAGGTTAGGTTACTGCATAAGTTGCAAGTCAAAATATACGATCAGTTGGTATCACCTTTTATTTACAATTTTGATGACATATACATGTACTCCTAAAATGAGGATTTCCTGACCTTTGTCGGTAAGCTAATTTTTTTCTTTTTCTGAACGAACAAAAAAATATTTTTCAATATCTTCATGATTTTACACCCAATTCAAAGTTAATGATGTCACTAGGTAAATTGTACGTTCTTATTTCCATTGGTGATGTCAGATTTTTTATAAATCTTACCGATTATATGAGATATGGAACTGTTGCAAATTAAGGTCATGCACAAACTATGGTCCCAACACCAGACATGCACATTCTGCACGTACATGTACAGAGGGGAAAATAATGGGGCATACATATTCAGCGGAAAGAGAGAGGGGGGAGAGAGAGGGGAGAAAGGGATAGAGAGAGGGGGAGAAAGAGATAGAGAGAGGGTGAGAAAGAGAGAGAGGGGAGAGAGAAAGAGAGGAAGGAGAAAGAGAGAGAGAGGGGAGATAGAGAGAGGGGGAGAAAGAGAGAGAGAGAGAGAGAGAGAGAGAGAGAGAGAGAGAGAGAGAGGAGAGAGAGGGGGTAGGGGGGGGGGGGGGGGGGGGGAGGGGGAGAGGGGGGTGGGGGAAGAAAGAATGAGTAGAACTTACCACACTTCAACCTGCAGCTGTTCATTGTTGACATCACCAACATCACTGCAGGGAAAGATTCATTCACAGATAAGAATATGGTTCATATACAGGTATAAAGTGCCTGTTATATAGATAAGATGCTACTTGTAAGAATTTATGACAAGAAGAAGAAAAAAACAATTGATGTTGTTATTTGTTGTTCTTAACTGTTTGCTGTAATTTGCTCACTTTGCAGTTGTTGTTGTTGTTGTTGTTGTTGATCCTAGTGTATATGTATTGCTGCATTCTTTTAGTTAGGATTGGGCATCTTTTTGGGGGATGCATTTGATTCTCCTTGCCATATACAGCATATTTTATACTTAGATCAAAAGATAGCCTCTTGGTGACACAATTGAGCTGTTCTGTTTGCACAGCATAATGCAACATAGTCTACCAACTATCCAACTATTCAACTATTCAACTCCTCAACAAAAAGGAGACAAGTTTTTTTTACTTAAAGAGCCTGAAAAGCGACATCTACAGGTTGATGTTGTTGTACAAGCCTGAAAATTAGCGGCCCTGAAAGAGGACATCCATGGTGATGATGGGCCGAAAGCTATATGAACATGTATGGGAAGCATATGAAACACCTTGTGTGTATGCAGAGCACACCTGAAGATGGCTTCACAAAACTTGTCATCAGTGACAAATGACAGTTTTTGTTATAAGCTACTGAAATCCTTGCTTCTGATTGGGGACCAACAGATTTGTCACTGATTTTTGTCATTTGTCATTTGTGAAACAACCCCCTGAAGATGGTTTCTATCAAAGTTCTATGCTACATGTAATGAGTAAGATCATGGCTAACAAAATGACTCCTGATGAGATAACTTACAATCTGAACTGCTCCCTCCAGGTCGGGCACAGGGTCTTCTCCTTGACCTCCGTGACACAGAGGGAGTCCTTGCTTGCGTGGTCGAGCAGGAGATCGTGCCTGGAGTGCGACATCTTGTGCTTTCCACCTTCCGACGTGTTCTCCCTCCACAGAGCGACAATGCCCAGAACACAGAATGGATCGCTCAGACCTGCAGTAGGCCAATGGGATCGAGTAAAACAAATAAACAATTAGATTTAGGGGATTAACGAAAGATAATATCATAGGATGGGTGAAGATAGAATAGTAGGAATGCCTCTTCGAGAATAAACTCAAATCCGACCCAGTTTATGAAAGATTAAATGATATTCTCCATCATTGAATTCTCATGGTAATGTACATGCATTTCTCATCATCATCATCTTATACTCTTTTTTGCTCAACAGGTGACTAAACAATTTTGCTGCACCCCCCCCCCCCTCTCTCTCTCTCTTTATCTCTCTCTCTCCCTCTCTCTTTCTCTCTTTCTCTCTTCTTCATTTTCTCTCTGTTTCTCCATCTTTCTCCTTTTCTTCCTATCTCTCTCAAACACACTATCAGCAAACATTTCATTGTCTCTATCTTATCACTGCATTCTTCAACAGATACACCAAGAATCCATCTCTATAATACTGAACTAATCCCTTAAGTACTGAGCTGTCATAGCATTGGACTAGAATCTCCATAATTGATTACTATGGATCAATGGGTCAAAGGTAACCATAGCCTGCAAGAAAATGTTTATACATGTGTATCAATAAAACCTGATTCCATTGATAGCCTATTAGGTATTAATCCTACAAACGCTATATTACAATAATGCAATAATAAATCTATGGTTGGCTTTTAAATAAAAATTAAAAAATGAATACAAAAAAAATATATATTGTTTGTTTAAATGGGATCTAAATGCATAAAATCATCAAATTATTCTCAAATTCTCACTCGTCTTCTGCCCTAGTTTCGAAATCCTGCTAGCGTAAACATGTAAACCCGGCCTTGTGTACGTGTATATACCATGCACTGCACCAGCTAGAAACCAGCGAAATTTGGGCAACATTTCCCGGTTTTGAGTTTTGGGGGCGCAGCCGCTTTTTTAAGAGGGGAGGGGGTTAATTCTGACCCACGGACCCATGTTCTGGCATCTAAAGGGCAATACAACATCTATTTTTTTTTGGCCTAGTGTTTATTCAAATTTATACCTGTAATTGAAACTCATGTTATACGTTGTGTCTCTTTTACTTTCCTAGTTTACATGTACTTTTTTTTTCAATTTGTCTGAATATTTTATGTTACTTGCACTGTAAAACCATGTACAATTCAGTCTCTAAGGCTGCCAGTCAACCATCATTGAATTAAATTGAATGGAATTGAAGACTAAATCAAGCTGTCCAAAAGATCTGGCTAAGAGTACACACACAGACATGACCGTAATTAAACAAACATCAGACAAGACGCTTGCATGCACATGTCAGAAAAGAGATGAAATGCAAACACAAGAACCAAAGGTCGATTCTCAGCTCGCTATGTCATTACTCGCCAGAATTATGGTTTAATGTGTATTCTTTGGGTTGACAGTCATCACGCATTTCCATTAGCAAATCAATTAATCTTATCAGTTTAATTGGATTTTATTAAAGTTAACTTTCTTTCGGCTATCCTTATCATAGCTCACTAATTTATTTTTTTAATGACTATGTTAAGATGCCTTCTTAGTTTCTCTCAAAATAAATTTACATGTACATGTTCATCAAGTTATTTTCACAACATAAACAACAGCGGTTGGACTCTGTGTTCATTCATTCAGGATTGAAGGCTTTTGGTAACACCACGTGGAAGCCTATACTAAACAGGTTTCGATCATGATTCCTCACACACTAGGAAACCTACAGAGAACATCTATATTATAGTCCCGAGTTCTGTTTTTAATTTCTGATTTACGCTGCGATGTAGCAAGATGACGTCATTTTGACGATAGGGCACTACTAGTTTTCTGACGAAGCTCAAATCATCGATGAACGCGTTCGCAAATTTGGCCTGACGACAGATGACCCGACGCATGCGCAAAGCACTGAAATGACGTCACATCTTTGACGTCGACTATGTGAACATGACACACGAAGAAAACTTAATATCAGTAGGAGATCACGTTCAGTTATTACGAAGGTGAAGTACGTATGCACACACACTCCTAGTGTAAATTAGATAAAAGCCATTATCTATCTGAAGTACAAATTTTTAAATATTAAACTTTTTTAAATTCATAAAAAAGGTAACATACAATCATGTATTAATGTATGAGTTTATTTAGAAGATGTGATAAGTGCTGTCATTATAAAAAGGAAACATGTCTTAAAATCAGGTCTTAAAGTAAATTGATACCTTTAGACCAACAAGGTATCAAACTGTAAGTTGCTATAATATTAATAACAATCCCTTTTTTCCATTTCTATCTATGTTTCTCCTTATAACCCCCCCCCCCTCCCCTTTCTCTCTCTCTCTCTCTCTTTATTTTCTCTCTCACTCTCTTCATTCATTCTTACCATCCCTATTTCACTTCCTCTTTTTCTCCTCTCTCTCTCTCACTCCCTCCCCCCCCCCCCCCTTCCCCCTCTCTCTCTCTCCCTCTCCCTCCCTCCCTCCCTCCCTCCCTCCCTCCCTCTCCCTCCCTCCCTCCCTCCCTCCCTCCCTCTCCCTCCCTCTCCCTCCCTCCCTCCCTCCCTCCCTCCCTCCCTCCCTCCCTCCCTCCCTCCCTCCCTCTCTCTCTCCCTCTCTCTCTCTTTTCCATACCCCTTCACCTTTTCTCTGTTTAGCACATCAAGACCATGACATTTCTGCCTAACAATCGAGTAGCAATAGGATGCTAGAGCCGATTCGCAATTAACACATAAAATAAAAACGCCTTCTCGTACCGTGGTTAGGAGTGCACTGCAAACACAATACCCATATGCCTTACACTCAGCGATAAATGTAAACAAAGCTCATCCTAAAAATAGTTATTACTCTTATCCTTCTAATCAATTCATTTCATGCCCACGCAAATTAATTATCACACTGTACAACTGTATGCACTCACACATTTATCAAAGGGAAATCATACTATTTGGAAAGGGAGATATGGTGTTTACTCAACACAGGAAACGACTTATCATTTACAATGTACAAAATAGGATTTGGAAACACTTAAGTGCTGATTTGTTTGTTTTCAATTTTCTTAACTAAATTATCAAATTTATCAAAGTGTCATTCACATAACAATTTATCAATATGCATGTCTCACCAAATATTAGAACATGTACACATCAGGCACTAGGGTGCAAAATCAGCAAAATATTCTTCATATTGGAACTCATTCCTCTTATTCCAGAATTGATAATTAGGTTGCGTGGTATGCCATTATGAAATGTATCACTCTTATATTAAATAAACAAGATAAGTCTAAAATGTATAATAATCTTTTCTTATTGTTCCTAACTGAATTCTTTTCTTACCATTTGAGTCTTTTGCCAGCAAACCTTTAGCTGATATTACATCCACAACCATGATTAGAGCAGGTGGCTGTCAAATGTTCAAAGAGAAAGATAGACACAGAGAGAGTATTAGTAAAACTAAGTTAAACAGAGAAAGAGAGAGGGGGGGAAGAGAGGGGGAAGAAATAAATTGATGTACATGTACAAGTACTAATTGGACATTAATGCTCAATTAAATATCAAATCTATGAAATTTTGCAACATAAATAATATAAACAGCCATATTGACATTACTAATATTTCAAAAGCTTTTACCTATATTTAACAGCTTGTTTAGATGCCTAGTTATATGCATTTGGTCTAAATGCTCTTATTGGGTACTTTTAGAAAAGACTAATGACTGATTGTAAACAAGATAACACTGGATAGATGACAAGACATTGTACAATTTACAATATTTTATTAATAATACATGAAGTAAAGAAAAGTGTGATCTTGCTCATCTTCAGGATACAAAGAACTTATAACAAGACAAAGCTTTATACATACCGGTATGTAGCTTTGTGGGAACATACAGGATACATCATCATTGACTGAAACTGTACATGGACTCTCAGGGCTTAATCTATTTCCATTTGAAAATATATCAATGACTAACTTACCAGGCTATTTGACACTCTCTCTAATAGTGCTTCATGTTCTTGGGGATTTACATTCAAGGTCTGTGGAAAAAAAGAAAAGGGGGAAAGAGAGGGTGACGGGAAAGTAATTATGGTTCCTTAACATCCCAGGTACATAATTTGCTAATCACTAACATTATTATTATCATTATCATAATCATCAATTTTGTTCCCACTATTATCCACTATTATCCTCATAATCATCACCTTCATCATAAAATTCATTATCCTTGTCATCAACATCATGATCTTTTTTATCATCATCATTATCATCATCATCATCATCATTACCATCATCATCATCACCATCATCATCATCATCATCATTATCATCATCACCATCGTCATCATCATCATCATCATCACCATCATCATCATCATCATCATCATCACTGTTATCATCACCATCATCATCCCCATTATAAAGAGCAAGTAGACATGTTAGCACATAGAGACGCAAGGATAAATTCAAAAACTCCCACATCATTGAGTAAGTACAGAAATGAAAACAAACAACACACATGAGACAAAAGCACACATCTAAACAAGACAAAAATCTTCTATTTTTCCTAAGAACTAAAAGCATGCCCCATGTCATGACCCCCTCTGACTCCAAACACAGGCCCCTCTGTAAGTCATGGGTTATCCCCAAGGGAATTCTTTCAATTAAATATGGGCGTACAAGACATTTCCTGCACAAATCAGAATCTAAGCAGTCCAACTCACACAAACGTACAATGCAGTAACCACTACGGTATTCATACATAATTATGTAAATGTACTGTTACAAAATATCATATTTTCACCATGCTATAAAAATGATTTCAAAAGCAACATGAAACCAGACAATGACATTGCAAACTGGTTTCCTGTATGCTCTGCCTCATCCTGAATTAAAAAGTGGCAACCACACGCACAAATGATGACAACAAAAACTCAAATGCCAGTAGATAGACTGTTTCCAAACCACTCTACAAAATGTAAATAATGAAATTAATACATGAAAATCAGGATTGTCTCTCATCATTATTCAGCGTTGTCATACCTTGAAATGAATTGGTAAAAGGGGCTTTCTCTTACATAGTAATTCCTATAACAATCCTGTTAGAAACTACTAATTAATAACTGCAAAGTCCCAATTAATAACTGCAAAGGCACTCAGATCGAGCAGTATTTATTATGACCAATCAGCCTAACCTGTGTAAATAAAGCAATCTTATGATATTTAACTTGTAGATTTTATGAATTACACTCTGTTTATATACATGTATAATTCTCACCTCTTGTGCATACTTAAAGAGCTGAGCATTAGGCAGGTCTTTCATCTCATAGTTCACCCCGAGTCTCTGGTTGATCGTGATGAGAGCAGATTTGTAGAAGAACTCAGCCTACAAAGACCATACAGAAACTTCTCAAAGAAAATGTCTTATAAATCATTCATTCATTCATTCAACATGGTTGATACAGGCTGGCAAATTTGGAGGGAAAAAATGTCAATATAATTGACATTGGCAGTTAAAATAGAAGTGATCCAAAAATGACTTTTATCACTAATGAATCAAATTTATCATGATTTCTAAATGTTTTCAGGCAAACTTGAGTTTATGAAGAAAAAGTGAAAAAAATACGAGTACCGGTATACACCTGTACATGTACATGTATGTATAACAGTATAAAAACCTTAAGCCTGTTCACGGTTTAGAAGTAATACATGATACAAGTTATGAGATAATTTTTAAATGATTATCCTATTCAGCATGTGCTACTTTATATCAACATCCTTCTTTTGTCAAATTAAACAATGGAGCTTAGGAAATGGGATAGACATAGAAACAAAACCATCACTTCCTCATCCTCAAACTCTAATAAATCATCTTCTTCACATATGAGGGTAACTTTTTTTTTATGGGGGGGGGGGGAGAGGGTGGGTATAACATATGTAAATATTCTCAGCAAAATATCAAGTTGTTGGTTACATTTGGTTACATTGATGCAACTACTTGCTAAACCGAGTAGATCGAGAAATAAAGACTAATACTTTCTAGGAAGAAAGTACTTAAAAGGATACAAAGTGATTATTTTGTATCCCTTCTGTATACAATACCTCTTTGTGAGTTGGACGGGAAATGTCTTTATAGATGCCCCTACACTGGGTGAAATCGATGGCAGAGTTGTTGTTTGCTGATGAATCCTAAACAAAACAAACATAAATAGAAGATCAATGTTATTTAAACAAAGAAACACAATGAACCTGCAAGTACATGTACAGGCAGGTATTGATTTTTTGTCACAGAATGATGAAGGGCAAAATGGTGTCAGGAAATTAGGTTTGCAATTGTATACTGGCATGAAATGTTTTGAGGGTAAAGACATGCACACTACATGAACAAAGGTGGTATTCATTTTAAGGCAAATAAGTTAAGTGTCAACAGTAAGTTTCAGTAAAAGGATTTACAATTGCCTTTGAGGGATATTACAAAGGAGAATCTCGTGAATTAACACTTTCTCTGGCGGGCAAAAGCATCACACAAACATCTACCAGTCGGTCTTCTGGTAAATTCTTAAGTCAATTTTAGTTTCACTTTAGAAAGAACTTTGGGAGATTTAGACATAGCACATGATAATGATAATATTTTGGTAATAATATCTGTAAAGTGCTTAGAGGTTGTATGTCGTCTTAAAAATAAAATCTAGATAATTATTATCAATAATAATAATGATAATAATGATAAAAATAATAATAATAATATCAATAACAATAATAATAAAGATAATAAAGATGAATTAAAGATGAATTAAAGATAATAATAAAGATAATGATAAAAGTAATAGTAATAATAATGATCATACTCTTTTCTTGTATATATGCACTTTGTGTCAAACGAAGATGCGCTTTATAAAATAATGTAATATTATTATCATTATTGTTGTTATTATTATTATAGTGCATACACATATTGTCCTTCTGCGCTTCCAAAGAGCTTTAGAAATTCTACCCCTGGATGAATCTGGCTATTGATTCATACAGTATACTGGTGTGGAACCCCCAACATATATACTGTACATATGACATGTACACCTGTACATGGACAGATCAAAACAGGAATTATTTATTTGTCCCTGAAGGCTCGTTCAGATATGAAGCGTTAAACCGCAACATTTTTATAACTTACTGAATGGCAACTGCGCGCAACAAAGACCTTTTGTTTTCTTTTAATACAGCTGTGTTTAATACAGAAAATGTTAAGTGTCAAGTGTATTACCGTAGTTACAAATGTACAAGTCTTCTTTTTTTTGTAACACAGCGGTATACCACCTCATATCTAAAATGAGGCTTTACACATAGCTAGGGCAAATACAGTGTCAATATACGTAAATGCATAGCTATAATGTGAAAGAGTTGTATTTGTCAAGAGTAGCAGTGTATTGACAGTGGTATCTCATCAAATAAAATGGTTTGTTAGGAAATAGAGCAGAAGATCTTTTGTGAATGTAAACAAAAACCACATGGAATTTAAACAAATTGATTTGAGAAATAGTAGACTATGTGTACAATGTACATGGTATCAAGGCAAATATTGACCTGTACTGGTGTATTGTGAAAAGTCTGCAGTTATACATTAACTGTGAAGGAAAATACTGGGGATCACAAATAACCTTTCACATAACATCACTATAGGGCGCTCCACAAAGTCTATACTAATTCTTTGGTGTTTTTTTCTAGGCCTTGATGCATTGGACCAATCAGAACGTTTGGAGGTACATGGTTTAATTTTAGGGGTCTACATGTACAGTTTGTACACTGTACATGTATGTGTCATACAACTTATATGTTTATTATACACATGTATGTTTGTGTTGAGAGCTGAATATAAACATGTACAGTACATGTACAAAGTGAACACTGTTGATTTTAGTTCACTCAATATTTACAATTTCACAAGAATTTAAGCAAACAAGGACAAATGAAAGATATGAACTGTTTTCAATGAGATCCTTAGATGCACCGGTACTTGAAATTTTGAATCCCAGCTACATGTTCTGAAATGTTGGTAATCCTTTTATTCTGAGATTAGACTATAAAATGCCACTAGTGGATTAATTTAGATGCACAGTGTACACATAATAATTTATAAATAAAAACTTAAAATTAACATACATGTGAGATGTGAACATCACTTTTATGAGTTGGTGAAATAAAATTTAAAAGAAATTTAAATAACTTTCTTTACTTTTCAACTTTCTGGTCAAAAGATTAGATAGTTGATTTTTGTATAGTCTCTTTTAGATTTGTACAAAAAGGTACATGCAGAACGATTGCTATTTCCATTTTTGGGACACTTTCCATTTAAACAGTTGTTACTGCTTCCTCTATATTTCCTGAGCAAGTGCAACCACTTAAAGTGTTTTCCTTTACGGAAATGATCTTTGAAGAAGGAAAAAGATATAGAATTCTTTCATTTGATGGGTATAATCAATAAAGAAGCATTAATTGGTTTCAGTTTCTGCCCCTGTATTGGTGTATTGGAATTGTGCCAGTAGAGAAATATGTTTTGAAGTATACAAGAGTTCCAATATTCCACTTTATTTGGGCCAAAAAGTGTCAAATCACTCAAATGTGAAAATTTGTTTCTCTCTCTCTCTCTCTCTCTATCTCATCTTTCTCTTTCTTTTTCTTTGTTCTTTTTTTTTCTTCTTCCTTTCATTCATTTGTTCCTTTATGCTTTTTCCACATTAATGTTTTCATAGATCTATCACTCTCTTTGGGTTTGCATATATTTTTTATATTTTTTATATCTACTTGCTTCTTCCTGATGTGGCCGCATAGAGAGTTGGACAGATTCATACCAGTTAGCTGAGATTACTGCCTTATTGCGCATTGAAGATATACAAACTGAGGTATTGTATATATATATAGGAGGAAATACAGAGTAAAATGCAGCAAAATGATCCAGGAAAAGGTTGTAAAACCTGGGCATATTTCTCACAGGCACACAGTGGGATTGAGAGCAGATCAAATCACTGTTTGACATTCATACTTGATTTCCTGTGCAAAGTTTGTGATGATTGATTGGAGATATTTTCTTTTTTTTAAAGAGGCACAACCTCCAAAGTCTTATTGTTTTCTTTCTTCACTTTTTCATGTTTACAAACAAATGGTTCCAGCATGCTTTATCCTACATAATTACAGTAGGCCTGTCTTCATCAGCTCGAGTTTGCCAAATAACCAGCTATTTTCAGATTCTGGGTATTATCCTGAAGCTCAAAGTTGCGTCCTCACCAGACCTACATGTATACGCTCATGAATCACAGACTAGCTCGGACGGGCACAATTTAGCCTGCTATTTCCAAAATATCCCTTAAATTTTCTTGACCAAATATCCCGCTAATTGCAACTGCGGGCTGATGAGGACGCTAATTAGCTGGATAATTTGCGGTTGGGATAGTTAAAATAGCGGGTTATTTGGCAAACTCGAGCTAGTGAAGACAGGCCTAGTGAGATTAGTCGGGTAATGTTTAACTACAGTATATACAGTACATTGCTCCATAGATTATTCATACAAATTGTTAAAGCCCCAGTCCCATATAAAGCCGGACCAGCACGGACGAGCACGGACCACTCCGGACCATCCCGGACCATGGTCTGGGGTGATCCGGGATGGTCCGGGATGTTTTGTTCAAAAAATCGCAACCGCCGACCGTCTCCCCGGACCCAACACAGTACCACTACGGACCGCCCCGGACCGTCCGGGCATAGCCCCGGCAGCAGTACAGATCATTCCAGACCCAGCACGGAGCCGCCACGGACTGTCCCGGACCACCCCGGTGCCAACACGGTGCCAACACGGATGACACCGGACCATCCCGGTGCCAACACGGATCATCCCGGGGCGTTCCGGGATGATCCGTGTTGGCACCGGGATGGTCCGGGATCATCCGTAGGGGCGCCGGGGTGATCCGGGGTCAATAACTCACTCCCGGACTGCCACGGATCAACACGGACCGCCCCGGCGCCACTACGGATGACCCCGGACCCAGCACGGTGGCTACACGGATCACCCCGGATCAAACTATTGTCCCGGACCGTCCCGGACCACCCCGGCAGTTTTTGACGGTCAAAAACATCCGGGGTCGACTCCCGGACCGCCCAGGACCATCCAGGACCATCCAGGACCATCCAGGACCACCCCGGTGCCAACACGGTGTCAACACGGACCGAATCCCGGATCACCCCGGATGGGGTCCGGGATGGTCCGGGACGATCCGGGACGTATATGGGACTGTAGCTTAATGCTCAAGCATGAACCAAACCTTCTAGATATTTAAACGAAAATTAATAGGGTAGTATTAACATTTTTGAGAAAATGCAAGATGTGTACCAGATTTCAGATCTGTTTTTATTTTTAAGAAATAGAAACCAATGAACTGTAGAATGGTTAGATCTGAAAAGAAGATTAATACCAATTATCTGGATAGAAGATACACAAATATATCCTTCATGTTTTGTTCAAATCAGGAACCATGAAAAACCCAGACACAGCAAGGGTTTCATGGAAAATCCTTTCAAGGTTCATTATAGAAGAGGACTAGCTAGCAAAGTATAAAAGTAAAATATTGTTTTCATCCAAGCATCCAACTGGGTTTGAACAGTTCTTGGCCAGACTCACAATTTGCAAACCTCAGCAAGGTTTGTTTGATTCTTATAAAAACATCTATACATTTGGCAATCTCCACTTACCCACTCATGAATGCAAATTGACAAAAGTGAAAACAGTTATAACTACTTTAAACAGTTCCACTAAGCTCCATTTGTTCCTACATGTAGTAGAAAGGGGTGGTCTTGCTTAGCCATTAAAATACAGTTGTCAGAATATGTGTACAGACGACCTGACACAAGTATTCTTCGTGATTGTCAGTTTATCCATAACTTTGTGCACATGTGCTGGTTACAGTCAAGCATGTCTTAGTGGCCTGCTCATTTTTAGATCCGCTATCAATAAGGCCTGAAGAAAAAAAAGATGTTGTATTAATTGCCCTTTGCGACCTACCAAAAAATCTTGAAATCTACGTCTGGCTTTTAAAAAAAAAATAATGTTTTTTAGCGAGATAAAAATATTAAAGCATTAAAAACTGAGAAATATCAGCCCAAAGAGGGAGAAGAAAAGAAGAAAAAAAACTTTAAAAAAAAAGGATTTCCGACAAACCAACCCATGTTTTGGCACCTAAAGGGCAATACAACATCTTGTTTTATAAAGGCCTAATAGTAATGGGCATCTACATGATATCTCCTTCTAGGAAGAAATTTTTGTTGTCGAACCTGTCTGGAAAGGCAAGTCATCTTTCCATTTCCCTTGGGTTACCTTGCTATAGAGGTCTGACTGTCAAATACTCTCTAGGCCTGTCTTCATCAGCTCAAGATTGCCAAATAGCTAGCTATTTCTGATTTGGGAAATAATCCTGAAGTTACAAATCGCGTCTTCATCAGCTCGAGACTTGACCTCAAAACTTGAAACTAGAGATATTTTGCTCAGGGTTAGCGCATACAGAAGTGCGAGTCTTCGGACTGGTGAAGACACACCGGACAAACAGCGGGATATTTTGCAAACTAGCCCAAGATATCTTGGGATGATTATCTCGACCAAATATCCTGCCAATTGCAACTGCAGGCTAATGACGACGCAAATTAGCTGGATAATTTGCGATCGGGTTAGTTAAAATAGCTGGCTATTTGGCAATCTCAAGCTGATGAAGGTGGGCCTTCTGTAAATGCTTCGACTTACCTGAATGGGTTTGAATGTATCTTGGCCAGCCTCTCCGTCAGCAAACCTCAAGGCTATAAACTGTTCAAAGAACTTGCCATCCATAGCAGCGACTCTGCAGAGGAGAAAATTCCATTGTCCATCAAAAAGCCAAAATCCACATAAAATAAATTTACATATATGTATCAGTGACTTTTTTTAGGTAGAAATATCAATCAAATCATTCCTTCCTACACTTGCAATTCTTTTTATACAAGCCAAAAATAAAATCAGATGTGGTATAGTTTTGTATAGTTTTTTCCTCTTTTTTAATATTATGTATTAGCAGTAATAATCTATTCGTAATAACTTCTAACCAATCCCATGGTCTGTTCACTCTGATCACCAAAGGATAAGAAAGACTAAAACATGACTTGGATGATGTTCTATAAGAAAAATCTGATTCCAAGAATGAAATAAATAAATCTGCATACAGTTCTTACATGTACATACCCTTACAAAATATAAACATACTTTACACAAAATATAGAAAATCTGATGCACATGATCATTAATAATGACAATCATCTTTGCTGCAGATCAAATAGTGTAAATACCCTAAAGGGACAAGGTGACAAATGGATATATATTGAATTGAATTGATATCTTACCCAAGAGGACAAATTTCAGGACAAAGTAAACTACACTTTCTGGCTACATAATCCAAAATATTACCCATTGTGAGAGAGAACATTCAAGAAAATAAAAGTATAAAGATGAATGCACATCAATCAATTAGCGATTAACTGATTGATTCAGTACTGGCATGCTCCTGTTTTCAAATCCAAGTGAGCACTCTAGAGATACACACATACATGTACATTTTTGTAAATGATCACCGGACATATCTTGTAATAGACCACATTTTTAGAAATGCTGAAAGATAATATTTCACATTAATCCAGGTGGATAAATAACTTTAATTAATGAAAGCTCCATGCTAATTATCATGTGATCATGATGTATATATTAGCATGGCCATTTGAGGGATATTGGATAAAGGAGGGAGGGTGCTTTTCCTGACCACAATGGAGAAACTATTTTCAACTCCTAAAGGGTCATTTGCCTAATTACCCTGCCCCTTGCCACCTCAGTGTGAAGCCTTGCTTTAATTAATTAGTTCCTAGATTAGCTATCATATACAGCTACATTGCATTTGATAGTCATTTAATATTGCAATAGAATGATGATTAACAGACAACAGTGTTTTTAATCTGTCAGGTATACGGTACCTAAATAATTGAGCTAAAAATTGCACTAATTTCAAATCGTATAATTTGCCTTAACTTGACTTCTTAATGTACATGTATCTACAAAAAAATAAACTCCTGTTCTAAACAATCAGCTATAGAAACATAATGTACATGTAGCATACCCAAGAGACATCTCCTGCAATTGTTTTATTAACCCAGCAATTGCCAGGTACCCATTTACACCTGGGTGAAGAGTGGCAAATGTAGATTAATGTCTTGCCAATGGATGTTGGTGCTAGGTTGGATTTCAAACCATCAACCCTTAAGTGCATGAACCACCATACCCCCCCCCCCCGACACCTCCACAATGCACTCAGTAAAGTTCATAAAGGCAAATTCCCAAAAAGCATTCATAAAAAGCATACACCACAAATGATCAGTCACTTTCGCTGCTCTCTTGAATATCGATATCCTCATCACCATCATCATCATATTTATGCATATACAGTACCACAAATGTTCAGTCACTTACTTTTCGCTGCTCTCTTGAATATCAATATCCTCATCACCATCATCATCATATTAAAGCATACACCACAAATTTTCAGTCACTTACTTTTTACTGCTCTCTTGAATATCAATATCCTCATCACCACATCATCATATTAAAGCATACACCACAAATGTTCTGTCACTTACTTTTCGCTGCTCTCTTATCGATATCCTCATCACCATCATCATCCTATTTAAGCATACACCACAAATGTTCTGTCACTTACTTTTCGCTGCTCTCTTGTATATCGATATGCTCATCCTCATCGACATCCGCATCCTTCTCCACTATGTGGTAAATGGATTGACTCCTTCCTCTCCGTCGAATCATCTCTAAGCCGTCTTGACTATGCAGTCATAGAAGAAGTTTCACAAATCTGCCAATCTGGATATCAAAAGAGAAAAAAAGGGAAGATTTAGTCATGGATATACCATCAAACTATAATTAATGATTAAATTGTAGTACATGAAATGACTTCTTGATCCCCCTGCATCACCTGAATCACATCTAATGCAGTGTTTTTAAAAATTTAAAAACACTATTACATGTACTTTCTGTGCCTCCTGTAAAAACATGATGTGTATGTCTTGACTAGTTATACAACGTAGATAAGATAGTATTTGAAATCATATTAGAAAATTGAAGGATGAAAAAAGAATTGGTTAGAGGAGAGACAACACACATGTACATGTAGCGTTGTAAAACATGGATGTGTTACCTATCAACCTACTTGCCTGCAATTGTAACTGAGCCCGAAAAAAATGTCAATTTTAAATCCCTTTGAAAATACGGACACGTTATAGCAGTGATTGGCCGAGAGCTAAACTTTTTGAAGAACCCCATTGGTCAATGACTAAAATATTGCTAAAATTAGAGTGAAAATGACCCAAATTATTACATTTACAATAAATCTAATTCTTTTGTACTGTACAAGTAGCATAAAAAAGGCATCCAATTAAAAAGTGAAAGCCTAAAAGTAAACAAGAGCATACAATATAAATGTTAAAAATAGATGCATCATCTGTGACAAACATCAATTAACATGTGTTAAGCCTGAAAATAAACCACAAATGGATTACAAGATTTAATCTGTGACAAGCATCAACAATATTAAGGACAAACAAACACACACACACAAAAAAAAATATTACACTGTACAGATTTTTTTTAATAGCATGTACTGGTAGTTACTTAAGTTATTAATTTAGGTTAAGCAAATACATATTTTTATGATCATAGATTAAACAGATCATGAGAGATTTAATTTAGTGATGTCACTAATACTCACACTCTCAGAGTCAAACTGTGCTGCTTGTCAATGGATATATAAAAATAATTTGTTGTTGAGCAATTTTTACATCCGGTAATGGTTGATGCTCCTGTACACAGATAATCTCTGATTTCCTGCTAAATTTCATTCCAGCTCCGATTCCAAAACCATGTAAGAAACGGTCATAAATCAACCTTATGGCTGAAAATGTAAACTACCATGCTTTCTGTCTTTATCAGACTGATGTACAAAGTTATACATTGTACCACCATGAACTATGTCAGATCGGTGTAATTTGAGAATTAAATGCTGGTATTTAGAAACGGATGGCCTACTATTGCCATGGACTTGGCATTGCTTTATACTTCTCAGAACTCTAGAATCTGGTTGCCTGATCAAAGCAGGTTTTCTGGCTGTTTCGATTTTCTTTTGTTTCACCCGAATTGACCAGATTATGACTTTGCAAACATCAGGATGTGATGTCATCAGCAGTAACAGGACTTTGTAAACAAACCTCATGTATGACTGTACATAATGGTAGAATCAATGAACCCAGACGTAAAGCACACCTACATACCGTACACCTCTCACCAAATGACCCTTGACCAGTGACAAACTTGTTTAAGTGTTTTTTGGTAAATGTAGGCTATTAACATTTATGAACACAGTGCCTTATAAATACCAAGAAATCTGTTAGATCATAATAAAAATGAACACTTTATTCACTGGAATTGGAAAGCCTAGCCCTATAGATGCTTAAACATTTTCAACTAAAAATGAAATTACTTGTTCTTCAATTGTAAAATGTTCTTTTTTTTAATTTTGAAAAAATATTTAAGTCATAAACCGTTCGGCTGAACCTATATTTTCATTTGAAATTAACTACAGTATTAGTATTACTTAGTCAGTGTTAAAGCAGGCTATCATTGATATCAGGATGTAATGAGAGTCAACACTATCAGAAACTAGAATAAAATGCAATTAATGCATCGTGTACATGTACATGTAGTTCAGCTAGTGCGTCAATAGCCAAACCACAACACTCTACATTAAATGCATGCTTGGATAAAACATTCCGATAGAAAATCACCTACACTGTACATTCAGTATTGAACTTTATCAAAAGTTCTCTTAAATCAAAGCCATTATAACAATTTTTTCTTCTGATTGGATCTCTTTCCCCCCCCCCCCCCCCCCCCTTTTACTTTCTTTTCTTCTTTTAATTACTTTCATCTTTTTTGCAAAAAAAAATATTGAGCCCTGCACATAGATATGTACAACTGTTAAAACTTATTTGAGTGTATATTTCTCTATGGAACTTTGATCTTTGAGCCTGACTAGGTCTAGGTCTAAAAACAAAAATGAACCTCAAGAAGCTAGTGTATATGTACTTCTTCTAGACAACATGATCATGCATAACCTGCAATGAATTAATATATTCAACATCATTGAGATATGTACAATGTATATAATACATTAGCTTTTGAAATAACAAAACAAAACAAAACAAAGAAAATAGAAGTGTCAATGAACTTTTAAAGTCTAAGTTGTAGTCTAAAGTCAAAAGACTCTACTAAAAAATACATGTATGATGTACAACGTAGGCTGACAAACTATTACTAGATTATAACTGTTGAAGTACAAATAGACTTTTATGACATTTTTTCATTCATGAATACAAACCGATAATTCATAATATTTACATGGTCCCATATTTCTGTTTTGAAAATAAACTAGGCTATTAATTTGTATTATAAGAAAACTAAACTGTAATTGTGTTTGTAAACAGTAACACCAAAGTAACACTTGCCCAAGGCCAAGTAAACCCAAAACCTTCAAATTCGATTTCAAATATCTTTTGCACTGTTAATTCTCACACCATTGAAAGTGGCGTAAGTCAGAAATTTCATTCAATAAATTTCAAGATTTGGCTCTGTCGTCCAACGATTCGACACGATCTAGATAAGCTTTCACAAACTTTTTAGAGCTGCACCAATCCCGACCTTCTCAGACGAACCAATTTGGCCGCGCCACCGGCCCAGTCAGCGTCAACCCACGGGCCGCGAGCCCCGAGAGCGAGTGACAAGTGTCCGTAGACTTCGAAGTTAAAAACGGGATATTTTTAACTTCAAAATACTGTTCATTACACCTTTAATATGACATATTCTGTTTCGTTTATATATAAACATCAAAACTGAACTATAATTAAAGTATATAATCAGACTGTAGCATAAGCTAAAGTGGGATAAAAACTTACATAATGCGTCGATCGGTATCGGAATGCTTCTCTTACAATCACGTAACCACGAAATCCTACGGAAAATTGTTAGTGCAGTGCATGCAGTGAAGGCCGCATCCCGCCGCGCCCACCAGGGGCACTCTCCGCCCTCCTCGAGCCTCTCTCCCGTCCCATCCGTATTTCAAGGTGCAGATTAAAAAGGCTGGTGGGTTATGGGTCTGGATCCCTCCTCTTTTTTTGCTTGAAGATGTCATACAGTAGGTTTTCATGTCTTTGACCCATTCCCCCCCCCCCCCCATTCCCACCTTCTATGGGGATGAATAACTATTATTAATCTATTTATTATTCTTTTAGTCAACTGGCATGTCAGCATTTGAGGCAATTAGTCGGACATGCAGCTCGATCCTCCTATATTTTTTATCCTAAATTAATTATTTTAAATTTAAATATTTTCTGTTTTAGGACAACTTTCCTATTTTTAAGTTTTGTTTTCACTGATCTTTGAAACATGAAAGGATAAGTTATGATGTGCCTAAACAAAAGTATACTCATTGTATGAACAAGTCTCTTGTTAATGGGGGGGGGGGGGGGGGGGTAATGCATCTCTAACTTTACTTTCATAAACTAAGACATTGGGAAATCTTTATAAGAAAAGCACATTATAATAAGAGATAAGAAAATGCTTTTGGATGTATGGTCATATCCCATGCACTTTGCCAAAAGCAATTAACAGCAACTGTTTTTAATTAGTATAAGTTTGATATGCATGCAGTTCCCTTTTGATGAATGTGTATAAGACCCATTTGAGTATTTTTTTTTGCATTAATTATAAGAGAGGCCAGTTGCATAAACTATTGATGGTAACTTTGCAATCAACTTTATCAGCTACCATGGCAACATCACTAAATAGCCAATCAAATCAGTTTCATTCACTATGAATATGACTGACAAAGAAAGCGGACAAAATATATAGTTCCTCAGGTAGACAAAGGAACATCCCTTCACTGCTATTATGTCAGGGAATAATTTGCCTCAATTTTTTTGATTAGCAATTTCAGCTGATGGATAAATATTTCAAATGAAATTCTGTACATTTCTATGGAAGAAAACTGCTACACAAAAGATATTTTGTATAGCAGTCATGCAAAAATGCATAGCAAATTGCGATGCGATACCAGGAAAATTATTCCCTGTATGTAAAAAAATGTGTAGAACAGGTGTCACATGCATATTCACTTTTTACATAATAGCAGTGAAGGGATGTTCCTTCGTCTACCTGAGGAACTGTATATTTTGTCCGCTTTCTTTGTCAGTCATATTCATAGTGATTGGAAGTTACCATTATAATGGCAAAGTTACTATCAATGGTAATTTGCATACCATTGATTGATGAGAGTCGACTGGCCCAGGCCACTTTCCATTCTCTACACCTTCCCCCCCAGGACCAAAATCCAATTGAAACCAGTTGAAATCTCCAACTGGTTTCAATTGGTTTCAACTGGTTTCAATTGGTTTTAATTGGTTTCAATTGGAATATAAAATTTCCAGTTGAAACCAATTGCCGAACTGGAAAATATTGTTATGGGTACTCATTTCCAGTTCAAACCAATAAGAAGTGCAACTGGAACCAGTAAGGTAATTTTTCCAGTTACTCGATCAATTGGTTCCAGTTAGAATTCATTTCCAGTTACCCAACTGGTTCCAGTTAGCATTCATTTCCAGTTAGAAGTCATTTCCAGTTACCCAACTGGTTCCAGTTAGAATTCATTTCCAATTACCCAATTGGTTCCAGTTAGAAGTCATTTCCAGTTACCCAACTGGTTCCAGTTAGCATTCATTTCCAGTTAGAAGTCATTTCCAGTTACCCAACTGGTTCCAGCCTCATTTCCAGTAACCCAACCGGTTCCAGTTAAAATTCATTTCCAGTTACCCAACTGGTTCCAGTTAGCATTCATTTCCAGTTAGAAGTCATTTCCAGTTACCCAACTGGTTCCAGTTAGAATTCATTTCCAGTAACCCAACTGGTTCCAGTTAAAATTCATTTCCAGATACCCAACTGGTTCCAGTTAGCATTCATTTCCAGTTAGAAGTCATTTCCAGTTACCCAACTGGTTCCAGTTAGAATTTATTTCCAGTTACCCAACTGGTTCCAGTTAGAAGTAATTTCCAGTTACCCAACTGGTTCCAGTTAGAATTCATTTCCAGTTACCAAATTGGTTCCAGTTAGCATTCATTTCCAGTTAGAAGTAATTTCCAGTTACCCAACTGGTTCCAGTTAGAATTCATTTCCAGTTACACAATTGGTTCCAATTGGAAATATTTCCAGTTACCCAACTGGATCCAATTGAAACCAGTTAATTTGCATATTATCTGCTTGTGTGCAGATCAATGTTTTATGTAATTTATTTTGATTTACAATGTACTTATTAATTAATTTTCATTTGCAAGTAATGCATTTGTTTTAGATAAATATAAAGATTAATTAGCAATGATAAGCATGTTCATTAGTAACATATTTTTGTAATTACACAGATTAAAAGTTGATTAGTAAAACACTAACCATGTACAAAATACATCAAATACAAACATATATAATGGCAATGCCATCCTTGTTAAGTATATTATATGGTCTGCATATTATAATGCCTTTTACATTGTACTTAATGTAGATACATATAACAATGCTTCTGTGTTGACATGAGCGATAATTAGTGCAAGAGCTAATTAACTTATAACTAATTAAGTTTATGCCAACTGTAAGTTTCAATTGGATCCAACTGAAACCAACTGAAACCAGTTGAAACCAATTGAAACCAATTGAAGCCAACTGGTTTCAATAGGGAAATTGGAACAACTGGTTCCAGTTGAAACCAATTAGGCAACTGGAACCAGTTGGCAATTGGTTTCAACTGGTTTCAATTGGAACCAGTTGGCAATTGGTTTCAACTGGTTTCAATTGGAACCAGTTGGCAACTGGTTTCAATTGGAACCAGTTGTTCCAATTTCCCTATTGAAACCAGTTGGCAACTGGTTTCAATTGGTTTTGCTCCAATTGGTTTCAACTGGATTTTGGTCCTGGGCCCCCCCCCCCCCCCCCCCACACACACACACACACACACACTTTTTCCTCCATCTCTCCCTCTCTTTCTACATATCTATCTTATTTTGTATTGGAGAGAGACACTAGAGGGAGAATGAGAAAGAGAAAGAGATCAGCGAGAGCAACAACAAAAGTAGTCACACTAGATAGACGAGACTTCAGGCCGAGTTTCGAGAAAAGAATTGACAGAGAGGTTTAGAGGAGAAAGAGGGAGCGGGGGGGGGGGGGGGAATGACAAGAGAAAAGACTAGAGCCTGTACTCTGAAAACTATATTTATGTAAGGAAAACAATGCCAAATAGTCCTAATTATAACAAACTAAAATTGATTGAAATCAACACTTATCATTGATGCTTGCAAAGGTCTATTTTGACTGTAGCACTTGCAGTCCCTTATGATTTTGATGTGTTATGATCATTTTAAAACATTCATAATGACACCATTTTCAGAATACCACATTTGATGGATAAAGGGAAAGGGGGACAGATAAATAAAAAGAAATAGGAAGACAGACTTTCAAGGAGACAGAAACATAAGTATCTAGGTAAAGAGAGAGAGAGAGAGAGAGAGAGAGAGGGAAGAGAGGGAGAGGAGAGAGAGAGAGAGAGAGAGAGGGAGAGAGAGAGGGGGAGAGAAACAGAGTGACAGAGGGAGAGACAGAGAGAGAGAGAAAAGCAGACAGACTTTCAAGGAGACAGAAACATAAGTATTTAGGTAAAGAGACAGAGAGAGAGAGAGAGAGAGAGGGGGGGAGACAGAGAAAGACAGAGGGAGAGACAGAGAGAGACAGAGAGAGAGAGAGAGAGAAAAGCAGACTGACTTCAAGGAGACAGAAACAGAAGTATTTAGGTAAAGAGACAGAGAGAGAGAAAGGCAGACAGAATGTCAAAGATATATACCAACACAACAAAGAATTAGATTTAAAGATTTCTTTTTTCCAACTGATTTGTACACATTCAATATTTTATTTCACAAATTCTTTTGAAAAGTAAATTGATAGGCGTTGAATATCAGCAATGCTGAATATTATATGCTCTATTAAGATCCAAGTACATACAATATAAACATTTTTCTTCCATTCATCACACATGTAATACATATAATAGTTCTGCATTTTCAGGTATATACAAATATTTACACTACCATTGTTAACATTACAATACTCTCTTTCAAAGAATATGAATTTTATTTCGTATTTATATGGAGATCATAAATAAAAAGTCTATTTGCATGTATCAAGGTGACATAGTATAACCATTAATAAATATTGAAGTTACAGATATACCCATGCGAAGAATCTAAAATTCAATTCAAAGGTATAGAGAAATTCATTCACATGGGATATACATAACATTTCATTTATTGCATATATAATTGTGGTGTAGCACATATTTCTTTAATGGAATCCAGCTTGAAAAGCAGTGAATTAAAACACAACCTTTTCTTCCAGATAATTTGTTGCAAAAGTTATCAAACTGTTTAAAACTTGAAAGAGGTGGTTTTATTCTTTAATTTACCTTTCTGTAGTATGGTGTAGAGAGATGTGATGTATGACGATGCTTTACTACAAAATTCTTTAATCATGAATTACACACAAAATTTCATTAGTTTTTCATAAAATAGTGAAATGAAGCACAGAATTTCTGATGTCAAACTATACACTTGTTCTAATATTTCTTATAGGCTTCTCCGCTTTGACAATACAATGTTATTCTATTTAGCATTTTTCTGGATTGATCATCTTCATTAATCTTATGGCGTGATATTTACCTTATCGAACACAATGTACTGTAGATTAACAATTTATGTGACGTAATGTGAGGAAATGATAAAAACTCTGTGATTCATTTTGATTCAATATTGTGATTTTCGATATTGTACCGGATTACTTTTGTTTGTTTCTCCATTTTCAGGGCATTTGTTAATCCTTACTTTATATTTTTATCACTTTGAATGATCTCTGTCACAATGTTTTATCCCTCATACATGTACACCTGCATTCTATCATAAAACACCTGTTGGGATGAAACAAGTCAGAGTGCATGGCCATATTAGGTATACCACATTGACAAATGGTTTCAACATGTATGTGGTACCCTAATTATAGTGGGGATAAAAATTAACTGGAGAAGCATGAAAACCTCATATCTGTCTGTTCAGGTCATGAATACAATCGAATACGGTAGTATGATTGAGATGAGCCAAAGGAAACATGTTGGAACACGAGACAGCACTTAAATGTTGGGGAATGTCCCGAAAATTGTTATCTTTGTCATATAAACAATAAATACGTGAGAATCTATAAAGATATATTGAGTATCACAATTATGTACAGTAAATCTTTAGGAGGTTTCTAAAGGCTTTCAGCAGATGATCAATACTATACCAATGATACACAATCCATAAACAGTGCATCCAATTCCAGTGTTATATCTGGGTAGCGAGTGTTTATTAAAAACCCAAGCAAAAGCTTTCCCCCAGCTGGCATCAAATTCAATAAGGCAGCTTTTGCTTTAAATCATCATAAATCAAAAGTCTTCATGACATATCAATGTTTCAGAGTGGTATTACATTGGGACCTCTATAGAAAAAGACAAATAATGTTATAACAAAGCAACTTTGTTGGTCCAAGTTCTTTATATTTTATTGTGTTGTAGCCCTGATATAACAAGGTTTCATAATAACAAGGTCATTTCCTTGGTCCCTGGGAGATCGTTACAACGAGGTTGAACTGTAGTACCCGCTAGAGATGCTTTGATCTGTTTACCATAACTCATCATCAGCTGCACCCCTTGAGCTCAGCACCATCTGGACGCTTCGCATGGCCGGCTGGATCTGCGGGAACTCAGTGATGAGACGGTCAGCGATGGTAGCAACAGTCTGCATCTTGTCCAGCTGTTTCTTGGACTCTGCCTCGAGGGCAGCCTCCGTCTTGCAGAGCAGTGTGTACTTGCCGTCCTTCAGGGCCTGGTAGTTCTTGACCTTGCGTTGCCTGGAGACGATGTCCCCAAGGTTCTGTTCAGAATAGGGAGAGTGAAGAGTGAAAGAGATTTTAAAGGCCGTGTAGCTTGGAAAATACTGGTTGACGCCATCTACGTCTTCTTTTGGACAACTGCACTTAAACAAATGGACTTGATCAACGGTAGTCGGCGACTTAATCTCTACATGGTCAGCGTTCGCGAAACAGACAGTTCTCCTCATTCTTCGGTTTCGCGTATGATGCACGCACATGCCCGATTGGCCCTGAGTCAGGCAACGGGGAAAGACACATAGTCTTGTCAGGCTACACTCCCTTTAATGGGATGGTAGAGAGATGGTGAAGGTCATAGGGGTCAAAGACTTACTCAATTAATATACAGTCAAACCTGCTTTAGTGACCACCTGTCTACAAAGACCACATTTTTTTCCCCCTTTAAAATGGTTTCTCATTGAAACATGTACTAAAGGAACCTGTCTACAAAGACCACTTTTTGTGTTTTCCTAATTGGGCGGTCGCTATAGACAGGTTTGACTGTATATAGCATAACTCAAACTACCACCAAGGGTTATGATAGAGAAATTGAAAGGTACCATTTATCTTCCAAATTAGAAGTTACAAAATCAGTCCAAATGCGTAAGCAATATTTCATAGTTATCGTGATTTCTCTAAAACTTTCATGGAAGATTATTTTCTCTTATATTCCAAGTTGAAAAGCAATAAACAATTCATATACTTTCAAAACCACATCAGATAGTGCTTTCACTCACATGATCATGGATGTGAATCCAAACCTTGTGGTTGTGTCTTTGGAATTATTTTTATAATCGGGGCAGCGCCAGGAGCGTCACAACATGACGGACATGTGCGCTATATAAGAAGCCACCATTATTATTATCCAGTTTTCTCTCTCTGAAAGAGCAGAAAAAAGTATTTGAATGCTTCCATATACAATTATTTACTACACTAGTGGGGCGTTGCAAGAAAGTTGCAATCAAATGCAAATCTCCAAATTCAAGTGTAAGTCTTGCGATTAATTGCAAATTTGCAATTGATCGCGACTCAACTTTTTTGCAACGACCCGTAGGTGGGCTATAAAGGTATTTGCAATTCATATAATGTATTTTATCAAAATATTGGTTCGATTCGCTAGTAATGAGATTAAATCATTGGCTGACTGTAAGAAGGCTGTGGGAGCTATGTATAGTCAATGGCAGTAACAGCCTTTAACGGCCAGCCAATGAATTATTGAGGCAATAAGCCTACTAGGAAGTATTGACTCCGAGGCCTCACTGAGCCAGCCGGCCATGTTTACCTTCTGTTTGAGTTCAACCAGTCTCTCTATATCACCATCCTGTGTATCGGCCATGCTCTGTAGTTCATGGAACTCTCTCTGCTTGTTATCAAGCTGCTGGTTGAGCATCTGCTGATGGCCGCGCAGCTCAGCGATGTCATTGTCACACCCATTTGCATCCTGTTTCAATAATCAAGAGCAAGAATGAGAGAAATTATATCGAGTAAGAAGAAATATTTTGAACTGTTTGTTTTGTTTAATATCGCAAAAAAAAGACAAATTAAAGGCCCACTGTCCTACTTGTAGCTACTTGCTCCCACTATATAGAAAACTTCCCCAATCGGTGCCTGTTGGTCCCCCATGATCCTCTTTTTCTTATGTTAGTTGAGACCTGAGTTAATGAGATAGCCACCTGTCAGTGACCTCGCTGTGTGGTCTAATCCCTTCTGGCCCAGTATATTGACAGTCTTTAAGATGCAACATCAAAAGAACTTAAACCTGGTATTTTATTTTTTACATATTGTTTAGAAAATTGTTTTTTTTGTGTTTTTCTTTCTCATTTCTCTATGTATCTCATTCTAATTCTATCCCTCTGCACCTCAGAATAGTTTACTAGATCGATGGCGCATAATAAATGCTGTATTATGATCTATTAAAATTCTATTGACAGGATTAGAGAACATGTAAATTTGATAATGTAAAGCTCAGTGTAAACAAATAAAAAGTGCAGGACTGAGAGCACTTTACAAAGTAGTCGAAACACAATGTTATAGGTTTGAAACAATATATCCATTAGTAATTTTAACATATCTAAGTCTTCTAACTTGAGTAGAATATGACTCTTTAACAGACAAGTCTTTTGAGATTTTATAAAATTTAGCGTGCTAGTAAAATGAAATGAGGCCCCGTCTTATGAACAGTTGTGATTAAACTAAATGAATCGAAAGTCCTCAAATCAATCGCAAGTTTGTAGTCTCCTATCTCTTACGTCCATAGTTGCTGATATCAATTAATATTAACTCTGAGACAGGACCCAGGAGTATCCAATTATGTTACAGGAAGATGCATGCTTCACAGGCCAATGGACATGGATACGTACCTGTTGAGTCTCCTTGATCTTCTTTCTGAGTTCCAGGAGTTTCTTCTGGAATGCTCCCTTGGTCTCTACCTTCTTGTTCATCTTAGACTGGGCGTCGCCCCGGGTCACGATGGTATCACGACGGGATACGGCCTTCTCCATGTCCTGGATGAGCTTCTCTTGGAGCTTCATCAGCTGGGTGTGACGCACCTAGGTCAAGAAAAGAATACAGCAGAAAGGAAAATGAAAGAAATGGATTAGGTATACTTAGAAGGTTTTAGAGGAGATGGAAATGGAGTTGATAATGCCTGGTTTCATTATCTCCTGGCGTAATCAGCTGGTTGGTAGTTAACTAACGACGGTTAGTAATGAGGAGTTCGATGATCATAGTTGTTATTAAAATCTGAGCAAAAATAATTATAAACATAGCTTGTTGTAAAGTGTATATATCCAAAAATCAATGACATTGATCCTGCTCCCACCTGCCTACAGGCTCCTCCAACCAAGTACACCACCATGCCTCTACAGGAAGTGCAGTTTTCTTTCAGAAAATGGAAGCAATTATTTACTTCTATTATGAAGCTTTACATCTGTGGATATTCTATACCCAATTTATCAGTGAAACAAAGTGTTTCAAGTCAATTTTTAACAATTGAAAGTTCATTTACGAAATTGTTCAAAACTTTGGTGGTATAGAAGGAGTTTGATATGACTTACCTCCATACGATGTATCTCAGCACTCATGGCTCTGATCTCTCCCTGACCGACCTCTGAGTCTACCGTAGCCTTAGCTTCCCTGGCAAGCTGAGTCTTCTTCTCCCAAAGCATGATCTGACGTCTGCACAAGAACAACATAGCAATAAATGTTGATGAAGGCCCGAAGAGGAGAGACAATATGATCTCTTTTTATGTTAAACACTAATTGCAGGAAAAGTTAAAAGTGGTGGTCTTCTTGACTTTCAAATAGAAGCTTGAGTGTTTTTAACCAACCCTGACCATGCAAGCTCTGAGTCTACTATAGCCTTAGCTTAAAACTGAGTCTCCTTCTCCCCTAGCATGATCTGGCGTAAACACTGACAACAACAAAATTGTCAATAAGTGTTGGTTGATTCTCTCTTTGATTTTGTACTGTGTAATCCCCAGAGCATATGATTTTCATCTCTTCATTCTTAGGTAAATAAATGAAGAGTTTAATGCCAAAAGGAGTTATTAAAATGCATTTTTGTAATTTCTGAGAAAAAAGAAATTGTTTACCAGATTTTGTAGTCATCTATGGAACTAGATGGAACTTCGACTGCGCGCAGTCGAAATGATGCCTCCGTCATAGAGCAATTTACAAACCAAAACAGAAGAAATTTTTCAAATTCAAGTTCAATTGTAATCCATTAACAGGTTCTCAGAATATCGTGATTACAAGCAATTTCTCATATACATATATGACCCTTTGATCTTTGACCTCATGACCCTAACATCTACTCAGTTCATTGGCTCCGCAAGATGTCCCGAGTTAAATAGTAATCCATCTGTCAGTTCTAATGAGAATGCGTTCACAAGCTATTTTTGCATACATAATGAGCCGCATGACCTTTGACCTTGACCTCATGACCCCAAAATCTAATCAGTTCATCGGCTCTGCAAGTAACATACATGACCTAAGTTTGGCAGGAATCCATCAATCGGTTCTTGAGATAACGCGATCACAAGCTGTTTTTGCATACATAATGAGCCCTGTGACCTTTGACCTTTGACCTTGTGACCCCAAAATCTAATCAGTTCATCGGCTCTGCAAGATACATACATGACCAAAGTTTGGCAGGAATCCATCAATCGGTTCTTCAGATAACGCGATCACGAGCTGTTTTTGCATACATAATGAGCCCTGTGACCTTTGACCTTTGACCTCGTGACCCCCAAATCTAATGAGTTCATCGGCTCTGCAAGATACATACGTGACCAAAGTTTGGCAGGAATCCATCAATCGGTTCTTCAGATAACGCGATCACGAGAACGGGACGTACGGACGGACGGACGGACGTACGGACGTACGGACGTACGGACGGACGGACGGACAACCCGAAAACATAATGCCTCCGGCTACTTCGTAACGGAGGCATAAAAAATGATATTAGGTGCATTTTTCATGATTGCTCCCAAAATTTAGGTAAAGAATTTTGTTGAATGACAGGTACTTAAGTTCTGATATCAATAACTCAATTTTCATCAAAAGTGGATTTAGCTCCTTTTGGAATCAAGCTCTTATTATGTACAGTTTTTAGATTGTCATAGATTTAATTGTTTAGCTAGTGAAGTTGGTTATACTTACTCTGCCTCTACCAAGCTATTGAGAAGTCTCTCCTTCTCCTCACCAAGTTCATCAAGCTTGCCTTGCATCTCAAGAGATTCTCTCTCAGCCTCCTGCCAAAATCAAATATAAAAATATAAAAATTGAAGTAGAGAATAAAAGAATAGCAAAGGTAGTTTGATGTACCTATTGTACTTGCAAGATAATGAGTTTAGAGATCAAGATTAATCGCCTTTCAAACATCTTCAATTTGAGCGATTTTGCTGATTGAGTGAAAGTTTATGCAGAGGATAAAACAAAAATCAGAAGTTTCATTAAATCCTAAACTGAAATTTTAAGGGGAAAAAGTGTAACAACAAATAAGTTTTTAAAACATCTACAATTTGTCTATAGTGTAGACGGGACAATTTAAAGCATGGTTTCTTAACCTGATGGCTGTAACAAACACTAGGGCAATTAGTAAGGGCATACATTGGTTTTAAATGGCATGGGCCAAGAATTGTCTAATGGGAGGTAACACCTCTGAAAAGAAAAGTCAGGTGGGGGTGTGTGCAAAAAAAGGTTAAGGACTACTGATGTATAGCATACCCTGAGAGAGAGCACAAAGTCATTCTCGATGAGAGCATTATCTTGATGTAGATCCTGTCTGATCTTGCCTTCCCGGGTCAGAAGCTGGTTGAGTTTCAGCATGTCATTCTGCATGTTCTGAATGCTCTTGTCCACCATCTTGCGATCGTAAAGCTGCCCTTCAATCTCACCTGAAGAGGGAGAAAAACAGACATTTTTTCCATGTTTAACAAATTTTAATTGTTTATTGGTAAGAAAAAAAAATTGCAATTTCAAATGGTGAACAGAATGTTATTGTTCCCACACTGTATGCACCTACATTTATTAGATAGTGCATTGATTTGCGAATTAATTGGATTGAATTTATTGGGCACGGCAACTCCCAGCAATACTTTGCCATGATCACTATGAAACAGGGGAAGGGCACATTAACACATGACTCAGGCTTCATTTATCCACCCTTGCTGGATTTGAACCCACAATCTTTGGTTCGACAGGCATATGCTCTACCGACCACTGGGCCACCTTGCCTTCTTTGTGGTTTGGCTCAGTAACTTTTGATTCAGAGCCCTAAAGACTAAACCAGGGCATAAATTGATGCACGCATTGTGCCTGTTTTTGTTAAATGACCACATTGTGTTTAATGCCAGGAATTTTAAAAAGGAGAATAATCTTTAAAATCCTTGAATTTGCAACATATTGAGAGGTTCAAATCACTGTTTTTCAATTAAAATAGACAACTTTTCAACAAATTGTTTACCGATATAGTTGATTTCAGAAACATTGTACTTTATTAGAACAATGTAGCATTAAAACAAAAATGTTACTGTGGCCAATTTGAAGAATATTATGTTAATTTAACCCTGGAAAAAATCCCTGTCCTGAATCACCACACATCACCACTATTGCTTACCTTCAATCCTCATCTTCTTCTGGTGGAGGATGGTGAGAGCCTTCTTCATGGTGTCCACCTCCATCTGTTGGTTATCCTTGTCTTGGGTCATCTTGACCAGTTCACCCTGCTGCCTCAGCCAGAACTGCTGGAGGTCAGCAATCTCCTGTGTCCGGGTGTCAATGTTCTTGGTCAGGGCATTGACCTCTTGCTCTAGAGGGCCCAGCTCTTCACCCTACATGAGACACAGCCACAAAATATATTTATAGGATTTGATATAACTGAATGACGCATAGTATTGACATTCCAACACCATTCCTACACAATATATTAAACTTAGTGTAATTAAGTCAACATTTATTAATTAAAATCAGACAGTGCTTTTATTTCTTGAGTGGATCTCCCCCATAATTTGCAAAAGATTGCATTTCCATACCATAGAATTGTCATGTACATGTAGCATCAGAAATCCATATGAGCTTTTGAGAACTTATTATGATCACTAAGATTGTGCTACATATACATTTAAATTTTACATCATAAACTTGTGCAAAGACCTACAGAATAACAAGTCTGCACAGTGGTGCACTTCCTGGGCTTAAATTGAATACAACTGACTCTCAAATCAATATCCTACTACAAGGAACTGTGGTTCCTACTGCAAATTTGCACTAGATCCTTTACCAATGAAACCTTTATTCATAGCACAGGAAAATCATACAGGACCACACTGTTACTTACACCCTGACCGCTTATCGCAGCCTCTATCTTCTTATTGTACTGGTCAATCTGTCCCTGCTTGCGCTCGATGACGGCGTTCCTCTTGACCATCTCGCCTTCGCTACGATTGATGATCTGGTTCTTCTCATGGATCTCTCCATCGAGCTCCTTGAGGGACTTACGTAGCTGTTCCACCCTGGTGTTGGTGTTGGACAGGTCTAGGGTGTCCTGAGAGATCTCATTCTCAACCTTAGCTTTAGCAGCTTCCTATATTTATAACAAGGAGAAAAAAAGTGTTATTAGCATGAAAATAAAAAAATGAAGAAGAGGAGTTTCATCCTTTAAATCCAACAATTTGAATCAAGTCACATATTATTCTTTATCGAGTGATCATCAGACATATAAGTCTTCAGTCTAAAGATCTGCTATCTATTGTTGTCGCTTAGCTTCACACAAAGCTAATCAAAATTGACTACAACTAGCCACTAAAGCAAGTGCTTCTCAAATGAATCATGCACTGCTTTCTGTGTTTTTCAGTATCGCCGGCACCTTTGATCGAGGAACAAAATAAGTAATTCTTGGATTGGACTATCATCACAACTTTCTAGGCATAACCCACTATCACCTGGCATCAACTACTCTTGACTCAATGACAAATGACAAAAGTCAGTGACAAATCTGCTGATAACCAATCAGAAGCAAGGATTTCAGTAGCTTATAACAAAGACTGTCATTTGTCACTGATGACAAGTTTTGTGAAACGGGTCCCAGGACTGCCAAAGCTAGACTGACCTGATCGGCGATGCTTTTGCGGATGTTACCAGCCATCTTCTTGGCATAGTGGGCAGCCTTGTCCATGGTGAGCTTGTTGCGTAGAGTGTCCATGATAGATTCCTCAAGCCTTAGCTTCTCCTGGTACTCTCTCTCAATCTGCTTCCTCAGGGCAGTCAGCTCGTTGACTCTCAATGTACGGTCCTATAGAGGGAGAAGGAAAGAAATAAAAGATTTTTTTATTGCCCAATCTTTAAAACAATTTATTCAAAATTTAGAGACTTTAGTCATTCAAATTTAGTGAAAGTATATATATATATATATATAGGCACAATTTTCTGTAAGCATGATGTACATATAGATGACAATAAGTTAGTTGATTGGTTGGCTTATTGGTTGATTTATTTGAAGGCTTACTGTGAGTCCCACAGATTTGGTCATGTGAGTAAACTACGAGTGAAAATGTAACAATATACGGAAACTGCAAAGTTGGAGTTCATCAATGGTGATAACTCAGGAATATGTATAACTGCAGTTGCCAGCTCACATATATGTAATAAATTATCAATACTATAAAAGTTGAGGATAAAATGAAGACATTCAACAATACTGTGCAAAGTGAAGATATGTTTACAAATATGTACATTTGACGAGTGACTTGTTATCGATTCTTGAAAAAAAAACAGGATGAAGAATGCACTTACTGTAGTTGCCCTGTTGAGGGCCTGCTCTGTCTCATGCAGCATACGTGAGTAGGTGCTATACTCCTGCTTGATCTTCTCCTGCCGATCCTGGCTGGTTGAGATCTGCTTCCTCAGTGAGTTGATATCAATCTCGTTCTTCTGGAGGAGCAGGGTCAGGGTCTCGTTGTTCTCCTGTTCCTTCATGATGGATTTCTTGTAGCCCTCGATCTCCGTGGCCAGCGACATGATGTGCTGCTTTTGCTGACTGTCAATAATAGCAAGAAAATATAGTTTGATGGTAATGATATTTTGTTTAAAGGCTATCTGCACTATCTGACAGGTGGTTATCTCATCAAATAAGCTCTCAGTTAACATAAGAAGGGAACCATGGGGGACCAATGGTCAACAATCAGGCGTTGTTTGCTTTATAGAGGGTGCAAGTAGCTATACGTAGTGCAGTGGGGCTTCAATATATTTCATTCTTCTGGAGGAACAGGTTTTTTGTTTTTTTTATTCAGTTTTTTCTCATGGATTTATAACCTCACTTTTTCCGGTCTTCACTTCATTGTCCAGTTCATATATTCACCAATACCCTTAGGGGTGTCTTTTGAGGGTAAAAAGGGTTCATTTCTATCATCATTATTGTCATTAAGTTTTCCATTGAAACAGACACATTATTCATTTATTTCTACAAGTATACAGGGTGGCACATATCACCAATTTGGTGGTCTTCCATGAGGGCCTGTTTGGTAAAAATAAAACAAATAACAGCAGCAAAAACAAAATAGATAAATACACAAGCATATAAATAGGTATATTACAAATCGTCATGAAATTTTCAGCCGAGGAGGCAGGTTTCAAACTGAGTCACGTCTTTTGGATGGTGACGTTAAAGGTCAGTCCCCAGACGTAAATAATCATATCTGATTTATACACGTCTGTAAAAACCCAAATACACATACACACACGTCATGAAATGAAAATCATGATGATGATGATGAGCCTACCTGAGAGCCTCCTGCATAGCGGCATGCGCTTCATCCCTGCGTCTCATTCCTATCAGACTGCTGTTCCACTGCTGAAACAACTGCTTCTTCTCAAGGTTGATGGACTGCAAAGGGAAAAACAAAAGCAAGATTACAATTATTTGTATTCCCATTGCCATTCAAACTGAAAGAGTAGCTTTTGAACATTAGAATTAAATATTGAATATGATTCTAAAGAGAACACCATTAGTTTTATATTTTTCATTCTATTTACATGTTAATCTGACTTCAAACAGGCTTACACATGCAGTACCTTATTTTGTGAATCTGCAATGAATTTTTTTTAATTTTTTTTAAAATAATTTTTCTAATATTTTTTTTTTGCTTCAGTTGCTTGCCTTGCACATAGCCTTTTTCCCCACTGAACAAATCAAGTTACATTCATTCATTCACATAAACATTGTGACATCACTAAGGATTGAGGAACACTTCATTATTTATGTCTACAAGGTACATGTAGAACAGCACTTTGCAAAGTCTTATCTGTTTCTTTAAAAAAAATGGTCAATTTGAGCTTTACCAAAAAAAACAAAAAACATTGTATCAGGGTGTAAGCCAACTTGCATGTATGTCCAAGCTAGAGTTATGTAAATCTGACTTGACTCAAAGCTTAGATGAACCAAGGGTATATTAAAGACAGTAAACAGGTCTATCACTCATCTCGGCTCATTGTATGGCTCAAGATAGAACACTCTGGAGTCAGTCATGACTCATAGGACCACCATGATTTAACTCACCTCAATTTCCATCCTTGCATCAGAGAGAGCTTCCTTGGCTGCTTTGGTCTCCTCTCCCTGAGCTGAGCTCTGGGCCTCATAGAGGGCTATCTGTTCCCTTAGTTTATCAACCGTCTCCGTCAGGCGGTCAACATAGAGGTCCTGAAAATATGATCATTTATTGGAATATGAAACTTAATTAAGTGAAATAAGCAAATCATTGAAAGCAGGCAATGATATGCTGAGAACCAAAATTGATTGCACATGGTACAGTATTCAAACTTCCCTGTTTTGCGAGGCCTGACTGACAAATATTGGTTTTAGTACCAGTATACTGAAAGTGTACACATGTTCAGGCAATACTCATATGGATTATTTTCCAAATCTCCTCTGAGCTTGATGTATCTATTTTCTTGCTTGTTGTTAAATAGCTATCAGAGATAGCTCATGGATCAAATATACTACGGCACCGTTTCACAAAACCGTCATGAGGTAAAATTCACAGACACCTTATTGAAACTCCTGTTAATTTTAATACAAGCATTTCTGCAGGAATCTTCAGTATTGAAGGAGGCGGATTAGATTTCTAGAAAAGAAGAAGAAGAAGATGAGAAGTCGGCGAACTTGTAATTTTGACGGTTTCGTGAAAAACTTGCCTGGTCATGACCCAATTTCACATAACTTGTTATCAGTGACAAATGACACTTGTTGTTATTACATGTAGCTATTGAAATTCTTGCTTCTGATTGGTTATCAGCAGATTTGTCATTATTTTTTCATTGAAAAAAGGCTTTGTGAAACAAGTCCCTGGTTATGTCACAATTTGAATCAATTTACCTGTTTTTGCTTATCTTCCTCTGCTGTGGAGACCTCTGTGTCAGCCTTCTCTGCTGCTCTACGCATCACAGCAATGTCTCCTCTGATATCCTCTTTAGCATTGGTCATGTAGTAGAGATGAAGGGCAAGGTTTTCAACTTCAGTCTGGAGCGCAGAGGCTATAAAAGAAGAAAAGGTGCATAGTTTGAACGACTAAAATGTGTTTTCTCAGAATTAGGTCTCAAATCATGAATAAGGTGTTGAAAGTTAATGCTGACATACTTTGAATTAAGAAGAGAAGTATCTCTGCTACATACATGAAGATATTCTTTTTTCCAATTACTTACAAATTTTGTGCACCTCTCAAAGGAAGAAGTCACAAGGCTGTTGTATTTTTTTTTGTATTTTATTGTATTACAACATTCCTTCTTTCTCTCTAAATCTCCATACTTCCTTCCAGTATTAATTTAAAACCTTTTATTTCTTCATATTCCAGTAAGATCAAAACTATCAAGACTGGATACCTCTCTATTTTCCTTCTTTCTTTCTTTTTTTTTTGGGGGGGGTGGGGGAGAGGCAGTGAAGTCTCTTTTATTTCATGTTTCTGTATTTTTTTTTATTTTTTTTTTCTCCTCTTTATTTATTCATTTTCTTCAACTTTTTCATTTTTCTTGTAAAGCTGGTCACCTATACTTTAATTAGCATTTACAGTGTTTCAGCTTTTCCAGGGATTACATATATACACAAACGAGACCCTGAGCTTAATACTCACATTCTTTTCTCTGGGTGTTGACATTCTGCTGTGTCTTCTTATACATGTCCCTGACCTCCCTCAGCTGCTCCTCGCATTGTGCCCTCATCTGTGAGAGCTGTCCCATCTGGTCGTGTCTCTTCTCCAGCAGGGTCTGCTGTCTGGCCAGCTCCTGCTGCATGCCGTAGAGATTGACACCCAGCTCCTCCCTGTCCCCGAGCTTACCCTTGAGGGCCTCCTTCAGCTCCCTCACCTCCAGATCAACCTTCTCCATCTGCTTGGTCAGGTGACCCTTCAGGGCATCTTGGAAGCGTTTCATCAGGGGCTAGGTGTGGGAGAAATCATGACAACGGATTTAAGATCAGACTCCAAAGTCATGGAGAACATGGGTTCTTTAAAGCCCGTCTGTACTAGTTTGGCCAGGAGGGATTAGACCACCCAGCAAGGTCACTGACAGGTGGCTGTCTCATCAACTCAGCTCCCAAATAACATTTAAAAAAAAGAGGATCATGATGGGGGACCAACAGGCACCGCTTAGGCATTGTTTCTATATAGAGTGAGCAAGTAGCTACAAGAAGTACAGTGGGGCTTTAAAATAAGCAGGGTTTTGACACTGCTTGATGTGATGTGAAATCCGAAATATTAATTACCAAAATATATCCAGTTCTCCTGGGTACAATTTGTGTTTTTTAAAGGAAAGTCACGTTTGCTCAAGAGTATTCTAAGCATCTCAATAAGTTTGCTTTTTTTCTTCTTTTTTTCATTTTAGATAAATTAATAGAGTACATGTACTTTGTTTTTCTAATCTTTAAAAATTGATTGTTACTGTAAATGTATCAGTATTATTGGAAGTAAGCTTCTCAATGTCAAATTAGCATGATCCCTAACTCGACACTTGAAGAGCTTCTTCTATGTGCCTAGCATATTGGAGGTTTTGCCAATATCTTTTTATTTTTCTGCTGGTGTATATATATTCATTCATTTAAAGGACACTGCATAGGCAGTGCTTTCTGTGGTTGCTACATCCACATGGCATTTATTCAAATAGAGCATATCATCCTCCATATTCAGAGAACATGTCATGGGGTTGTTTTGCAAAGATCCTAAGTTGAACTTAACTCCAAGTTGGACTTAAAAGTTATGGAGAGCCATTTGTAGCCTTAAAATAAAATATATTCAAAAGCGAAACTTCATGTTTTTAGACTTTTCATTAATTCCACATCAAGAATATGAAATCTCCTTGATAATAGAAAATATGAATGATTTGAATCAACATTTTATACCTTTTAAAATATCTTTTATAAAATATTTTCAAAGATGCTAACGGCTTTCCATAATTTTTAAGTCCATCTTAGAGATAAGTTCAACTTAGGATCTTTGTGAAACACCCCCATGGAGATGTCAAACTTACATGTTCTGGATCCAGGACCACCATCTCACTCTCATCATCCGATGCCTCAGAGTCATCATAATCATCTTCTCCTCCTCTTCCAAACCTTGGTTGGTACTCCTCCTCCTCCTCAGCCTCGTCTTCTTCTTCCATCTCTCCTCCCATCATCTGGGCGGTATCCATGGGAGGGATGCTGGTATAACCCTGGGGAAGGTCATCTGCAAGTCACCACAAACACAAGATATTTCAATTGATCCAAAGGAAGTGTAACTGATTTTACTTCAAATTAAAATAGCCTGATTTTAGAATATATATAATCATCATGAATAGGTTTCAAATTTATGTTTAATCTGATAACAAAAAGACCAAAGCTGTTTAAAAGGTTTAACTCATATCAAGCAAGAAATTTCTGAAAAGGAGCTTCATTCAACCCCCCCCCCCCCCCTCCCCCGCAATAAACTGTGAACATTCTTGCTGGATACAAATTAATTAGGGAGCTGGTGAAATAATCAAGTACTAGAGCTGTGATGCCAATGAGTAAAGTGAACAAAAATTCACATCTACCATGGTGACTCAAAAGTTTCAAATTCTGTACGACAAACAATTGAAATTAAAAAGACAAGAATCGTTTTAGAACAATCCTACAAACCTTGTTCAGGCATTCCTGCATGTTCAGGTTCAAGTTGTGGAGGAGGACCTGTAACTTCTTCCTGAAGAGCTGGGGGCGTGGCTGGGGGCGAAGCAGTGGGTGAAGCTTGGGGTGGAACAGGTGATCTCTTCTCACCAGATGGGGGCCTCTGTGCACCAGACCCTGATCTTCTAGACCCAGATGCCGGTCTCGCACCTGCCGATGGGGGTCTGGCGGCAGATGAGGGCCGGCCAGCAGAAGGTGGTCTCCCACTCCCGGCTGAAGGGGGTCTCCCTGCAGAGGGTGTGCGGGTAGCTGAAGGGGGTCTTTGGCTGGCTGAGGGGGGCCTTTCAGTACCAGAAGGGGTTCTCTGTGATGCAGAAGGGGGACGCTGTGAACCAGAAGAGGGTCTCTGTGTTCCCGATGCAGGCCTTTCTTCAGCCTGAGGGGAAGGTGCAGCCTCCTATAAAGAGATTCAGAAATGTATGAATGATAATTCAAAATATAAATTTAACCCAATCATTCTCATTCTAATAGGTCTTTATACAGGGGTAATATAGGTTTAAAGGTACATCTCTCTCCCTTAAATTTGACTAGAAGACAAAATAAACCACAACTTGTCTAATTGCACATTATGACTTTGTTCATTAATGAAATGGCAAAGACATTTGCTGTATTTTCAGGTACTCTCCACTAAACTCCATTTAAGTTAAGAAAGAAAGCTAAAAGGAAAAATAAACACAGAGCATTTTTTATTCATTTGTAGAAACAGATACACTTTAAATATTTCTTTGACATATTTGGGGGTTTAAATGCCCAAGAGCAACAACAAACCAACCACCAGCATTTACTGAGAGTGGTGTCTTTCCTTTCTCTCTTCTTCAATACACCACATGAGATGTAATTCCTTCTTAGAAGGTGAATAAGAAATTAATATAGGACAAACTTACCTCTACTGCTAGATCCTCCTCACCTGGGGCTGGTTTAGGGAAACAAAAGAAAAGATAACCTTTTAGATCACATACTACTATAACAATCAATACTAAATTTCCTATAAAAAAAAAAAAGGATTTAGGAAGAATGTGGAGATTGTTTACTTTGGTTTCACGTCACATACATGTAAGAGTTAATGATTTTTTATCAAACATATTTTCATAAATTATGTACATGTAGGTTACCTAGTGAAAGAGACATTTAATGTAAAATAACAGTAAGAGATACAAAATATATGAATGTTCAGCTTTAAGCCTAATATCAAGTAATGACAAATTATTCAAAACCACCTAGTAAATATTTATTTTAGTGTCTTGGGAAGCTATGCTACAACCAGGGTAATTATAGTATTTTGTAGGTGTTTTGAGCATCCACATGGAGTGGATATGTGTATAATATAAATGTAACTAATAATCATTCAAGGAATTGTACTCTCCCATCATCAAAATGATTTGTAATTTTTTTTACTAGAAAAAAGTAAAGGTCTGATCTTTTAATCATGAAAATAAGAGTAAAACCTGATGAGTGCTGACATGCAAAGATCAATTCAATTCACTCTGTTTGAAAATAAATTGAAATTTAAGTTTGATACGTACCTTTATTATCATTAAAGACCCTATTCTGTTTACAATTTTAACATTGAGAGCAAATGGTATATATGGATCTTATTTCTCATGATAACTTCAACATGCACACACTGCTCCATCAACTCACCAGGTTCCCCTTGTGCTTCATCAGCCGGTAGTTCGTCCATGTTGCCAGCTTCCATTTGCTCTTTACTTGAAGGTCTGTCAAAATGTAATGGCAAATTGGCAACACAGTTAATCAAAAACTACAGGTAGATCTATAATCTTACATTGCATGGATCTGCAGAATACATGAAGGGCATATGAAACAAACCCATCAAAGTCAATTTTTCATCAATATGTGGGGCTGTAAAAATAAAATAAAAATAAAAGAAATTGAGATTTGTTTTCAAATGACACAATTAATTCTGACGGCTTTCAGACTGAGCTAACATTAAGCAGAAAATTCGGCAGGGAAAACTGCCTTGTTCATATTCATGTTATTATTGGTGTTGTTTTGCAAGCTAAAAAAATCTAGAATCTAATAGTCTAGACCCTAAAAATATAAAATAGACTCTAGGCTAGATCTAGAAGGTCTATCTCCAATACGGGAGAAAGTCTAGCAATACATGTATGTCTCCAAAGTCTAAAAATAATTTTGCAGTGCACCATGTCATTAGGCATGATGTGCTTTTCGACTTCGTGTCTACGGTAGGCCTACATGTAGGCCTACTTCACCTTCAGCCTTACTTTTTTGTTAATTGTGTTAAAGTAAATTCTACTCACCAGAGTCGTCATAGTGTCATGAAAGTGACATGATTAAAATATCGAGATGTGACTGCGAGACAATTTTCCTGAATAGGGTCTAGACTCTAGAATAGATCTAACTGAATCGGTCATAATCATAGATCTAGTCTAAATATGAATCTTCTACTAACTAGACCTCCTAGATCTAGATCTATTCATAGACTATTTGGTATCAATTAAAATTTTGAAGAAAAAATGTGCTACAGAGAGATTTAGTGTCTAGAGGTCTACTCGATACTCTACTCTAGACTCTAGTCAGTTTTCTCATCAACTGCAGTAGACCGAATTTTTCTGTCTCTTTCGTTCGTTAGCCTCTGATTTGGGTAGGTCGGCTCTCTCTTTAGAGACAGAACAGCCCCATACGCTGTAGTGGCCGCGCGTTTGTACTAAGAAACGTTACACAAAACTTGGCCAAACTTAATCCCTAATTTTGATATTTTACCGGATGCGTATCCGATGCATTTAAAGTCCTAAATTAGCTAAATACTTAACTACTTCGGTTCCACTTACCAACTTGACTGGAATAATCCGTTTAATGGTCCATTTTTAGGAAATTATGGGTCAAGATCGACATCCATGAAGAAAATCTTGCAGCCGAGTCTCATTCTTTCTAGTCTACGCCGAAGGCAAAATGATTATAACGGAAAAACTGTGCATGTCATTACGAACTCGTAGCTCGTGCACAGTTTTTCCGTTATAATCATTTTGCCTTCGGCGTAGACTAGAAAGAATGAGACTCGGCTGCAAGATTTTCTTCATGGATGTCGATCTTGACCCATAATTTCCTAAAAATGGACCATTAAACGGATTATTCCAGTCAAGTTGGTAAGTGGAACCGAAGTAGTTAAGTATTTAGCTAATTTAGGACTTTAAATGCATCGGATAGGGTCTACGCATCCGGTAAAATATCAAAATTAGGGATTAAGTTTGGCCAAGTTTTGTGCAACTGAGGCCAAGGGCAAATTTCCGTGTAGCCAGGCTATACCTTCAGAAATATGTGCAGAAGGAGAGGGAAAGTGCAGATGATTATATCTCGCGCCTGAAGCTGCAGGCATATGACTGTGAATTTCGTGATGACACTGAGCTCCAAGAACGCATCATTGAGCAGTTCATCACAGGCACTAGATATCCTGAGCTCCAGAAAGATCTTCTAGGGAAGAACAAGTCCCTCACTCTTACACAGATGCTTGAGCTGAGTAGAACATTTGAAGCATCGCAGATGCACATGGCTCAACTAGCGCAAGTACAGACACATATTCAGCCTGCATCGATTGATGTAGTTCGTCGGAAGACTAACACTAGTAACAAGTGTCCTAATTGTGGTGGTAATCATGCTCGCAGTCCACGGGAAGCATGTCCGGCTTATGGCACCAAGTGTAACAGCTGTGGAAAGTTGAATCACTGGAGGAGTGTTTGTCGGTCTCCAGCTCCAAGTACACAGCGGTCTGGGAGATCTCCAGCTTCAAGTACCCAGAAGTGGAAGCAGAACGCTAAATACGCTACGCCACATCGTGGAGGCAAGCAGGTGCAATCCATCCACAGCACCAGCAATATTGAGGCAGCAGCAGCGGTCCCACTACTGAATGACGCAGTGGATGTCCTGTCATTCAATCGAATTATTGTGTCAGGTATCAGTGCTGTAGAGGTGGATGACAGGGACGACCTAACAATAGCGTATGTGGAAGTCAGACGGGATGAGAGAACCATAATGAAACTGCGTTCGAAGGTTGACTCCGGTGCGGAGGGCAACACACTTCCTCTTCGGATGTTTCGTGGGATTTATCCTGGCCATCTCACTAAGGATGGAGTTCCTCACCCTCAATCAGTGCATAATTCAAGTGCACGGTTGTTCGCTTACAACGAAACACCAGTGATGCACCTCGGTTCGGTTCGGCTGCCCTGTCGTTTCAACAACTCAACTTGGCTTTATGCTACATTCTACATCGTTGAGTCCAGGGGTCCAGCGATCATAGGATGTGACACAGGATTGGAGCTGAAGCTGCTTACTCTACACACACGCATCAACGAGATCAAGCATTCAGCACAGATAAGCTCTACTGATGACCTAGTAAGGCAGTATCCAGACCAGTTTGACAAAATTGGCAACTTCCCAGGAGAATATCGTATTGTTCTTGATCCAGACGTTCAGCCTGTTGTCCATGCTCCTAGACGGTGCCCAATCCACCTACGAGATGAACTGAAGCTCGAGTTTGATGACATGGAAGCTAATGGCGTGATCACTAAAGTCATTGAGCCTTCAGCATGGGTCAGCAGCATCGCCGTTTCAAGGAAGTCGAATGGCAAACTCCGGGTCTGCTTGGATCCCAAGGATCTCAACCGAGCTATTCGACGTTGCCATTATCGCACTATCACGACAGATGAGGTGATACACAAGCTATCAGGTGCTCGACACTTCAGCAAACTCGATGCCAAGAACGGTTATTGGTCTATCAAGCTCGACCATGACAGTTCACTTCTGACTACCTTCAACAGTCCCTTTGGACGGTACAGATATCTCAGGATGCCTTTTGGTCTAGCAATGTCTCAGGATGTATTCCAGCAGCGAATGGACGAAATCCTCGAAGGTTGCCCCGGCACAATAGGGATCGCTGACGATATTGTTGTGTTCGGCAAGAGTGAAGCAGAGCACGATCGGAATCTGCACCACCTCATGTCCAAAGCTGTGAAGTACGGTCTGCAGTTCAACAGTGGCAAGTGCAGCATCAAGGTCAACCAGATTTCCTTCTTCGGTATGATCTACGATGCAGATGGCGTCCATCCGGATCCTCACAAGGTCGAGGCAATCAAGTCAATGTCTCCACCTGAGAACAAGAGCCAGCTTCGTGAGTTCCTTGGTATGATAACCTACCTTAGCCCCTTCATACCAAATCTTTCAGCCCAGACTGCAAGCCTACGTGGTCTTTTGAAGCAGGACGCTGAATTCCAATGGACTCCAACGCACCAGTCTGCCTTCAATGATTTACGTGACAAGGTATGTCACGATGCAACTCGGGCGTATTTTGATGTTAACAAACCTACGGTACTGCAGGTAGATGCTTCTCTGCAGGGCTTGGGAGCGACTCTACTGCAGGATGGAAAGGGTATCGCATTTGCATCAAAGGCCCTCAGTGATGCAGAGACGAGGTACGCTAACATAGAGCGAGAGCTGCTAGCAGTGGTCTTCGGCTGTGAACGATTCCACATCTTCCTGTACGGGAAAAGTTTCATAGTTGAGACGGACCACAAGCCCCTGGAGATGATCCAGCATAAGCACCTGGCAGCGGCCCCACCTAGACTCCAGCGTATGCTCCTTCGTCTACAGCCATACAAGCTGACAATTGTCTACAAGCCTGGTAAGGATGTACCAGTAGCTGACTGCCTATCCAGACGTCCTCTTGGTCCTCCAGAACACATCCACCTTGACCTGCAAATCAACTTTGTACAGTTTGCTCTAGACCGTTTGAGTCAGTTGAAGGAGGAAACAGCCAAGAATGCAGAGTTTGCAGCACTACAGACGGTGATTGTGAAAGGGTGGCCAGAGAAGAGACGTGAGCTACCACGGCAGCTGCAGAGATACTGGGCCTTTCGAGATCAACTTGCAGTTGAGGATGGACTGATCCTGAATGGTGAACGAATCCTTATTCCACACTCCATGAGGGAGTACATACTGAGCAAGCTTCATGAAGGTCATCAAGGTATCGAGAAGACACGACTTCGGGCTAAGGCTTCTGTGTACTGGGAATCAATCAATGACGATATCGAGGTCCTGGTGAAAGGCTGCTCAGTCTGCCAAGAGTACAAGCCCTCGCAGCCCCATGAGACTCTTCTCCAGCACGAGATACCCACACGATCCTGGCAAGTCTTAGGTACAGACTTATTTCACTTTGAAGGGAACCATTATCTCATCATTGCAGATTACTTCTCAAAGTTTCCTTTCATCCGGAAAATGCCTCAAGAGTGTACCAGTGCTGCAGTAGTCAATGCGACCCGTCAGGTGTTCGCAGAACAAGGAGTTCCAGAAAGACTCGTTAGCGACAACGGAAGACATTTTGACTCCTCAACATACAGAGACTTTGCTACACAGTGGGGATTCAGCCATGTTACATCCTCTCCCCACTACCCCAGGTCAAATGGCTTCATTGAGCGAATGATTCAAACTGTCAAGAATACGCTCAAGAAAGCTAAAGTGAGTGGTATCGACCCCAACATGGCTCTACTATGTATCCGTGCCACTCCAATTGACAGCCGCATTCCAAGCCCAGCTGAGCTTCTTTACGGGAGGAAGATGAAGGACAACTTACCAACTCGAATCCGCAACAACTCCCCTGGTCGTGATGATGTTAACCATCGTATGCAGCTTCGACAGCAGAGCCAGAAGTATCATCACGACAAATCAGCCCATGACCTAGCACCACTCTCACCTGGGCAGCTTGTGAGAGTCCAAGACCAGACATCACGTCACTGGATAACAGCTACTGTTCGTGAGCAATGCCATGAGCCTAGGTCATATCTCGTCGAGACGCCTAATGGAAGGGTGCTACGCAGAAACCGGCAACACCTCGCTGATATTGAGCCCAGGCGTATCCATCATGATGAGGAGGTAACCAAGACACCCGATCCTCATACACGCGAAGAGATGACGCTTGATCCAACGCCCGATATCAGAGGTTCTCCTGCCCCAACCCCTGCCCCAAACCCTGCCCCAAACCCGGTCCCAATCCCCAACCACCAGCAGACCACCCGCAGTGGCCGGGTAATCAAGAAGCCAGAAAAATTGACTTATTGATAGGACTTAATCTTTGGATACTTCAAGTTTGGACTTTATGGACTCAGTTTATTTTTCTGTAAGGGGGATGTAATATGTGATCTTATACATTGACTCAATGCTACATGCTATACACACATACACACAGTTAATGTACACTGTGGTGTATGGGCTCTTCTATACACAATATAACCAGTCATGCTGGATTGCAACTTCACTCTGATGTTTCTCTATGTGTCTTCATTTGAGTACTAACCATACAGCTAAACAACCCCACATTATAGTTTCTTAGTACAAACGCGCGGCCACTACAGCGTATGGGGCTGTTCTGTCTCTAAAGAGAGAGCCGACCTACCCAAATCAGAGGCTAACGAACGAAAGAGACAGAAAAATTCGGTCTACAACTGCAGAGGTGGGCAGGAGGCGGAGGCCAGGCAAAGCACAGGCCCAGCCGCGGCGGGGCGTGTAGTCGCCAGCGCCTCCGCTAATGATCTAATCATTCAATGATTCACCCCAACCTCGCATTTCGTGACGGATCAACAACAAAATTCAGGTTTACATCACACATCTTGATTATGAAAATGCACAAAAGTGGGAGGAGTAAATACTAACGATAATTTGTTTATCATTTAAATACAAAATATCACATTCTCAATAGATAGAAACATAAATATTAAGGCTCAATGCTCACCTTTCTTCTGCCATTCCGATTGAATTGTGTTGCTATGCGAAAGATAAACTTCGCGTGTAGTCTTTTGCACCAGCAGTTTCATAGATTAAAATATACGACGATACTACTATGGAGCCTACCGCGGCGCCTAGCTGAAAGTTGTCTAATTTCCTCCTCCTTTGGAGAGCTTATCCTCGGCTTATCCTCCAACTCCAAGGGCATCGCTATGAGAAGGGGGGGGGGGGATAAGGGGGTGAAGGGTTAGGGTCTGGTGCAAGCGCTTACGCAGGGGGCGGGGGGGGGAGGGTATGGGGGGGTTAAACCCCCTCATTTTTTTTTTGAAAAAAAGATGAATACTATTCCTTACCCCCCCCCCCCCTCTCGACGATTTTTATTTTTCGTAAAGATAAGTCGCCCTCCCCATTAAATCTTTACATCGAGCGTGTTTTATTCATTTTACATTATTATAATTATACTAGCAACCGATGGGATGGGGGGGGGGGGGTTCTGGCCCAGCCAGGCATATAGGCGCTGGTCGGGAGCTTGCCTCCAGGGGCGGATCCCGCCGGCGGCAGGCGAGGGGACGAAGAGGGGGCCCAATTTGTGAGAAAGTAGCCAGCCGGTGAATAAGCGGGGGGTTATATAGGAGCAATATTTTTTTTTTTTGCCCTCGAAAATTTGCAAATTCCCCCCGTGCCCCCCTGAGCACCAGGGGAGGGGGCCCGTCTCCAAATAAAGGTCAAATTAACGTGTTTTTACCTGCTTATCCCAGGGGAGGGGCCGACCCCCCCCCCTCCCGTACCCTCTCCCTGAATCTGCCACTGGCTTGTTTTATATTATTAACAGAAAATTATTGTTCACCTATAAAATGTACTCATAAGAATGTTACATTTCTAATCTTTAGCAAGTGTCTCATTTGAATAAAATACTTTGGACAAAAATATAGTGACCTGTCAGCGTTGTAACATATTCGGTCAGACACAAGTGATACTTTTAGGTCATGTGTGTAGCATGCTTTATTATATGTATGGAATGCCAAGTGTTACAATCCTTGGCTATGAGATGCCAATACATAACATCTCCCTTTTCCTGTTTCAATGAAAGGTTAATTGGCACATAAATAACTGCATAAGAATAATACTTTGTTTTCAACTGAGTTCGTACTGAGTCCAATTTATGAGTTCTCATTTGGCGTAGTCATTCACGCTTTGTAGTGTTTGGTAGACTTTTGAGTTGAGTGCATGCTTTGTAAGATCTAAATCTTTAACTCAAACTAGTATCCTGCTTTAAAGAGAGTCTACACTATCAACGCTATTATGCTCTCTAAAGGGGAGAGGTTGCAAGCACTTCACCCTTACCCTGAATCTTTACCATTCAGGCCCTTACTGACGCGGTTCTTCCTTGTTGTTGTGGTTTATTTATTAACGCTTATTCCTTCGTGGAGCTAAGAGGGGAGAGGTTACTAGCACTTCACCCTTGCTCTGAATCTTTACCATTCAGGTTCTTAACGATGTGTCTCCAATCCTATTGATCCTCAAGGTTGTCAAAAGTGGTATTTTGCATCGTATCACAATATCGCTTGTTAAACCGCTTCATCTATTCTATCTCTTGACGAGCTATAAACTAAATCTGTGCTACTCTAAACTAACAGCTTAATTATAGACGCTTCTATATCGCTAATCCATGATCAATCGCTTTGGGGGTAGGCTAACGCGTCCACTTCTTGTTTGGTAGTGGTGCTGCGAGCTGGTCTTCTTGTGAGCGTGGTCAGCCTCTGTTTGATCTGGTGCATGGATAGATGCATTGGGTACAGGTGTCTGTGGATTTGTCTGCTTGGTCTGCTCGACGAGAGGATCGGGCTGACTGGCAGCGGGCAATGTAGACGATTGCAGGGCCGGTATCACCAGGTGTGGAGCTACACCTTTGTCAGCAGGCTGGTTGTGCGGCTTGTTAGCAGACTCGGTCGTCTTCCTCAGATCTCTGCGGTTTCTCCTGTACAGCTTTCCACTGCACTCAACCAAATAAGACTTTGGTGTGTCATGCTTCTTGATGACTGTCGCTGGAAGCCATTTGCGAGTGCCTGGCAGTGGCACCATCCTTACAGGATCTCCGGGATGTAATGGAGTGAGAACCTTTCCTGCTCTGGAGTTGTAATACCTTTCGGCCTCTGCAGTCTTGCTGTCCAAGCTGTCTTTCACTGCCTTCATGTTGACCTCTTTGGGTTTCAGCAGTTGTTTGCTTGTGGGGAGGAGATTGCGAGGTCTCCTACCCATCAGAAGTTGTGCTGGTGACAGGTCACAGCTGGCTAATGGAGTTGTTCTGTAGTCCAGGAGTGCCAGCTGCCTGTCGGCACACTTTCTCCACATTCTCTTAACCGTCTGTACCGCTCGTTCTGCCTCACCATTCGCTTGAGGGTATCGGGGTGATGATGTCACATGTTCTATACCGTAGCTGGTACAGAATTCTCTGAATTCTTGTGAGCTAAACTGTGGACCATTGTCGCTCCTCACTTTCAGGGGAATCCCATGCCTAGCGAACTGTTTCTTCAGGCGGTCGATAACGGCAGCACTGCTGGTTGACGCCATCTTGTCGACCTCTATGAACTTTGAAAAGTAGTCCACTACCAGAAGATATGCACTGCCTTCCCACTCGAACAGGTCTGAACCAACTTCGGCCCATGGTAAGTCTGGCAGCTTTGTTGGCTTTAGAGGCTCTGCCGGTTGTTTGTTCTGATAGGAGTTGCACTCTGCACAATCTTGTACTAGCCTCTCTATATGTTGACTCATACTTGGCCAGTACAGTGCCTCCCGTGCTCTCTTCTTGCACTTGACGATCCCGAGGTGAGAACCATGAATCTGTGCTAGCATACTATTTCTCATGCTAGGCGGTACCACAATTCTCATCCCTTTGTAGATGACACCATCAGTGACTGCTAGCTCATCTCTGATGCTCCAGTACTCTCTGATCGAGTGTGGTGTCTCCATCCTGGTGTCGGGCCATCCTTTCATGATTATAGCGTGAAGTTCGTTGAGCTCATTTGCAGTACACTTCTGGAACTCTGCATATCTGTCTGGTGCTACTGCAATATGATCAATGATATTGACCAAGAGGGCTGGTGCATCTGGCTCAGTCTCAGGAAGATTTGCCCTACTCAGAGTGTCTCCCAATACTAGGTCTTTTCCAGGTACATAGTGGACATCTAGGTCATAGGCATACAATCTCAGCAACATTGACTGCAGCCTCATCGGAGCTGACAGGAGAGGCTTGTTGAAGATCGACTGTAGAGGCTTATGATCGGACTGCACTGTGATGCTTCTCCCGAATATGTATGGGTGGAATTTCTTACAGCTGTGCAGTATCGCGAGCATTTCCTTCTCGATCTGGGCATACCGCATCTCTGTTGGTGTCATTGCTCTGGACGTGTAGGCTATCGGCTGTCCCTCTTGCAGAAGGACACCTCCTACTGCATAGCTGCTGGCATCGCATTGGATAGTGAGGTCTTTCTTACCATCATAGAAGGCCAAGACTGGTGTTGAGGTACAGTGCCTCTTCAGTTCATTGAAGCTCTGTTCTTCTCTTGGCCCCCAGTGAAAGGCGACGTCTTTCCTTGTCAGCTGTCTCAGAGGCTCGTCCACTTCACTCAATTTGTCAATGAACTTTGACAAGTACTGAAGAAATCCCAGGAACCTCCTGACTTCTTCCTTGCTTTCTGGTCTCGGCATCTCAGCAACAGCTTTGACCTTGTCTGGGTCAGGAGCGAGACCATTTTCAGTTACTAGGTGTCCCACATACTTCACTCGAGACTGGCGAATGTGACATTTGGTGAAGTTGAGCTTCAGGTTGCATTCAGTTGCTTTTGCTACAACCTTCTCTAGGATCTCATCATGAGACTTCAGATCCTTCCCAGCAATGAGGATATCGTCCATAACTGCTCTGGCTCCTTCTATGTCACTTAGCATTTCATCCATTATGCGTTGGAACAGCTCTGGAGCACTCTTGATGCCAAAGGGTAGGCGGAGCCATCGGTATCTGCCAACTGGAGTGTTGAATGTTGTCAGCAGACTTGACTCATAGTCGATTTTGATCTGTAGAAATCCTGACTTTGCGTCGAGGACGGAGAATACCTTTGCTCCTTCCGGCATGTCTGCTACAACCTCTTCTACAGTGGGAATTCTGTAGTGCTCCCTTCTGATGGCACGATTGAGGTCCTTAGGATCTAGACAGATCCTCACCTTTTCTCCTTTGACCACCGTGACCATTGAGTTCACCCAGTCTGTGGGTTCTGTAACCTTTGTGAGGTGTCCATCTGTCTCCATTTCCTTCAACTTGGCCACTATTTTCTCTGCCAGTGCCTTGGGCTGTCTCCTTGGGGCATGAATGACAGGCTTCACAGTGGGATCAATCTTCAATGTATACGTTCCCGGGAGACATCCTGTCAAACTCAGTAACTCTGGATATTCTTCGATGCTGTGAAGTCGTCTAATTAGCTTGAGCATTTTGCTTGCTTCACCTGAGAGAAGAACTGGCTTGGATGCTGCATCTACTACATAATATTTTACCTCAATGCATGCATCTTTGTAGCGTGTTGGGAGAACTGCTGATCCTATCACTCTCAATTCATGTTCAGTGTATGAAGCAAACTTGGTGCGGGTCTCTTCAAGCTTCTCACTGCACTGTAATGTGTTGAAGACTTGGATTGGCATTATGGATTGTGCAGCTCCGGTGTCGATTTGACCTTCAACTTCTTTACCTTGGATGTTGACAGTTTCATACCATTCATCCTTGGCCTTGCCGCCACCTACTTGGTGTACTGCTCCAATCTCATATGCGAAATCGTCTGATCCAGACTCGTCACTCTCCTGAGCGCTTTCACGCTGCTCCACTCTGTAAGCGCTTTGTTTCCTCTGGCACACTGCAGCAAAGTGGTTTTTTCTTTTGCAGACATTGCAGGTCTGGCCCATGGCCGGACATTTCTCATGGTCCGTGCTGTAGCCACACCTGGTGCATTTTTCCTTCTTGTGTGCGTAGTTATCCTGGCGATAGCCTTTGTTGGGACCAGCTTTCCTTCTCTGCAGCTGCCCTCTGGCCTGCCTTGAGATTGCGTTAACTTCTCCCAGCTGTATCATCTTTATGGAGTCTTGAGATAGCTCATGGTTCTGCCCAACATGAATTGCCTTTTGAAGTGTTAGGGAATCTCCTTCGTCAAGGCATTTCTCTCTAACACTCGGGTGTAGCGAACGCAGGACTATTGCATCCCGCAACATTCTATCTTCCTCTTGATAATCACAGTCCTTTATGAGGATCTTCAGGTCAGTGACAAAATTGTCAAATTTCTCACCTTCTTCCTGTTTCCTTCTATTGAAGTTAACCGTGGCCCGGATTTGGTTTCGTTTCGGCTTCACATACTCTTCATATTTGCCATAAACCCCTTTCAAAGTTTCATCTTCTGCAGGAATCCGTTGCCCGTTTGCACCTTCTCCACTGGGCTGCCAATCAAATATCTGGTAAATTTCTCTGCCTTTGTCCCCGATGTAAGTCATGAGATAGTTGACCTTTTCTACCTCTGATTTCCCTGCAAGAGGACCTTTGAATGTAAACTCGCAGTGCTGTTTGAATCTGCGCCACTCTTTCAACAAATCAAGTGCTGACCAGTTCATGGAGGGCTTGTCATTCGAAGCCATCTTGTAGCTGTCCTCTCCCTATGCAACTGTGTCAAACTCGGGCTCACACACACTACTCTCACTTCCAATATTCAATGTGTATACAGCGACAGTCAACTCTGTGTGTACTTACACCTGTGTGTGTATGAGTGTGTGTAGCTTGTTGCCTGCAGTGCTGTGGGCTAGCTCCTCAGCATGAGTCACAAACAATGCAGATTGCAGTAAAAGTTTCACTATTTATCACTGTTCACAGTTGATTTCTTGTCCCTTTCCTGACTGTGTGGAATCACAAATGTATCAGTATTCTCCTGTAGAACATCTTTTCCATCATAACGTCGGCTTATGGGTCGAAATCCGTACTACCATGTAACATATTCGGTCAGACACAAGTGATACTTTTAGGTCATGTGTGTAGCATGCTTTATTATATGTATGGAATGCCAAGTGTTACAATCCTTGGCTATGAGATGCCAATACATAACAAGCGTCACAAATAAGATATCAAAATATGCTTATCTGACAGTAATTAAATGCCTAAAACCAAGAGATGGCAAGCCCGGGTACAGTTGTTTAGGGTGCACAGTGCCCCCACACTTTGTAAGGTACTCCTAAAGTGCCCCTTTCTACATAGGAAAAGTGCCCCCTTTTACTTCAGATAAGTGCCCAGTAATTCGAGTCTGAGAGATGCTCATTTTACTGTGCCCTTTTCTTTTGTAATAAGTGCCAATTCCCACCTCAGATAAGTGCCCCTTTTTATTTTGACACGTGCCCTCTTTTCTTTCTAATAAGTGCCCTTTTTCCTTCTAATAAATGCCCCTTTTCTTGTTTGATAAGAGCCACTTATGACACCTTTGATAGATACCTCGATTAAAATTTCCTTCGAAAAGTGCCTATTTTCTTTGTATTAAGTTCCCCTTTTAATTCTTACAAGTGCCCCTGTTTATCTTTAGTAAGTGCCCCTTCACCTTTTATAATTACCTCCTTTCAAATCTGAGAGAGTGTCCCGCTTATAATTGTACGATCGAGTGCCTCTTTACCTTTGTATGCCCTCTTTTCATTATTATAATTGCGGCCCTTTTTTTTAATCTCCGATGAGTGCCCTTATTCAAATTTGAGAGAGCTAGGTGCCCCCTTTAAATCTGTAATAATTGCCCTTTTTTCTTTGTTATAAGAGGCTTTTCTGCTAATTAATTGTCATGCATATAAGTGCCCTTTTCATCTCTGGTGAGTGCCCCTTTTTAAATGCAAGGAGTGCCCCATTTTCACCTCTGGTATTCCACTTTGTACTTTGACATGTGCTCTTTTTTTTTCTCCGAATAAGTGTCATTTTCCTTTGGCTATGTGCGGTTTTTGTGCCCCCTTTTCCTTTCCCCAAAATGAGCTCTTTATTTAAAGCGATGTAGGCATGTAGCCCCTGATTTATTTATTAATTATTTACGCTCGCTACGCTCTACTTGATCGTAAATACTTTACCCCCCCCCCCTCCCTTCCCTCTCTCTCTCTCTCTCTCATTTTGAAAAACGTTCCGTCGGGCCTTAAATGGGCGCCCATTGCTTTGTTTCTCTTCAAAATTCTCGTTTGTTGTTGCGTTTGCTCCGGCGTTTGCTGATAAGATTTTGGTTGACGGGGATAATCCCAATCCCTGCGCTGCGCATAAAAGCGGAACAATTTTGCTAGATCATTCAAACGGCTGGGTATGCGTCTGTTGTGAAATTTTGCGGAAATAGGTAAGAATTTTGTTTTGTTATTATTGTGTCAGTATTTAGAACTTAAGTGCCGTTTACCTGAAACTATGTCGAAATTTTAAAAAGTATACAATACCCTGTTAAATATTTTCTTGTTCTTCTTTCAACAAACTCTCCATATGCTCACAAATCATACAAAATATGTTGAAAGTGTTTTCTTGTGCCAGCTAGTCCCATTAATTTTAATCTGTGTAATGTATCGTAGCTTTTGACGTTTGTTTTGTGACTTGTGCATTTGTGTAGACTGTTGTGTGTGTGTGTGCGCGCGTGTTGTAATTGTGTCTAACTTCTGTTGGAAAAAAAAATGGACTAAATTACAAATCATAATGTACATTCTTTTCACCATTCCGTCACAAGTCATATAGACTAGGTCTAGGCCCAGACCTTTAGATTCTAGTGTATTTTCTACATTTTTTTTCTCCAATTTTAATTTTGATAAGAATAGATCTAGACCTCTAGATCTAGACCTATTTTGAATTGGTGTTTTATTGTATGCACGACAAGACAGTCATAACTTTCCCCATAGGAAAGTGAAAAGTATGCCGCAGACCTGCCGCAGACCTGCCGCAGATCTGCCGCAGACCTGCCGCAGACTTTTAGTCTGCGGCAAAGAGTATGCCCAAGTATGCGACAGAAAGAAATTTTGCTGCAGACTTGCCGCATACCAGTATGCCACAGGAACAGTCTACGGCAGATCTGCGGCAGGATGAAATTTTGCTGCAGACTTGCCGCATACTAGTATGCCACAGGAACAGTCTGCGGCAGATCTGCGGCAGATCTGCGGCAGGATGAAATTTTGCTGCAGGCTTGCCGCATACTAGTATGCCACAGGAACAGTCTGCGGCAGATCTGCGGCAGGATGAAACTTTGCTCCAGATTTGCCGCATACTAGTATGCCACAGGAACAGTCTGCGGCAGATCTGCGGCAGGATGAAATTTTGCTGCAGACTTGCTGCATACGAGTATGCCACAGGAACAGTCTGCGGCAGATCTGCAGCAGGATGAAACTTTGCTCCAGATTTGCCGCATACTAGTATGCCACAGGAACAGTCTGCGGCAGATCTGCGGCAGGATGAAATTTTGCTGCAGACTTGCTGCATACGAGTATGCCACAGGAACAGTCTGCGGCAGATCTGCAGCAGGATGAAACTTTGCTCCAGATTTGCCGCATACTAGTATGCCACAGGAACAGTCTGCGGCAGATCTGCGGCAGGATGAAATTTTGCTGCAGACTTGCCGCATACGAGTATGCCACAGGAACAGTCTGCGGCAGATCTGCGGCAGGATGAAACTTTGCTCCAGACTTGCCGCATACTAGTATGCCACAGGAACAGTCTGCGGCAGATCTGCGGCAGGGCGAAACTTTGCTCCAGACTTGCCGCATACCAGTATGCCACGTAGGAACAGTCTGCGGCAGGTCTGCCACAGGAAATCCCATTAAAGTCTAATAGGGCCAATTGAAACCAATCATCTCATGCATATTCATTATTACTTTACACGTGTGACAGAAAAATACATTTATCATGATTTGTTAAGCAAATTAAGACAATGCACATCATTTTTGTGATTTCTATTTTCCTTTTGCCATTATTAACTAATAGATTATTTTGTCTGATCATGTTACAATTACATTCACGTTTAAGCAATAGATATATTGATTACTAACCAAGAAACTATGATTACTAACCAAGAAACAATATACATATTTAGTATATATATGTGTACGAGCCTATGTCACTTTAAATGTTTCTCTTGAATACACTTCAAATGATCAATGTGATGAAGTTAATACAATTGAGAATAGAATATACCTAATTGGTAATATATATATATATATATATATATTGGTATTACCTAATTGGTAATATCGATATTGCCAATATCGATTATGAAGTATCAATCAGTTTATCACTGGTTCTTCTACATGCATACTTTATTGCCACGTACTGGATATGAAAGAGTATGCGGCAGGTCTGCAGCAGGTCTATATGAGATATGAATATTCATGACGAAGAGTCTGCGGCAGGTCTGCAGCAAGTCTGCGGCAGACCTGCCGCAGATTCTTCATCATACTGAAAGTATGCGGCAAGTCTGCCGCAGACTTGCTGCAGACTTGCCGCATACTGAAAGAGTATGCGGCAGGTCTGCAGCAAGTCTGCGGCAGACCTGCCGCAGACTCTTCATCATACTGAAAGAGTATAAGCAAGAGTATGCGGCAGGTCTGCAGCAAGTCTGCGGCAGACCTGCCGCAGACTCTTCATCATACTGAAAGAGTATGCGGCAAGTCTGCAGCAAGTCTGCGGCAGACCTGCCGCAGACTCTTCATCATACTGAAAGAGTATGCGGCAAGTGTGCGGCAGACCTGCCGCAGACTCTTCATCATACTGAAAGAGTATGCGGCAGGTCTGCAGCAAGTCTGCGGCAGACCTGCCGCAGACTCTTCATCATACTGAAAGAGTATGCGGCAAGTCTGCAGCAAGTCTGCGGCAAAACTAATTTGCATGTGAAAAAGATGACTGTCTGCGGCAGGTCTGCCGCAGATCTGCGGCAAGTCTGCCGCAGGAGTATGCGGCAGACTCATTTCTTTCCTATATATCTCCACCAACTAAAGAGATGTCTCTGATCTTCCTAAACCGTTTCATGAAGACTGAAGAGCTTACTAACTAGACATCTCATGAAATATGTCGATCGAAAATTGACATTTCTGGCACTTTTGTGAGCATAATCCAGACTAGTCAATTCAATAAAAAGAGAAGAAAACAAAAAGTAAAGTTAAATTTTAACTACTTCAGTGCATAACCAGGATAACATTTGTTTGCATACTAGAAACTGTACTAAACTCATTTTCAACATAATCATGATAATTGCGAGGAATAAGCTTACAGGTATTCAGTGTATGAGTAGAAATGAATAGCAGGTGTACAGTTCAGTATAGATAATACAAATTAAGTTAATTAGTTGACATGATTAAACAAGCTGAAATGTTGGGAATAGAATCATTTTAAACTGACATTTGAATTGTGAAAAGGCGGTCTCATTTCAGAGGGGAGAAAGAAGTATGTTCAACAGACAACAGATTTATTTTTATTTTGTTATCAATGCATTGTCATTGAGTTTGACAAGTTAATCTCAGTAGCTGATGACTTGAAAACAGCATTCTGGACTGTGTGACAGTCACTTATTGTCTGATAGATCTACTTTTTGCACGCTTGTCTTTTCATTACTATAAAAATCTGTCATTTTTTGTTAGTCATAGATCATGAGTTTGAAGTTTTTCCAACTTTTCTATGAATAATTCAGGAAATTCATAGTTCAAAGATTTTGTTTTGCCTAAATGAGCTAATAAAATTGATTCTCTAGCATGTCACTTAGTCATAAAAGTTGAGCTTTATTGGAAATAATATATGCCATGATGAAACTCACTTCTAATGACTTGGTTTTGTTCAAAGGGTGCTTGCTTTCCTACAGTGCGCCCCCCCCCCCCATTAGTTGGCATAATTTCATTTATTTTTGTTTATTTGTTTTATTTGCTTGTTGATTGAGCTCAGTCAAGTAGTTAAGAACAAGGCTGACTGTCGCTCATTGTCTAATTTGCCATTTTCATTTTTTGATAATTGATAACAATGAACAATTATTATTTTGTGTAAAATGAGGTGAATGGGAACTTTTGAATTGAACTGAAAAACTGATGTTATCAACATTTTATCACGGGCATTGACCAAATTGCTGAATCTTTTGCAACGTGAAAAAAACAAAAACAAACAAAAAACACTAAGGAATAAAAGAATTTTGGGGTAAATGAGAACTATATATATTGAAAAAATGTTTTTGACACATAATATTTATTTCCAGGAACAAAGACCCCTTTCATTTTATTTATGTTGAAGTTGAACGAGATGGGTCTGCTTCATTCCTGGATAGAAAAATCACTTTTTTCATTAAAAAACGACCCAACAGGCCAACACACACTGATTGCTAGATGATTTTGTTGTATGTTAAAGACATTCTGCAGTAATGTTCGGGAACATTTTAGCTGCTCAGGGCCAGATGGTTATGGACTCAGTTATTCACCATGCGCATGGTGAATACATGATCAGCCTGCCGTGATGCACACAAAGATTACCGCAGAACGTCCTTAAAGAATAAAGAGTGTGCATTCTTATATTTACCATGTCTGTATTGGTCGTATTGTGACAAACCTTATCAAACCTTTAAAGGTACTATGTCCCATTTGCAGGCCAAAAAAATGAAAAAGTTAAATTCCAACTGCATTTGAAAGATAATACTTATTTAGAACTTCCCTAAAAAAGGTGGGGCTTGAAAATGTCTTCAAGTGGGAAAATAATGACTATTAGTTGTCAAATCGACTTTAGGGCTATAGAGCCCAAAAGTAATAGTCTTGATTTTCAGACAATTGAACCAAATGGTCATACGTTTTATGCTGCGCAAAGATTCAATCAGGTTAATCTTGGCCATCACAAGAAGCGGGTTATTGATGTAGACAAATGCTCATGTACATGTACCCTTTACAACTCTTTTCATGTATGTTATTACTAAAGAAGAAAAAAAGCCAGTCAGTCACTCAATAGTGTCTGACAGTGAAGTCTAGCAAGTAAACGGGTTTCCTTGCATAATTTGAATATGAGGACACTGCTAACGTTTAAATTTCACAGGTAGGACATACATGACATATTCATAATTCCTGCAAAGTTCTACAGAATTTGAGGTTGGCTGCAAAAGGGACATAGTACCTTTAAGTGGCAAACAAGCTTCCTGTCTATTGAAACTCAGGAAATACATGTAGAAGTATTCTGTTATTTACATTAACCAATTTCATACCAGAAGTGGGTGGTCTCTGTATTGCGTCTATAGGAATGAGAGAATGGAGTATAGTCAAGGGGTTAAGTTGTCCAAAGCATGACTCATGTTTTGTTTAGAACTATTCTTCCCTCCGATGCAATGTAGTAAAACAAAAACATTAA